TTCAGCAGCTGGGCAGTATGACCATAAATGATATAGACAAGTTCAGAACCAGAGAGATTCCAGGAGAGCTGAAAGAAAATACAAAAAAAAGGTGTGATGTACAAGAAAATACCTCGTCGGCAGTGGGGAGGAAGCTTGCAAGACCAGAGTCTGAGAGGTGAGGATTCAATTCCGAGTCAAGCAAAATATTGGCCGACTTGATATTCTTGTGGACAACAGATGGTGAGCAAACTTCATGCAGGTATCTGCAAGAACATACTTTCCATGATTCTTTGCATGTATGTACATACATAACCGCATCCAAGGTGAAAAGTCTCGAACTTTCATAGAAAATTGGCAAGACCAGTAAAATGTTTCGACTTACTCTAGTGCCCGTGCAGTACCAAGGGCGATCTTGACGCGTGAATTCCATATCAGTGGTTTGCTTTCTTCTTCTGATAGATGTAAAAAGTCATGCAATGAGCCGTTCTTATGGAACTCGTAAACCAGAAGGTGTTGCCCGTGTTCAGAGCAGTAGCCAACGAGCTTGATTACATTTGGATTATCCAATCGAGCAATCTTCGAAACTATTTCCGTAAAATCCTCAGCCATGTCAACAGGGAGAGCCGAAGAATCTATTTTCTTCACAGCAAAAAACTGTAAAACCAATATTGTCAGTGCCCACCATTATGAAGATTGCATAGTTTGTGTAGCCAAGAGCTAGGATTATGTATCTACCTTTCCGTCATCAAACTGAGCTCGGTATACACGCCCAAAAGTCCCTTCTCCGAGAAAATTCTCTGAGCTGAAACTGCCAGTGGCTATTTGGAGATCTGCAACTGAATAAGCTTTCACATTTGAAGGAACCACGGCTGTTTTCTTCACAATAACGGGCTTCCTTGTGGAATCTTCTTCATCAAATGATTTGTGTCGGTCAGCTGGGGGAGGGCGGAGATTAATTGACAATGACGTGTCGAGTTTCTTGGCTTCAACCGACGAGGAACTCTGCACAGACTTATTCTCTGCACCATTATCAGAACCATGAGAACATGTGCAGAAACCAGTGTATGCATTTATACATGGGCAAATATATGCAATATATGTATACAACTTTGCTGTGTACCGTGAAATTCATTTGACGCAAGAGTGAATGGTTGGTTATCAGTCTTCTCGATGTCTGTGGATGCCCTCTTAGATCTTTTTTTCTTGAACAGAAAGAAAGCCACGACGGCTCCAACAACTAACAATGAGATAATTATGCCGGCTATCCCACCAGCTCCAATCCCCGATTTCTCAGATTTACTGTTACTGGAATCACCATTAGACCCCTGTTCACCCCCTCCGGACTTGTGGCTCGGGGATCTATGGATTGGAGGCGTACCTGGTGGCGGTGGAGGGGCAGGTCCCGAGTTAAACGAGTTACCATCTTTTCTGTCGCATGAACATTTCAAAGAACATTAGAGAAAGGTTTTTAAGAGAATGCAAGGAATAAGATAGTCAGAGGCATGTGTGAAATACTTACTGCAAGTTAATGCCCTTCAGAGAGTCTGGGATCCAGCCAGTGAATTGGTTATTTGCAATATTCCTGAGAAGAATTTAACAAGAACAAAGGATAAGGGTTGTCTGAAAAACCGGGCTATGAAGGTAGTAATGTCTTGACAAAGACAGTTACCCACAGATTTTCAAGAGGAAGGCTGGCTAAGACATCGATGGTACCCGTGAACTGGTTGTTCTGAAGATACCTTTTGAAAAAAATGGTTAAATTGCATGAGCAACAAGACGACAATACAAGGAGTTTCTTCTGCAACTTCTAAAAAACTACTTTGGATGCTTACATTGATTTTATACTCGTGAGAGAGGTAAAGCTGCTAGGTAGAGAACCCGAGAAAGAATTTGAAGAGAGATCCCTGAAACAAGCATTTGAATTTGTCAAAAAAGTTTTAATCTTTCTTAACGTTATTAAACTTGGGAACTAAACAAACTTAACTGGTATCACACTCAAGAAATAGATCTTACAGGAAAGTGAGGGAAGTGAGCTTAGTGAAGTCAACGGCCAATTGCCCTTTGAACTGGTTGTGAGCAAGATTTCTGATGTTCCATAGGACAAAAACACATGAGATGTCATTGTAATAACATCTCCAATAAGACATAGTAATGGCCATTGAACTGAACCCAGCACTTACAGGTATTTAAGGGATGCCATCAAAGAAATGGAATACTGAGCGCTTCCTGTGAATTGGTTATTAGCAAGATTCCTGGAAGCAGAGGATGGATTAAACAGACTTAGGATGCAACAAATGTGAAATCACAAACACCGAGTTCAAGAAATAACGGTAACATACAGTCTCTGTACGGCCGGAGGAAGTTGATATGGCAAATCACCTCCAAGGTTATTGTTGCTGAGATCACTGCAGGATTTGAACAGCTTATGCATTAATAATACATGTATCTAAACAAGAAATTACAAATATGGACATTTGGTAGATGATCTTACAACTCAGTAACAGCGGACAACTTATCAAGCATGTATCCAAGTGATCCAGAAAGCCCAAGATTTGGTAGCTTTCTGCAAGTAAGAATAAAAAGACCAGTTTACGTTTATGTAAGAGATACATAAGGAGAACATCCAAGTTTGAAAGTAGAAGTTGAACAAGAAGTATATTACACTTCTGTAACTCGTGAACCGGAACAGGTCACGCCTTTCCAGTGCTCCCCACAAGGATCACCACCCGATGGCTTCCATTCAGATAGCTGTGATGGAGAATTCATACTGCTATACATGGTGTTTAGCGCCGACGCTGCACATTGAATCGGAATAAACCCATCAGGGTATATAATCCAACAGCACAAAAGAATCCCATTTGCTATGACTGAATCGTCGTTTGAAAGAAGCAAAGAACACTGGATATGGATTTGGGTTTCAGGTCTATGGCATACAGTGAAGGAGATTTCGTCCAAAAGCCTATCATCTAGCTGTCGGTGGCTAATACACACGAAAAGCCGAATCCAAATGGGCAAATGTTAGTCTATTGTCAGAGACTATGAATCTCTGGCCAAAACAGATCCATAGCTTGAGAGATCGTTGGAACTCCAAGAACTGGAGGAGGTTGTAAGAAAATCTTTAGGTTATTTACATAACTATGTTAACAATTTACCACCGCAGATCTCAGTGGAAGTTCTTCAGCCTAATAGGTAGACGCTGAAGAATTGATCGAAATTAGATTTGCAGGGATTTTGTTTCAAAATGGACAACCAATACAAAGAGATGAGCAAACTAGAGCATGACATAGAAGCAGGTTTAATGGAAAATCAAAAAGATTTCAGATTCAGATAAACCCATTTCCCGGAAACGAACCTATTTGAGGAGAAGAACAGATTTTCCGAGAAAAGTTCTGAAAGTCTGAAACTTTGGCTTGGTGATGAAGAGTGAGAAGTTTGGGCAGGGGCTAAAACTTGGAAAAGAAAACATAAACCCAACAAAAAGATCAAAACTAAAACACCAGAAAGTGAAGGATTCAACATGAAAAGATCCAGACTTTTGGGGAAGAAGGAGAAAACATGACCCATTGAGATAAAACAAAGAAAATGGAGAAGAAAGAGGAGATTCTCGGACAAGAAGAAACTCACTGTCGGATGAATCGGTGGCTCCATTGATGAACCTTGGCTCCAGTCCTACAATGCAGAGTGTCAGCAGAGCCACCATCACCACTCGATTCTCCATCATCTTTTTCTCCCTCTTCTCTCTCTCTCTCTCAAGCCAGATGGATCAAAAAACCCAGATGCCAAAAACTGGTTTTTTTGGGGAAGATGTATGATTTTTGGTCTGAAATTTCTCTTGTATTATTTTAATGATAAATTTTCTTTAGCTAGATTTTATACCCTTTCAGCCATAACACTAATTTACCAAGTAAAAGCTGGCAAGCACGATTTGCAAGAAGAATCCAAAGCCACAGAAATAGGCCTCAGGCTTCGCCAGTTTCTTTCTTAGGTAGAAATATTCTTTTATTTTTTATTGATTTGTTTTCCCCTTTCTGTTTTGCTAATGAAGTTTTCCCCGTTTTTTATATTAATTACTAAATTATTTTCCTTTCTAATTCTTCCAGACAAGGGTTTTTTTTTTTCTTGGCTGGTTCATGGGGTTATGATCATCACATCATATACTTTTTTTTATGCATTTTATCATTACAAAAAAAAAAACAGAGAGCAATAATCAGTGTAGTTATTTTAACAGTCGTTGTTCTAATGATTTTTATTTAATTTCATATTTTATATTAGGAGCTTTTTACATAAATTCTCTCTTTTTTGTCAAAAAAAACAAAGAAAATCTCCTTTTTTATGTGTAAAAAATCTATTAGTTAAAAGTCCATAAATTGTAGCTTTCATAGAACAGATATCACTTTGAAGATTGGGTATGATTTGGTCTTTGCATCATCCATCATTGCTTTGAAGAATTAGTCACTTTAATTTCACATTTGGCTGAAAAGAAAAAAAAATCGAATTTCTTTTAGATTTAACCGTTAGCGTAATTATATTTCATTTTCATTTTGAGAACTTCATGTAAATTATATGTATTTGATTTTTTAGATTTATTTAGGTTTCATTAATTTAAACTTTTGATTTAAATTCATTCATTTTTTAAATCAAGTTGGATTACACAATTTTAAATATGTTATTCCTAAAGCCAAAAACAAAATGATGTTTCTATACATTGTTTATATCGAAATACAGTGCTTCAAATCATTGGATTTTAAACTTTTAAAATAACATAAAATATGTGAAAATTACATAAAACTGGCGATGTATAACAATATAGTTTTAAAGTGTTTGTTGTGAATCGGACATTACAATATATAAATAAATATGTAATGTATTAACACCTGATCGAGGCAACTACATTTTTGCAGAATGTTAGTTTGAATTATTGATCTTGATTATTCGATTACGTTGATACAAAGAATTGCCAAAAAAAAAAACACTTTGTTAAAGGTCCTAATAACATTATTATCCAGGAATTCATTTTATATGATATAATAAAAGTGTATATGAATAAGTTAATAAAAAAAGTGTATATGAATATGAAATATAATATAATATAATATATTTAGGTGGAGTCCATTTATCACCGATTATTGTAACAAAAAAAAAAAACATGAAAGGAAATGGTATTTAATAAAAAAAAATATGGGGTAACTTATCATTGGCACAATGGTTGTATATAATCGTGTAATTCTATATATAACCAAGAAGCACGTGACCAATCTCTGACGGGTCGTATCTATGAACATTGTTTCCAATATCTACAGTAAATATATTTTACTGCAAGCTCCACTTACAGACAAAATTACAGAACTGCGCGCCTGTATCATCCATCCATTGAAAAAACATTCGCATATCCATGCATGTGTGCATATATATATATATATATATCTATTGGGTATTTGGTTCGGGTTCATTTGAATAAAGGTTATTAAAAGGAAAACACGGCTAAGAATTACCCCACCCCCTCCATGAAATATTATAAAGCATAGTCGATATAATTCTCATGCAACTGTGATTGAGCTGTCAAATGATATCATTTTCGTGTACATCTAGAATCTCGAAATAAAATCACCAATAATAATTTCGTAACGAACCAAAAACTTATGGCAATATGTATGTGTATTATATATATATGGTCATCTTTTCCTAAAAGAATTTCGTAAAAACTTGTGGTAAAAAATTGTAAATATAAGTGTATATATATATATATATAACATGGCACTAGCGCACACAAATCATATCTCCAACAGCAAATCATTCGGAGATAGATGTTTTTTTTTTCCACAACTTTCTATTGTCCACGAAAGTCACGTCATACAAATGTACATGTATCTAATTTTAGATTATAGAATTAAAGGATAAATTAATTAAATAAATCGTAAAAGCGTGTTAATTGGTCATTAGACGACGTGGTTTGCAACTAATCCTCTGGATCATACCTCTTTCAACTTTGATTATGTCTTCATGTATCCGAAGTTGATATTTTTCCTATTCGTTAGCTGTCTTTTATATTTGATCAATGTAAATGTTCAAATGTATGTCTGGGATGCCAAGATATTATATTTTAATATTATGGATTAATTATAAATATATTTTTCATATAAAATTCAAAATTGGTTGTAATATACTCACGAATGGTATGATGGAGTTGAACTACGCTTCTTTAGAATTAAATACTACTACGTTTTAATAATTATATATATGATTTTTTTTTCAAAAATTCATCATTCTACTTAATTTAAATTGTTCACAAAAATCATTGTTTTTTTCTTTAAATTAGATGGATAATAATAATACTAATGGTCAACAATTATCTAAAATAAATGAAAATGGAAGTAAATACATAGAAGGTGGGTGTGTATTTGACAAACGAGTTAAAAGGAAACACGATGAGTTGCTTCCCACGACACCTGGCTTTTCTCTTCGGACAACTTGTTGTCGGTGGAAAAAATCGTTTTTTTCTCTTAAAAACTATTTTGGATTTAATTTTATTTTATGACCGTTTTAGCTAATTACAGGTTTGAAATTTCACAAATATTATTTTCAATAAAATACGCTGTAAAACTTTAATGAGTATAATTAAGTGAGTGACTATCTTCTAGTTCAGATAGTCTTTTTCTTATTACCATAATTCGCGAAATGATCGTGTTATTGGAAAATCGGACCTCAAAAGGGAATAATCAAACCAATATCATAGATGGAAGTGGAAATTTTGATTTGGATATTTCAAATATAATCGAAGAATATAATATATTTGTACCTAAAAGTATATAATTTAAAATTAGTTATATATATATCATACTTAAATAAAATGAATCAATTGAATTCACAATAATCATAAAAACCAAATTAAAATAGAATGAAAACTAATACAATAATTAAAAAACTATATTTTTTATAAAATAAAAAATTAAGTAAATCTAAATATAATAATAATAAGATTAGGTGATGGGCAACGACGTCGTTTGGAATCTGGACGACGACCGTTGCGTTGTTGTTTATTTTGGACGACAAACTACGTGTCGTTTTTCGGCAAATGATATTACTTTGATAAAGGCGACCTAACTTGTTTTTTTTTTTTGTAGGTCCATTCTTTAATAAAAGCCATGGAGAGGCACTTACAAAATAAAATTCGTCGGTGAGTTTTAATCTTATTATTATCATCATCATTATTATTATAAGGGCTACTCATAATTGAAATTGACCTTCTAGAATGTTCATCGGTATTTATATAGTAGGATGCCCATAACATATACTCGTGACCACTCATTAATATCCTCTTCTGTTCCCACCATACATTAAGATTCGAGTATTCGTCCTCCTCCTCCTCCATATATATATCATATGATTATAACCTAATCGAAATATTTTTCTGTCACTTAAATTAAAAGGGGAAAAAACAAAATTAAAAATGCTTTGCTTGTTGGGGGATTATTCCTTTTTTGGAGATTTCTGAATGACAAGAGACAGAACCAATGTTGCTTAGAAATCAAGTAAGGCAAAACTGTAGTTTCATAATAGTTATTAAAAAAAAAAACATGTTCCGGTTTGGTTTTATTTGATGTAAAAATCATATATTAACAAATAAATATTCGATTAATATATAAACTAATCTCTTGTTATCCAATTATTATATATATATATATAATATACAATGCATAAAATGCGTATTACTTGGATATGGCAAATTACCGTACACGTAAAAGCAAGTTCAACAAGATGGTTTGATATTGATGATGTCATCACGTTACACACAGACGCAAATTTCCAATCACATGTTATTAGTATTACGATACTTTCATTAATTTAAGTTTTTTTTTAATTCAATCCGATTTAATATTTTTAATCAGTTAAGCACCTTAATCTTTCAAATCCCCGTTAAATAAAACAAAATTTAAAACCGTTAAATGTCGTAACAATATCGGACAAAAGATACAAATGTTTATATTATTAATATAATATTTTGAATTCTGTAGTTAAAATTATATAATTTATGGTATATATAAAAAAAACTAAAAGTACATGTATATCAAGGATTTTATCCCTCAATTTTGTTTTGACACACATATATATATATATATACATATATATACATATATATATATGTATGTAGGCGTAGCTTAGACAAACGGGAGAGGACACGTGAGATGCGATGAGAAGTGGGCCGTTGCGGCGGAGGCCCACTTCTGACACCTTACCCATATTTCTTTCTCCCTTTTCATCTCCCCACGCCATTTATTTCCTTTTTTGAGTTCCCCATAATCCTCTGCAAACATTTTTTTAAAAAATATACTATGTATAATGTTTTTTTTAATAAATATATAATGTTATATATTAGAATTATTAATCATTGTGTAATTGGAAATTTAGATTGGTTTGGATTATAGTTTGATTCTGACCAAATATTTACTCGTTATATTTTGATTTTGGTTATATTCTGGTGTAATTGACAATTATGCTCGATTAGACCGTGACTGTTGCAAAAATCACATCTATTTAAATTTTATATTAATTTTACGTTTTTTTCAAAAAATATTATTTTTAAATTTTAATTTTTTATATTTTTATATCTAATCTATTTCTAAATGTTCAGGTTTGTTTTGTGTAAATATCTATCTATCCTAATAATAATCATTCAAGGAATTAAAATAACGAAACTATTGTGGGAAAAAAAATGATATTAGACGAAATAATTAAGGTACTAGAGGGATGAAGTTTTATTTAGATCGAATAGCAACTTAAAATAATATATTCAGTAATTTATATTATTTTAAAATTTTTAAACTATCAGTTTCCCTCTATTCCTCATAATTCCTCGGTGACAGGGAGAACCTAAAAAAGCTGCCCTGAAAATTTGTTTATTCGTTGGTATGATCGAGAATCAGGATAATTGAATGGAAAAAGTTTTGAGAGTTTCTAGATTTCAAAAAATAAAAAAAAAACGATACTCCATCTGTTTTAAAATAGTTGTAGTTTTAAGTTATTTTCTATGTTTTTAAATATTTATTATTCTATATTTTCAAGATATTTTTTACAATAATTTCTAATTTTGATAGGTATATGAGTGAAAATATCAATTTGAATCCGGTCAAGTTTTTAAGAATTTTCTTAATTGGATTTAAATTATTTCAATTAATTTCCGAAAGAACGTTGCAATTGTCTAATCTAAATTAAACTAAAGCCAAACTTAAACAGAACCTAAATCTCTTATATTTCAAATTCGTTTTTGTGACTCTAGAAACCCCATAAGTAACAAACAAACAAGATAAAATGTATTATTTAAACATAATGATGAATATTATCAGAACAAATTCCCTCTTCGTCATCGCCCGCGAAAACATACAAAGACACGCATATTTAATTTTATCATAACACGTTGTATTTATTGTGTATAAATATACACACATACATATACCTGTATTTACTTGTATATAAATAGACACACATGCATCCACATCCACATCGCCTAGCCTCCATTACATACACGTATCTCAGAAGCAGAAACCAAAGAGATCATGCAAGAAGACAACCCCGATGTTTACTCTGAATCCGGGTCGGGTCTCGGGTTCTCGAACTACTTGATCGTCCGACCGGAGCAAGGTGGGATTCGGGATTTGATACGGTACGGTGTGTGGAACGACGAGACGAGTAAGGCAAGGTTCGTGTACAGTCCGGCGTACGGAATCTTCGGTGAGGAAGCGAGCGATCACCGTTGGGTGATTGTGGTGTCGATTCTGGTCCGTAAGATCATCGGACTTTTCAGGAAGCCCATGGAGTACACAGGCTTCGTCGTCGACTTCTTCCTCAATCTCTTGTCCGAGAACGGTGGCTTCTTCGGATTACTACTCCGATTAATCCAAGGTAAAGTCTACACCTATATATATATATATATATAATTAAATGTGAAAACCGTTTCACGCTTTAAAAAAAGGTATTTAAAGGCGTTTAATTTCGGGGAATCTGCAAAAGGACCAATATTTATCAGCATTTTTCAGGCCTTTTACATGAACTTATTCACACATGGTACATCTGAATAAAGATAACTATTAATAAATTATTAGAGATAAATAATAATATTATTAAAATGCATGATATATTGAACCTTTTTTGGCATCAACTGATGCAGCAAAAGTAGTGATACCAGAGAGAGGGACTGAGACATTCATCAGCACAATCGGGCAACTAGATGGCCGAATCGATCTATACAGGCGCCATGATTTCGCCCGACACTTTGAAAATCTCGCGAGTTCCGGTGAAAGAAACGTTAAACTCGAGCCCGGAAGCCGAGTTCTGCTGGATTTGTGTATGATGGCTTCGAAACTAGCGTATGAGAACGCCAAGGTCGTCGAAAACGTCGTTACACTCCATTGGAAGGCAAGTGTAGAGAGTAGCTGCCATGTTTCTTCTATTACAGAATCGACAAGTTTCGAACTTTTCCTGAATTTATCTGTCTGATCTGCAGATGAATTTGGTGGAGTTCTTGAACTGCTGGAATGGTGAGTATTCCCGTCATGCAAATTAGTATATACACACACAAATATCTTTGTAAAGAATCGATATTTGTAAAGGACAAGCGAGTTTGTTGATGTGATCTGACAGATTATGAGAAGGATATGTCGACACAAGTCTTTATACTAACGGATAAGCCAAAAGATGCAAACTTGATACTGATAAGCTTCAGAGGCACCGAGCCCTTCGATGCAGACGATTGGAGCACCGATTTCGATTACTCGTGGTACGAAATCCCCCAACTCGGGAGACTTCACATGGGTTTCATCGAAGCCATGGGCTTAGGAAACAGAAACGAGACTCTCTTCCATGAAACTTCCTCTGAAAACCCTAGGATCATCCCTCCGGACATGGCAAAGAGAGGCGCCTATTACTCGGTTAGAAGGATTCTGAAACGTTTGCTCCAAGAACACGGGAACGCAGAGTTCGTTGTCACTGGCCACAGCTTAGGCGGCGCTCTGGCCATACTGTTTCCAACTGTGCTGGTTCTGCATGGGGAGACTGAGACTATGAAGAGATTACTCGGAGTTTACACGTTTGGACAACCTAGGATTGGAGACAGAGAGATCGGGAAGTTCATGAAAGCTCATCTTGATGACCCAGTTCGTCGTTACTTCAGAGTTGTCTACTGCAACGATCTTGTCCCGAGATTGCCCTACGACGACAAAACGTTCTTGTATAAGCACTTCGGCCTCTGCCTTTACTACGACAGCTTCTACAACGAGACGGTAACGCACAAATCCCTATAGATACGTTTTGAATAAGTGGTATTTATGCCCACGACTGATGATCTTTATTTTTCTTCAAAATGTCGAAGCAAGTGGAAGATGAACCGGACCCGAACCCATATACGGTGCGATACATGATATCGAGCCGCATAAACGCGGTCTGGGAGCTGATAAGAGGCTTGACGATGGGTTACACGCATGGACCAGAGTACAAGGAAGGGTGGTTCAGTATTTTGCTGAGGCTCATGGGACTGGTGGCTCCTGGTGGCTCTGCTCACTCCCCTACCAATTATATTAACTCGGTTAGGCTTGGCCCGGACAGTATCATTACAATGTCCCCCCTCTAAGGTGTGTTCAGCTCCTAAACCGGATCCGGTTATCGGAATAAATCAAAGACTTAACCGGATTTGAGATAAGATATGGATGAGAATAAATAAATAAACAAAGTGGGTTGTCTTTATGTAATTTTTGAGTTTTGGTCGGTCCATGTCCGTTAAAGCGATTCATGTGTGTTTGGATATGAATATATTTACACGAGTTTTGATAATGGTATCGGAGATGTTTTATTAAATACGAGTTATTACTCCCTCCGTTTTAAAATATTTGTAGTTTTAGATTATTTTCCATGTTTCAAAATATTTGTCATTTTACATTTTCAAAACATTTTTTTACAATAGTTTTCAATTTTATCTTTATTAAATTCCAATAAATTATTAATGATATCATTGTTTTTATCATTAAATAGGGGTATATGTGACTTTTTCTATCTTTTCTTAAAAAATGTGAAATAATCTAAAACCACAATTATTTTGAAACGGATGGAGTATTACGTAAAATATTCGTAAATAAGTCTTTAATTTGTGGCAAAAATAAATATATGTTTTTTGGACATCTTTGGTCCATATTATTCAACAGAAACCATCTTATTATTACATATAACACCGACCAAGTTACAGAACAGGTTAAAGAAAATAAGGAAAACAAGACACCAAAAGGATCGTTTCATCCATTTTATTCGACTTACCAATCTTATTGTTTATGTCCTCCACACACACACACACACACACACACATATATATATATATATATATATATATATATATATATATATATTATTCATCTATATCTCATTATTCAATCACTTACGCAAACGCATGGTACGGTACAAGAACTTAGAGACCCGTGACATGAAACATACGTCAGCCGACTAATTAAACACTCTCTTTCCACAGCAAGATGAGAAACCAAAATCCTCCGAGGATTGCAAAAGGGAACTCTATGATCCTTACGTGGCATCTCCGGTGTCTTTCTTGCGCAAAAAATTATTAGGATCCGCCAGCTTGATCGGCGACTCTCTTCTTTGATGCAAATCCGTAAAACAAAACCCAAAAGGAAGGTTTAAATAAGGATTTTGCAACAAGAAGAGGAAAAATCTTTGGATTGGCCACGCAGCTAATGACACCAAGGAGAGCTTCAAAACATCAATCTGTAGCTTCCAAGAGCAAGAGACGTGAAAAGAGAGAGAGAGATAGATATTGGTGATATACCATATATATATGTGTGTGTGTGTGTGCGCGCGCATATATATATGTATATTTATTTGGGCATTTTTTGGAGGATGTGGGGAAAAAGCTCCTAATCGTCGCTCTGAATGTACCAGCAGATGAGCATGGTGGTGCAGCGACGAAGGATGTAGAGACGGGCACGTTGCTTCTTCACCAAAGAAGCACATTTGTTGGTAAAGGAGCTCCCTTTGCTCAACTTTCTCTTACACTGATCAGCCATGGCGACGATTAGGGTTTCTTAATTTCTTTTGGAAAACTTAACGAAAGGTTGAAGCTTTGAACAAAAAAAAAACCTTTTTCAGAAGAGAGTGAACGAGAAGAAGCGGTGGAGCAGTAGTAGTGTCGGTGATCAAAAGGATTGAAGGTTATATATAAAGGGGGGAAGAAGAAGAAGAGAGATCTCTAAGATCACGCAGAGAAAAAAGGTGTATTGGATGTGAAGGAAGTTAGGACAGATGAACATAGTCGGATCTTTGGCTCCACAACATTGGGATTTGCATTTTGGATCCTCTACTTTCCTCGTAACTTAAGATTGGATTCGAATTGTTTATTGTCTTATCATATAAAGTATTATAGATAGACGATATCTTATAATATGCATGAATGTACGTATGTATGTTTATTAGAAACGTAGTTTGACTTTGTAGTTATAATATTTGTTAGTGGTGCCAAGAAAAAAGTTTATTTGTTAATCGAAAAAAAAAACTCCCTCAACAGATTCTTTCACAATTCTTAATAAAATATATAAAAAAAAGTCATATATATCCTCATTAAACCATATTCCCATTAATATTTAATTAAGGATAAAATTGTAATTTCTCTGGATTTAAACTAATTGAAACCCGATTCAGACAATTCGAAAGTTTACCCCCATTCACATCTCACATCTAAAAAATATATACAAAGCAATATGATCATAATATATAAATGTATATACTAAGACAAGAGAAAAAAAGGGAAGAGTAGAGAAGGGTAAAAGGTGGGGCATGCATGAAAAGGGGAGAGATGTTGAAAGAAGACAAAAGCATTGAGATTGGGGTTATGGGAACATGTAATGTAATATAGCTTCGGTTTCTTCTCTTTGGAGGTTTGTTTGGTTGGCTCTTTTTTTTTTATAAACAATTTCGTTTTAAATCCCAAACTTGAATCGTATCATACAAAACCCCAACCAAGATCTGTTTTTTTATTTAATAATTCAGAAATTCATCGAGTTTTCGACCCAACTACATCTTTTCGAAGACCGAAGAAATTCAGGTGAATGTCTCTTCCCACGTTTGAGTTTAAATTTATAATAAGAACATATTTTGCATATTTTCTTACCACCGTTCATCCAATCTTTGATAGATCTGTTTGTTTGTTTTCTCTTATATGTTATCCCATGCAGAATCGAATCCTCCATATTTTTCTTATCATTTTTCTAAGGGATTTTTCTTCATCATCATCAGTTCCAAGATCACAACAGATTTGTACCTTGAAAATATAGGAGACATGCATACTATATATATATATGGTTAATCTCGGGATGATGTGATCAGCTACGTGATTCAAAATATAAATTATCTCTCTAAATTTAATATTCGAATTCGATGCGGAACATGTGTTTTACACCCATTTGATCGGTTGAACTATGTATACACCGTTTGATCGAATTCGAGACGGGTTTTCAATCTTTTCTACTTGGGACTAAATACATATTATATATACACACCAACTTGTAAAGAGTTGTGTCGAAATCCAGACCAAGAGCAGGCCGCCAAGAAACAGTGAATCTGTCGGTCTAATAGAAACGAAATAAAAAATATATATATATTCCATTTTTGTATCGGACCAACCGTTACCATGCGTTTGTATATCTTCGAGTTAGTATGGGCCATGGGCCCCTTTAAGAATATGATAAATAGGCCATGGGCTCATTTACGAATATGTTAAATAGGTATTGGGCTATTTTAGCCGGCCTCATCTTGTCAATTATATTTATTATTTAATATATTTAATATATTTAATATATTATTATTATTAGCGTTCACTTTTCCATCTTGTTATTAACTTATTTTTGTAGAAACAAGCCTTGTTTTATAATGGATAAATGCTGCGGTTTTCTTATGTAAATTAATATAACTTGGATTTTATTAGTGATAATTAGTCAGTTGGTTTTTAGTTTCTACATTTATGGACTATATTAGTGCTTTTAATTTATTTATTCATAATGTATTTCTTATTTTCAATAAATTCTAATATTTAACTCAACATTTTTTCACGTACTTTTTAATTATGTGTCTATATATATACATTGCATTAAACTCAAAATCTGCATCAATCCGTAAAAATTCTTAAAAATTCTGCCCATATCATTCCCAGCCTATAAATTATATAGTGCCAATACATACATATGCAAAAATGTGTATAGAAAATATAAAATATTTCTATATTTATATGTCGATTAGAATATTAAAGCGTTTGATATAAAAGGATAACCAATATTGATCTTTTTGGTTCTACACTTGATGTATTTTCATTTTGAATTTTGTTTTTTTGAGAATATAGATATTCATTTTGAAATGTTTTGTTAGTCTTAACTTGTATATTTTTCTTCAGTATTTCAATTTACATATGAGAAAAAAGGTTAAAAAAAAAACAAATTGTAATATTCATTTTCTTGTATAATGTTCATATACAGCAAATCAGGAATATGTGTGTCCAAAAGCCTAACTTGTATACTAATCCAAGTATTCACTCTCTTTTCCACTCTATCTCTAAATTTTATGTGAAATTTTCCAACAAAATAAAAATTAAACCGACCAAAAAAAAAAGATAGAGAGAACCTCACGCGCGCTTTTCATTCGCGTAGCATTTACTCACACTGTGATGATAGTAATTACTAGTGCTGTGACTTTTACCGCTCCTACTAGAATTTTTACTGCGCAGTAAATGCGACATAACGCTCCACAACCAAATCTTCCTTCGCCGTGGGGACACGGCAGTCACGTGACCCGCATGTGACATCGCCGTCGTCTTCTTCATCAGCCCCCGAACTTCCGGAGCCTTGTAGTTCCTGATCAATGGCCACTTGATCCCTTCGAAGAACGGGTGCCGTTTAATATCCTGTGCACCCCTCGCGCACCCTAACCTCTCCCTCGGGTCCTTCACCAGCAACTTCTGTATCAAGTCCATCGCCTCCTCCATCCCCGCCTCCTCCGTCGCCGGGAAAACCACGTTCTTTGCCGGAGATGCTATGTTGCGCAGGGTGTATTCTTTGCACCCGCCCTTGAACGGCGTCGTTCCGTATAACAGCTCGTACAGGAAGATCCCGAAGGCCCACCAATCGACCCCGCTTCCATGGCCGTTTCCGGAGACGAGCTCCGGCGCAAGATACTCGTGGGTTCCGACGCAGGATCTTGAAAACGCCGTCACCGGCTCTGCCGTGAAATCCGATACGAACTCCTCCCTCTCCTCTGTTACGTATCTCCCAGAACATAGACAACCACTTCGTCTCCTCCGACACGACGTAGTTCTCCGGATCCGTCGTGTTCGGAAGGTGGGGACTACATCGGCTTTGAAACACAGGTCGAAATCCGACAACATGATGTGCCCGTCTTCTCGGAGCAAGACGTTCTCCGGTTTCAAATCCCTGTAAACGATTCCAAGCGCGTGGAGGTACTCGAGCGCGACGAGGACCTCGGCGGCGAAGAACCGAACAGGATGAACCGGTAACCGGTTACCGGGTTGCTTGCGGAGCAAGGAATGGAGATCGCCATTGGGACAGTAGTCAATTAAGAGACACGTGTAGTGAGAGGCATCGATGCGGGCGTAGAGCGTAGGGAGGAAAGGGTGGTCGAGGCCGGAAAGGATCTCGGCTTCTGTCTGAACGTGACCGAGCTTCTTCGCCGTAAGGGAATCACGGTCGATGACTTTCAAGGCGAAGCTGGTCGAGTTCGGACAGTCACGGAGGTGACAGAGGAAGACACGTCCGAGGTTTCCGGCGCCCAGTTGGCTGACAAGCTTCAGGTGCCGGAGGTGGAGACGGCCATCGGAGGAGAGTACGGTGGCGGCTCTCACGGCGGTCCAATGTGGGTCGCATTTCCGGTGATTGAGGCCGACGGCGGAGGCGGTGACGGTTGTGGTGGGGGCGGATGCAGTGGATAGCCTCTCGTTGAAGCTGAGAGTGAGGCTCGAACGGGCGCTCAAGGAGGCGAATGTACGGTCGGTGGTTGTGGATGTGAAGCTCAGATCGAGGTCGGTGTCGGGAAAATAAGCGTCTTCTTCCATGTTCGTGTTTATGAAAACTTTCTTTTTCTCCGATGAAGTTATGTTTTTTCCCGGATTTAAGGGTTGATTATGAGCTATTTATATCGGAGAATATGTGGAAAAGGACGATTAATTAATTAATTAATCAATGGTTAAATAAGTAATGGTTGATTAAGAAAGGCGATGTTTGGGCTTGGGGTTGACTGAGGGAAGTGGGGAAGAGACAAGGAAATGTGGTGGGTTTGACTCCAATGGGTCATTTGGTTAGGTTAATTAATCAAGTTTAAGATTAATTAATTACAGGGTTATCATTTTTTTTTCCTGTGCAGGCACATGGTTGTCTTTTTCTTTAACGGCCAACAGTTTTTAAATAATACTATCAAATTATCAATTATGTATTTATTTGACATTAATTATAGGTCCTAAACAAAAGAAGGAATCCTATACAGAAACTACGTCGTGGTATAAAAAAATTAATTAATTAATTAAGATTCTAGTTTTTATTTATCAACAAGTTTTTTTTGTTGGGATCGGTGACGACTGACGAGAAAGTTACAATTATGGCTCATAAAAAAATTATTGCATTTCCGTTAGGCGGTCAAATATTTGTGCTTGGATAAGTTCGGATTCGGCGATATAAAAAATATTTCATTTTCGGATTTGAATTTAAGGGAATCTGGTAACGGATGTACAGAAAATCAGTGGATATTAATTAAGATTTAGGATATCTGTAAATATTTGGAACTTGAATAAACCGTTAACGGTTTGGATATCGAATTTCGAATCTAACTCGAGTACATCATATGTTCCACTATTATTAAAAACTTATTTTTTTTAAATGTAACTTAATTTAGTTAGGCTTTAATGTATATTGCGAAATGGCACTTTTTAAACTTAATTAAAAATATTGAGTATCCAATAAATGGTAATTAATCCTCAATTATCAGTAATTGATTAAAACATTGTGATTGTAATCAAATAAAAAAGCAAGAGTAAATACGCGTCTTCCATGCATGGGATGCTGCGTCAACCGTGGATCCAGAGGTAACTCAAAACTAAACATTTGAATTATTTATTAAGTTTAATAATAATCATAATAATAATAACAATAATAATAATAATAATAATAATAATAATAATAATAATGGTACAGATGAAACTAAGTGAGAAAACATTGATGAGACAATGACAGCTTGTCGGCTGTAACTTACATAAGTGAATATGTGTAAGATTTATCTTATCGTGTACACTCATTTATTAACTTGGTTATACATATGTGTGTATCTATATTTTATTTTATTTGTTGTTATGATGGGAAATTCTATCCTACAACTATTCGGGTCGGACACCGGACACCGTAATGCCTCTCAATCCATAGACCGGACGAGAACGACATCAGGACTGTTAAAATGGAAAAATGAATATGTGATGGAAGTAGAATAAGATTTGAGATATGATGGAGAATAATAATGGATACAATATCATTATGTCGAATATTGTGTATCTGATTTGTTTCCATTGTATCTATATTTCCTTTTTATTCTGTTTCTTAATTTTCCTATAAATATGTATTTCATTTTCATTGTAATATAACAATAAGAAAAAGAGATGTAGCAAGAAAAGTGTTTCCGTTCTTTTATATTTTGTTCTTTTTTTCTAATTTAATTTCCGCATTTTATTTTTCTACATGGTATCAGAGCAGGGTTGCGATCTGAACTATATGTTTCTTTTTTTTTTTAATTTTCTAATCTCTTCTTTCATTTATGTTTTGGATGTTCATATATCCAAATCATTCAAAGGCGAGTAAAAATCCAAATTCAAACGATGTGCTATGACAAACAAAAGTCAAAGCTAAAAACTCTAAGATCAAGCAAGATGCTATGACAAAAAGAGTTAAAGCTAAAAATTTAAAGTCAAGCGAAGTGATTTGAAAATGGTTAATGTTTTCTAAAAGAACAAAATTTGGTGTTTATGAATTTTTCCAGAGATAATGAAAATGTATGGACGATTTATAACATTATCAATTCAAGATTGACTTTTTCATTCTTTCAAAGTCAATCTTTAGGGAGAATGTTAAAATGGAAAAATGAATGTGATGGAAGTAAAATAAGATTTAAGATATGATGGAGAATAATAATGGATACAATATCATTATGTCGAATATTGTGTATCTGATTTATTTCCATTGTATCTATATTTTCTTTTTACTCCGTTTCTTAATTTTCCTATAAATATGTATTTCATTTTCATTGTAATATAACAATAAGAAGAAGAAATGTAGCAATAAAAGTGCGGACCTGAGAAAATCCACTGTCCTATGCAGTAGCCGGCAAACCATGCAGAACAGATAAATCAGCCTCGTAAAACTGACCGGCTCAAGACGAGTTTCCATACATGGTTTCGAACCCATAACCTCTTGGTAGAGGGGAGTTGTCACTAACCATTAGGGTGGAGGACCTCCCCTTATATCTATATTCATAGTAGTTGTTTATGTTTTTTTATCATTTTGATTAGTCCATGTTGCTTAATAGTTTAGTGATGAAATAAATTCCCTCAAATTTACACATTTAATAAATTTTGGATATCTGAATTTGAAATATGTAAAACTTGTAAATATATTTGAAAATCAAATCGAGTTCTAAAAAAAATACTCAAGATATTCTTAAACTTTCGGACGGTGAAACCGCGCGAACGGTCAATATCTGTGGGACCCATCTTCGTGAAGAGTCATCATTGTCTGCCACGTGGTGCACATGGGATCCGTTTGTGTCGCTTACTTTTAATATCAGCTCTTTGCTTGAAATTAATTCTAATACAGAAATCTCATCAAATAATATCGTTAATTTATATGGAACTAATATATAAACTTCAATTCAATATATCGATTCTTATATTACCTATATAAATATGTTTAGTAATCGTCGTGTTATATTTTATTTAATCGTGTAAGATTTATAAACGAAAGTTTTTATAAGATTTTATTTTTTTTATGAATTTAATGATGCCATTATTTGTTTAGTTAATTATTGAAGACATCATAATTGTAAGCTTGTGGCCTGCTCGTGATGATGGTGGCACGTGTAACTGCATGCTACTGTCTAATTTGGGTTCCACTTTTATCAATTTGAATTTAACAATACATCATTATATTTAAAATTTGTAAATTGAATATAGTTTTTCTAAATCAAATTCAAGTAAAATATAAAAAAAAAAAAATAACAAAACCCTAAATATCCATCCTATATGTCAAGTTAAAGTTGGGGAATACAATTATGGCAATTTGCAAAGTCATGTGACAGAAATTATAATCACAAGATCTCGGGGGAAAAACATGAAGGATCTTCCCCTAATTAATGTGTTAACCGTTAATTAAGCATAATAATCACAATCTCATTAAAAGGCATCTTACAATTAAATTAGCGAGGGCTTTGATTAATTAACCACGTGGGTTACCACTACGCTTCGTTCACATACATACATACATACATACATACATACATACATACATACATACATACATACATACATACATACATACATACATACATACATACATACATACATACATACATACATACATACATACATACATACATACATACATACAAATCATGAGCATATATATGCATATAATTACAATATTAATGATATGATTTGAATAAATTCATATCATTTTCTCGATAATCATGCTTCCACGATGAAAACCAAAGGGCGCGAGACCAATTACCATAAGGGAATGCTTTTATTAAATGGCGAAACCCAACATTTCGTGGGGTCGGTCCAAAGCATTTTCAATAATTTTGACATAATCATGTTATATATAAAAGTTTATCGAAATGAAACACGAACAAGAAACTCCTAATCATTATATTGGGAGCCCCCACACACAACTCTACTATATAAACATACCATATGGGTTCAAATACATGGAACAATACCCACATTTTGTTTCAATTATTATCTATTTCTATAATTGCAATTAATAAAAATAGAATATTTAACAGCCGCTTTCCCTCAAAGTATTAATACAGTTGTTCTCGGTTAGTATTACATTGTGACCCACCAACTTCAATTTGAATAAATAAACGTTAATTAGGAACATAAATAAATCTTATTTTTTCTATAATGCGTTTTCGATTCCGTTGCTTAAATTAAGTACATTTTTAAGAGGAAAAAATCGATTTGCAACTTTATATATTTTTACTACAGAAAAATATCATGTATTCGTATTTTATTTGGGTGACCAAAGCGAATGAAATGAAAGAAAGACTGGCTGGCTGTACAAGAACAACACAACCGTATAAAAATTAAAATCAAATGACACATACTGTGTTAGAATTAAAATCAATCAAAAATCGATTGGATATTATGTTTTATAAAAAATTAAATTAAAATAACCTAAAACGAATTTTAACCGATTATGAAAATAAAAAAATTCAGAAAATGATTTTTTGTTTTGTTGAAAAAAAAAACACACAAACAGATACAGAGTCCAACCAAAAAATTATATAAAAATAAATGGGCTTTATCCAATTAATTGGGCGCCATATAAGCTTAATATCTTAAATGGGCTTTATCCACATTTCAGGCCCGTTTCAAGAGAGTCTTCGCCCTGAAGTCCAAGACCTTCGAGTCATATATATATATATATATATGCGCAGAGACATTAACGTGGAACGGTGGAAGTGGCGGATAATGGTTCCTATTTCGGTTATTAACCGAAAAATCGAGTCAAACTGAACCGAATAAGGGACAACCGTATTCGAACTGAATCTGATATCAAAACCGAACGGTTATGATTTTTTTAAACCCGAAAAAAATCAAAACCGAACCGAAACGAACCGAATAGAAAAATATCCGAAAAACCGACAATTTCATTGAAAAAATAAACTTTTTAACGAAATCGAACCGAACCCGAACCGAATCGAACCGAAATTTATATAAAAACTGAATGGTTATAGTTTTTTTATAAACAAAATAACCGAACCTAAATATAACCGAAACGAGTACGAACTAAAATCCGAATTGGCCAGCACTAGTGGCGGAGACGAAAACGCTTCTCTTCTCATTTGGATTTTCGAAATTGCTGGAACTCTGTAAGAGAACCTTCCAAATGAGAAAGAGGGTGATGACGTCTGCAAGGTTGAAGCTTACATCACTTAACCCTCTCGGTGAAAAAGAGGCTCCGAGGACGGAGATGACGTCACTCAATTCTAAAACCACAATTTTCGGTTCTGGTTCCGTTTCGGCTTAGGTATATTTTTTGGGTAAATAAAAATTAAAATCAGTGTTGCGTCAAAAATTTGGGTATTTTTAGATTTAGATTTTCGATTTTTTTTAAAAAAATCATAACAAATCGTTTGAGATGTGAGATTTGGTTCGAATTCGATTCTTGTATTTTTATATTGGATTCGATTTCGATTTTTAATTTTAAAATGAGTTATATTTATTCGGTTTTTATATTAGATTCGATTTTGCATTATTTGGGTTGGATGGGTTATTGAGGGAAAGTTCCAAAACATGGCTTTTCGAAAGCAAGCTAAGAGCTGAAAAGGGTCCCCTCGTGACGGCGGAGACGCCGTGTCGGAGCCGACACTTTTCCACCGCCTCTTCTCTCTTTGGATAGAGACAGTACAATCTCAAAGTACACAACTGCTTGAATGCTTTATTTATGGGTCCAATTTTGAAGACCCCAACGTGATTTTCTGTTTTTTTACACAATTATATTTATTTTTGCTTTTTATTGTATACTTCGTCTTATAAAAAACCCAATTGAAGCGTGCGTACGCATACAATAGAGGATTTTTCTCTGTCTTTACAAGTTATGGTCCACATATGGAAAACCACAAAATTATTTTAAAATAATTTTTGCTTGTACAAAAAATTGAGACGTGTTTGAATTTTGAAGGCGCAGATATAAACGAACCTCGTGGTTAGGAAGCAATTAAATAGAACGAAAATGAAATAATAGTTTTATTTTAGGGAAAATCCCAAAAAAATATCTCAATTTCTCCATTTTTATAAATAAAACTTGAATTTTGTTTTTTATCAAATAAAATTTCAACTTCATTTTTCATAAAAAAAAATGAACCCAGACTTTTAATCTTTATTATTTTTAAACTTATTACTGATGGGATGTTCCGATATCGTAATATATGAATGATAACATGTCAAATATGATTAAAATACTGATTTACCACATAGGATGTCGATACATCACATCATCATTCATGTCTAAAAATGATAAAGATTATAAAGTTTAAATTTATTTCTGATTGAAAAATTATTTAATAAAAACAAAGTTTAGATTTTCTTTTGTTAAAATTAAAAAAATTCAGATATTTTTTTGAAATTTTATCGTTTTAATCGGGATGGTTTTGCCTTTTGGTTGAAGTTTGGAGACACTGTTTTTATTTTTTAAGGGTCAACTTCAAGGAGTTCATGCTAAAAGTTTGACAAAATCTAATGGAATGCCAACTCATGATGTCTTTTATACATTAATTGTCTTGATGCAGCCATTGTGTTTCTTTTAAATTTATCATGAATTGGAGATTGTTTTTTCTTCACTTGTGTTATGGTATAAAATAATTGTATATTAATTATTCTTTGGTTTGAAATTGAAAATATATGTCCACTGTGGTTATGTGAATAATATAAACAAAACAACAATAAAAATGGAAGATATTTGAATTCCACGGGGGAGAGAGAGATACTTTGCTGTGGCCTAACTTGTATTGAATCATAAATGAAAGAAGAGAGCTGAGACACATCCATGGCCACCGTACCCATTGAGAGCAACGTCTCACCTATCATTAGGTCAAGTAAAATCAATGTACGTCTCATACGTACTGTTGCATGTGCATGTCTACGTACGTTCGTCCTTTAGAACCAATTAGGGTGAAATTAATTAGGCACGTTATAGGTTTGGTTAATACATCGCCAAAGATATATGAAACAATTTACATGTGTATATGTCAGGTAATCTATATTGATTAGTATTAATCTGCCTTTACGGTAAAGAAGAACCAATTAATTACTCTTAATTTAGATAGTGGTGCAAATCATCTTCCGATGTCGAATATGAAATTTGGGAAGATGCGTATATTCTAAATCACATATTTAAACTCCAATTCCAAAATTAATATGGATCTTGGTTCATAACATTTATTTAGAAAAAAGAATTAATTAGTGAATTCTGGATAGACATTAAAAAAAAGGAGAGAAGAGTTGAGCAAATTTTCTTTTTAATGAATCCGTTTATTAATCAATTTTAAAAACAAATATTTATACAATAAATCCAATCAAAGCGAAACAGATATGAAAGATTGGTTTGCACCGAGTCACTCGACAAAGTCCAAAACTTTGGCTCATCCTCCTCCTATAAATACACGCACCCATAACGCCCACAACTCATTGTAATACTTTCTCTCTCTCCACCGGTCCACGCTCGACGACAACAGTTTATAGTCCCTCCAGCTGAAATCAGGATGACACAAATGGAGAAATTTAGGGCGGACGGGATCATAACGGAGGTGGCTCCGGCGAAATTCATGGCGGAGGCTTCTCGGAGGCCATTCAAGAAGATTCTGGCCACAATCTCCGAGGAGGATATCGGGTTCTTAGGAGGAGCCGCCGCCTCTGAACGCCTCTCTTCGTCCTGTCCTGGTGGTGCCTCCTGGTCTCTCGGCCTTTACGCTAAGACCCACAGCTCACTTTTCTTCGAATGTTGAGACTTGAGAGAGATGGATTTTTGAAATTTTATTTTGTTTTCTTGCTCATTGTTGACGAGTCTTTCTTTTCTTCCGACCGTTGATGCTTTGCCAATAAAAAGTTGCATGTCGTTTGGGATTTTGCAACTGGAAACAGACTAAAACATTATTATGGTTTTTAATCTCCGATTCCCTATGCACACTCCTACATTACAAAACATTGTCGGTGATATTTCGATTCAATTATTGAACTCATAGATCCATGAATCGAGAGGTGATTGTAAGTACCCATCTTCACTCGGAAAGGCATCATGATCGATCTGATAATCACAATGGGTTCCCCAAAACACAAAAAAGGAGAACATTAAAGGACCCAGTTAAAGAAGAGTGAAATAATTCTCACACACAATATAATTTCTTTGTAAAAAGGAAATTTATGTGATGCTGCATCCTTGAAAAATTAATAAGGCTCCGGCGCCTATGTAACGACAAAAAAACAATTAATTCGAAGGCAAATACACACAACAGAGGTAGAGAATATCCTGTGTGTCCTGTTGCCATTGATCAATGCATTTACCCTTTCACGCTCGCCGCCAAAATTTTGTAACGCTCACTCGCTCAACCCCCTCCACCCTCCGAAGACGCTATTATTAAGCAGTGCTCTGCTACAGTGGAATGGGACATTCTGGTACGAGTGACCACAATGTATACACACCCCTTAGCTTCTGCTTGCTTGCTGTCATATGACTTACGACTGCTGCGGAAAACCCATACAGATTTTTAGTAAAACCAAAAGATTTCACTAGGCAATAAACATCCTTTGTTTTGTAGTGTAATAAATTTGTAAGAGAAAACCCAAGACTTAATGCACGTACCAGGACAGGACACGTCGTCAAGCACCACCCCAAGTGTCTCTCTCATGGCTAAAGGCCATCAGACGTTTTACCAGCTCGGCTTTCAGTGACTCCGGAATTTGTGAGTTATAAGTCGATTTCGCATCCGCAATCAGCCTCTTCCTACACAACCAATGACAGAAACCAATGACGCCTGTGTGCGTGTGTGTATCATATACCAGAATCTGACAAATTTATGCCGAAGGGCCAAATAAAATGGATTGCAAATGTTTCCATTCAAAACTTCTGCGTCGCAAGAAAACCGATGGGAAAAAAGGGTATTCGAACTCACTTCAATTCACCATCATCTGGACCACCTCCTGTTTCTTCTGTACACAACCTCTTCTTCCCGCGCATGGAAGCGTTTACTTTATCATACCATCCACATGACCTTAAATATGCAGCCGCATCTTTCTTGAGGCTGATACACACATACATATCAGACCAGATAACAAGACATTAGCCCCATTTTGCTAAAATAACAAAGTCGTTTTATATAAATAAAAAATTCTCGCATACTTGAAAACCCACATGCCCAGTTTGTGCAACAAAAGCTACCTAGAAATACGTCTTTGTGACTCAGCTACATGATAAAATATACCTTACAAAATAATTTCAAGGCTCTCAATTCCATCATGAACGGCCTAATGTGTTACAAGATGGCGGAGTGGAAATGTAATTAGTCTTAGAATAGTTACGTCCGAAGGTACTTGGAATAATAGCAAAGACAAGATGGGATTACCTCTCTTTTAATGCTTCGACTTCGTCACGTGATAAGTCATCTTTTCTAAGTAACACGCATGAGTCTTCAACTGTTTTCCTCCTGGAACCCAATGTTTTGGGCTGGATACTGACACTGCCGTTCTCAGCTTCTACATGGTGATCAGCCCCATTGCTCAATCTGTTATTCTCGGACTGATGCAATTTAACTTTATGGAGACCAATCCCATTGCTTGAACCATTGTTCTCGTGGGAATGCAGTTTAACTATATGATTATCCTTAATACCCTGTGCATTACCGTTTTCTCTGGTTCTCAATCCATCGTTTTCAGCATCAACCATTTTATCCTGGCCAGACGTCAAGCCAAGCAGATAAGGGAACTTTATTTCCTTCGATGACAAAACCCGCTGCAGTTGAGCATGACAGAAATGAGAACATCAGTTGTGGAAAGCAAAATGTAATTAGCTACAAACCGAGAAAAAGACAGGAAACCGAAATGATCCAACAATCCTCAAAGTAGGAAATTAAACTCGGCTTTCACCAAAAACAAGCATTTTCAGAGCACAAAGACAGTGAACCTCTGATACAGAAAACATTAATGCCAAGGGGCCACTCTTCAACTAGAGGGAAGTCCATTAGACATAATTGATCTCACCAATGAGACGAGATACGAGTTTTCGCAGTGTGTGGTCTACCGTACTACTATTATACCAAAACTATGCGCCGATGAGCCTAACCTGAACTCTCCAGTGCCGGGTTCAGACAACAAATGCGGCACCTTTCAGTCCATACAAATCTATATCCTCTTTCCCGACCCCCTTAGCAACTACAGCTTGATCTATCTGGATAGCAAGTCTACCATTCACAGCCGGAGAGACCCTTTTAGCACCAAGGTTGACAGAAAAGTTGACCTTTGCATGTGGTCTTAAAGGAGCCTTTTCAACTTTAGAAGTAGCTGGGTTATCCTTTTGGAAGGATTGTTGTTCATCTCGTGGTTTCTTGTTACCATCTTTAAAGGATCCAACATGTTTCAGGGGCTTTGATGTCTCACAGCCATTACTTCCATGAGATGTAACCCCATTAGATGATACCAAATTTCTAGCAGACGCTGGCCTTTGGTTGGAACGACAGAAGAAAAGAATATAAGCTTTCTCTAACAACACCTCCTGCAAGTTGGAGAGTGACACAAGCGAATCATTGCAGCAATACCATCGACCCAAGGCATCCTACACATGGCAGATAGAAACATCAGAAAACAGTTGACAAGTTTGGTATTGTCTAAACAGGGCAGAAACAAACCTTAATGTATGCGTAATAGTGTCCAGATTCTGGTGAGAATCCTGAATGCACAATTGTCCCAAAAAGCCTGTATTCCGGTTGAGGATCCTGCATTTCCAACATGAAAAAACAAATAAGAAAAGGCGATGCGTAGATAGTACACTACATCAGCGCCAGCAGGCACTTCGGTAAAGTAGGTCATAAGAATGCCACATATATCCAAGCCGGCAAAAATTACATTCAACAAGAAAAATGTATGCATCAAGGATTTGGCTAGAATTCATGCAAAGGGTTTTGAAAGAATCAATTGGACATGTTCTGCGCAATTATTCAGACAAAAAGACTGGAAACAACGTAGTCAAATATCTGCTTGCCTGACTTGTCTCATCATCTAACAAAAGAATCTAATCAACAACAAATTGTCAAAATATAATGTCAGATTTATGCTTGAGAAGTATTATCATCCTGTCAAATTACTGGAGAGTTATTCAAATGATATGAAAAATAGTAGCTCAACTGGTCTTTCTAAGACACCCTACTATTTTACTAAAATGATAAAAAAACATATACAACAGATTCTTTCAAATTCTGCACAGGTTATGTAATGTAGATCTGGATTCTGGACGCAACGGACAAATTCATTCCACAATACTACATGGTGGTCTTATACCAGAACATATCAAACAGATCTAAACCACATCACATTAAAATTCCACATAAGAATCATACTAAACAACTATTCCGGACAAGGAAACACAAATCTTGACTCATCCCTTAGCACCTTACATTCCTGAACTTTCTCATATGTTTCTGAGAACTAAGATGTTACACAGAATGAATAAAGATACAAATCCTCAAGAGTATACGCTAATAAAAGAACAAAAAATGATTAGCAAACTTAATTTAATTTGAGGTGTCAGAATCAAGTACCTTGCTTGTTTTATTCATGAAGCTTGAGAGAAGCAGAACTTCATCAAATGCAATGGCCTTATCAATCTTCCCACCAAATATGCCCTCAAACCGCTGCAAAATAAATCAATAAATATCCCTAAACCGAATAGCATCTCTAGGTTGACAAAGTTAACACCTGTATTGGAAAAAAAAAGCAACATGGTTCTCACCTTCAACTGGATAACAAGGATATTAGGCGCTTGGAGTACTGACATTTGTTTTCTAGCCACCACCAATTTCTTGCAGCTAAACAAGTATAAAAGATGTGTTCAGGAAAAAAAAACAACAGAGACAAAAGAAAGTAAGGGGAGAAACCAAGAAAAGTCAAATTACTCACCTCTCACATCTATACTTATTGTTGCCATCTAAAATCTCCGGCTGAAAGAACTTTTGCAATGATTCCTTAAGTGAATTACTCTGTAAAATTTCAAGACTGATATCCATAATCTCATCTGCTTTATTTGACTCCGCACCGCATGACAAACACTTCACCTGGCTCTGCAAAGCACCGCCAAACATCTCCTTAACTACAGTGTTGCCATTGAAGGGCTCAGTACCCTTCCGTCGCAACTTCTTCAGGCGGAGACAAGTATTGTGGCATGCATCAATCACATACCGCAAGAACTCATGGGCATCTTCTTGACGCCCAAACTTAAAATGCTCGGCAAAAACTTTTAGGCAGTTAAGAAACTTGTTAGGTGCATCCAGTGTGAGATCCACACTGAGAGACCTTGCTATTCTTTTCTCAAGTATGCAAAAAGCACAGTCGTGTTTCCGTTCCCCATCCAAAACCGAGTCGCCTGTTAAAACATTTCGAACAGTCCCAGACAGGAAATACATCACCAAGAAGCCATGCATAAAAAATGCAAATTACGAAGAAATAACAACCGGTACAGTACCAATAGAAATGACCTCCAACGCGTAAATTTCCAGAGCAATACATCAAAAAGAGGAAATAACTAATAACATCAACTCAGAGACGAAACTTACAAACTCTTCTAATTACCTTATCATCAGTGTCAGCAAACAAACTACAAATCAAGCAGTGACACACCAAGCATAAGTTTAAATCAGAATAAAAAGGACAACCCTAATTTGATCTGAAAGTGACGCACATGACTAAAACGAGACAAAAAAACAGCGATTATGCTCGTAGATGTAATAGAAATCACTTTCCCAATACCAATAATCTAAGGCGAGCGAGAGAGAGAGAGAGAGAGAGAGAGACGTACAGAGAGAAGAGTGTTGGTGAGAGAGGCAGAAATTGGCGAGAGGAGGAGTGTAGGTGAGGCACTGGAGGACGCTGTTGAGGTAACAGGTATTGCCGAGGTTCCGCAACCCTAGAGGCGGACCGTTCTTACGCTTCTGACTCAGTAGACTCGGCATCCAGCTCATCTGCAGTTTGAATCCCATCAAAACTCCCACCTCCGCCGCAACCGCAACAGCAACCGCTCATCCCTCGCTCGCCGCCACGGCGTCTCCACCCGCTGCGATCGCATCTCTCTCCGCCTCCGCCGACCACCGCACCTTCCCGCTTCCCGCTTCCACGCGCTTCGAGATCCTATTCCATCATCGTGGTTATGGAAATTTCTCGGCGATAATTCACTGATTCGGGGAAGATCTTTGAGAGATCGATCGGTGGTGACTACCCGCCTGCAACAAATCCCACAATCCCTCGCGAGGTTTCGTTTTATTTTTCGCGTTCTTCCCTTCTCTCTTTTTTTTTTTATTATTCTTTTTTTTTCAGATAATATTAAAGCACAAAAACTATCCACAGTTGGGCCGATGGGCCCATAAGTATTGGGCCTTTATGTACATTCCTAGGTCCATCTTGGACTCGAGTCGTTTTGAAATCATCGCATTATTCGGTTTATCTAATAAATAAAATATTTACAAAAGAGAGATTTCTAATTTTCTATAACGTGTAACTAAAAAGACGAGAACAAATGCTCAGGCAGAGAAGAATTTTCCTGGATAGATAAAAATTCATGAGAAACTAATGTAAATTACGGATAGTAATTTGTAAATAAAATAACCCTCCATGTTATCATCTAAAGAAACGTTGTTCTGAGAGTAAAATTTGACAGATACAACTTCCAAAGCGAAACAAGCAAATACTCATTTACCTCGGTAGGATGTTTCAGTTTCATATGCTGCTCGAATCTCCGACATTATCTGTAGCTGTTGTTGCCGAGAGACTGAAACCAACCGTGTGGATCCACCTTCCTCTGGAGTTTTCCTTCTTCGGTGATTGCTGCCGGTGAAGAACGCACAATAAAGGAAGCAATTTTTACTTAGACGGGTCGTTATTCCACGCATTTCCCATTTTGATTTGTCTAATAGCCGAGACGATTTCGTGATAGTTATTACAGTTGGCCTTCGCGTTTGTAACTGGAATGGAAGACAATCTTTCGAAAGTTGAGGGCAACTTACCAATGCTGTAGCCGAAAAGAGGTGATGATCATGTATTGTGTCAGCAAACAGAAGAGCTGACATAATTCTTGATGAGACTGGCAACCGGGATAGCGAGAGCAGTCGTATGAGAGATGACAAGGAAAACCTACAAGTTGAGAGCGAATAATATAGAAAAAGAATTAAGATTCAGCACTAGAGGTCGAAAGTTCCACATGCCACTGGCTTCCATCTTTGTTTTCTCAAAGCAGGGGCTTGTGCACAAAGACAGTAAATATTGGGCGTATAAAAAGAAAATGATATCGCGCACCTGCAGGGGCTCACGTAGAACATGAGAGATATTGTATCCAGTTTGAAGCCCTTCCTCTTTACGAAAATTTACATGAAGATTAGCCTCACGGGTTTCTCCGATGGTAAACCACTCAAATCCAACTGATGTTGCTTTCCCCATAAGAGGCTACTAGGACATCGAAACATATTACAGAAACTTTCAAAAGCATCCTGCAGCTCATTACATCAACAGTTCAACTCCCACAGCTACTCCAAGAATAAACACTGCAACAGGCAATGACAATATGATTTAAGATGTTAATAGGCACGGATCAGTTCAAAACATATCATTGAGAAGGAGAGAATGGACTTTAAATGCAGAGCAAGAACAGTTAGAACTTACTGACGGCCTTCAGAATTTGAGCACATGCAACAGATATGTACACATAGGCAGTGTTTTCCAACCAGAGAGTCATCACAAACATTGCAACTATAAGAATAACTGATGTAACATTTCCATAGTACATAAAGTGAATTACAACACAAAAAAAGAAATCAGTAATACAAAGACGAACGGATATTAACTTTTGGTCAAAGATACTTTCAACCCCACAATCAAATTGCTTAAAGTTTCTTTCTTCTTTACATTTCTACTGCAATTCCTTCCTCGACCTTCAAGATCTTCGAGAGGAAGAAGATAAAGAAAAGGAGAGAGCAGAAGCAAAAATCTACACATGATTATTTACAGGCAATTAGAAAGGAAGGTCGTAGCCAACTTATTACCTTGAAGACTTGGAGACAAGAAAGCACAAGACCGGGAAAATTCCGTATGGATTAAAGTCAAGCCAAGCAGATAAGGGAACTTTATTTCCTTCGATGACAAAACCCGCTGCAGTTGAGCATGACAGAAATGAGAACATCAGTTGTGGAAAGCAAAATGTAATTAGCTACAAACCGAGAAAAAGACAGGAAACCGAAATGATCCAACAATCCTCAAAGTAGGAAATTAAACTCGGCTTTCACCAAAAACAAGCATTTTCAGAGCACAAAGACAGTGAACCTCTGATACAGAAAACATTAATGCCAAGGGGCCACTCTTCAACTAGAGGGAAGTCCATTAGACATAATTGATCTCACCAATGAGACGAGATACGAGTTTTCGCAGTGTGTGGTCTACCGTACTACTATTATACCAAAACTATGCGCCGATGAGCCTAACCTGAACTCTCCAGTGCCGGGTTCAGACAACAAATGCGGCACCTTTCAGTCCATACAAATCTATATCAATGATATTTCACCTATCTCGTCAATATATCAAATGCTGAATTCTCGAAGGTACTCGTGAATTCTCAAATCTGCTAGCCAAATTCCCGGAAATCAAGCAAAAACACAAACAGCCACGAACAGAATCAAAGAGCTGGTATCCAGCTCTCGAAAATCATTTTTACCTTGACCAAAAACAAAAGCCGTGACATAAACTCTTCAATCTGTGGTCCACATTACCGGCAGCGATAAGCTTACGAAAGCTAGCGATCGGCATACGAAATCGCAGTACGAATTACAGATCCAGGAAGAAGAAGAGAAAAATGAAATTAAACCTTGTTAAGGAAGATTTGACCGCTATGTAGAGCAAAATGTAAACGTAGATCACGAATCCATCCTCTCCGAGGAAGCCTCTGCTCCGATCCTCCATTGAAGTCGAAATTGTAATCCCCGATTACAAACATATTACATAACTTTTATGTGTAATAACCCGATGCTTTTTATCTGTTTTGGGACAGTTTTTTCTTCGTCATTCTTCTTCAGTGTGTTCTCCACTTTCTCCTGTCGCTTCTCAACTCAACAAAGTGCAAACGTGAGAAAATCCGATCACTGGGTCCCACTTGTTTTCAGATTTGAGCCTTTTCTCCATAAAGGCCCAACACAAAGCCCATTGGATTTCTGGTTGACGGAAGAGGGAGGTGGTGCATCTACGGCTCGACGTTTAGGTCCGTCATTCGGCCCGTCTAACCTGATTATATAAAATTGAAATAAAAATTATTATTTTTCCTAAAATCCAAATGAATTATAAAATTAATAAAAAAAAAATCGAATGAAAACGAATGAATTTTTTTATAAAAAAAATTAGGAAATCAAACCTAAAATTAACACAAGACTTCTTATTACTTACCCATCCTATATTGCACAGGTTTCCGGCCGTAGCCAGCCCCTTCAATTAATTCTAAAGAAATCAACCTTCTCTCGAGTTTTTGTCCCTTCGAAGAATAAAAGATTATATAAAACTCGAAGACGGCCATCTTTTTTATTTTATTTTATGCGCTATTATCATTATAAATATTATTTCCCTCGGGGGTTGAGAACGATAATAAAATGAAAAATCTGAGGAACACACAAGTTGCTTATGGATGAGACACAACCCAATCGGTTCCTTGTCCTGTTCCCATTCTCCATTCCTCACCTCCAACGTCTCATCCATATTCCTCTCGCGAGCAAATATCTATTATAATAAGCTTACCATCGTTTCCCACCATTCTTCTCTCTCCAAAGAGCTCCATCTCCTCTCCTTTAACCCCATCATCAAAAGGTTAGTGACTACAAACTCTCATGGGTTGTTTTCTGCAGCGTTTCACTTAGTGATGACTTGCTCGGGTTTTTAATTTTCAGTGCAAGGAGCGGCTGGGAAACCGGAAAGAGGGTGAGATGGAGATCACAAATGTGAGCGAGTATGAGGCGATAGCCAAGCAGAAGTTGCCTAAGATGGTGTACGACTACTATGCTTCGGGTGCAGAGGATCAATGGACTCTTCAAGAGAACAGAAACGCCTTCTCACGAATCCTGTGAGTTTTTTTTTCCCTCATCTTTTTCCTGCTTTAGATTTTCTCAAGCTTTTCATTTAAACAAGAGACGTACCCTTTTTTTCGTTAGGTTTCGTCCTCGGATTCTGATCGATGTGAGCAAGATTGACATGACGACCACCGTCTTGGGGTTCAAGATCTCCATGCCTATCATGGTTGCCCCTACTGCCATGCAGAAGATGGCTCACCCCGAAGGTACGATTCCTGAAACATATTTCCAAAAAATAGAATTCGATGAGGTTAGTCACGTCAAAAATACGCTGGGAATGTTACAACGGTAGAATAAGAACGAGGCCCTGTTAAAACGCAGGGGAGTATGCTACGGCTAGAGCTGCTTCCGCCGCCGGCACGATCATGGTACGTTTTGCTCTTGTTCCTCGTGCATTTTTCCAGCTTCCTCAAGCAAATCGATGCTAGTTAACTTCTATGGTTTGAGCTCTTTCTTTCCACGATGGTTCAGACGTTGTCTTCGTGGGCTACTTCCAGCGTTGAAGAGGTTGCTTCGACAGGACCAGGAATCCGATTCTTCCAGCTCTATGTAAGTATTGCCATATAGATTTACTACTCGGAAGAAAATAAACTCGGTCCTCATTCTGTTGCATTCGTGCTGAATAGGTCTACAAGGACAGAAACGTGGTTGCACAGCTCGTGAGGAGAGCGGAAAGGGCTGGATTCAAAGCCATTGCTCTCACTGTTGATACCCCGAGGTTAGGCCGCAGAGAATCTGACATCAAGAACAGGTACAAACCAGATACACTCAGATGTAACCGGAGTTTATGGTTTTGTCAAACGTGCACAGATTGGTTGAAAGCGCCCAGTAATTGTTACTTTGTTTACTTTTGCCACAGATTCACTTTGCCTCCTTATCTGACATTGAAGAACTTTGAAGGTCTCGACCTCGGCAAGATGGACGAGGTAAGCATTAGAAATTCGGTAACTAGAACCATAATCTGAATTGTGATGCAAGACATTAAAAACATACCTGAATTGGGTTACTGATTTGTCCTAACTTGTTATGCTACACTCTGTAGGCCAATGACTCTGGCTTGGCATCATATGTTGCTGGCCAAATTGACCGTACCTTAAGCTGGAAGGTAAGAGAACACAACTTACAGCAATAGTCAGGTAATTAGCCGCCACAATAGGAAATCGATTTGCTCTAATAACTTGCATTTTTATACCAAACAGGACGTGCAGTGGCTCCAGACAATCACCAAACTGCCAATTCTTGTCAAGGGTGTTCTTACAGCCGAAGACAGTGAGTTACAATCCAACAATCAAATGCTTCATTGCTTGAGTTAAATCAGAATACCTAACCAGGCCTCCGATTATTATCCTTGTGCAGCAAGGATAGCGATTCAAGCTGGTGCAGCCGGAATCATTGTCTCGAACCATGGAGCTCGCCAGCTTGATTATGTCCCAGCCACGATCTCAGCCCTGGAAGAGGTAACACCATTTTCTTGTCCCGGAAAAAACCAGTCTACAATGCCAGTCTGCATCCACAACTTTAGTTATGTATTCATGAATTCAGGTCGTGAAAGCGGCACAAGGCCGAGTTCCTGTCTTCTTGGATGGTGGTGTTCGACGTGGCACTGATGTCTTCAAAGCACTTGCACTTGGAGCTTCTGGAATATTCGTAAGTATCATGCTTCATACTAGCATTTCGGCTGATTTTTCGTCAAACTGCTAGAGATCCTTAACAAACAGAAAGTACCTGACTCCTGAATGAAACAACGCTTGCAATTCAGATTGGACGACCGGTGGTATTCTCCTTGGCTGCTGAAGGAGAGGCTGGTGTCAGAAAGGTGCTTCAGATGTTGCGCGAGGAGTTCGAGCTGACCATGGCGTTAAGTGGCTGCAGATCTCTCAAGGAAATCACCCGCAACCACATCATCGCCGAATGGGATGCCCCTCGCCCTGTACCCAGGTTATAGAAAAAAAACAAAGAGATCGCAACGCAGCACACAACGCCGAACAAGTAATGATTTACACAGATTTCATATTCTGATTTGTCTTCAACTCCGCCATCTCTTCTCAAGTCTTGTTTCTGCCTATATCAAGTAAAGATTCTGTAATAATATAATCATGGCTACTTTCTGCCTTCTGTTCATTTCCATCTCTTAAACAACACACTGTCTGTTACAAATCACCAAGTTTTTCTCAAATCACATGTTGTAATATCACCACATCAGTTTCTTATGGACAACCATACTGATCAACCGAATGCGAGATGTCTTCGAACTGAGAGCGTTTACCATTGAAAAACAACGAAATTCAAACAGATCCAGGATTAGGACTATAGAGGAAGAAACTCTTTATCTGGTTCTACGAATCTTCGTATACAAGAAAGGAAAAACAGGACTCAGACAACTACACGCATACATTTCTTAGAGAAACACGAGATATACTCAAGTCGGAGCACGAGAACCAACCATTGCAGAAGCGTTTCTTCCTCATCTAATACGGCCAAAAGTCTGGTCCACCGGGCTTCTTCACAAGGATCCGATTGTACTCCGGTCTTGATGTCTGCAAAAGTAACGAAATTCTGAGAAACACTACCCAGAGAAGCGATCGGACGGAAAAATCGATCGGAATATAAGAAATAGGTGATGAATGATTCTGATGAAGAATTTACCAGATCTTTGAAGATGAGGAAAGTGATGACGATAAAGAGGACGAAGAGGATCTCGAACTCAGCCAATCGGAAGACAGCGAAAACTGAGTCGACGAACCGAGTCAGAAGCGAGTCGTCCCTCCTCCTCCCGATCCGTTTCGTTCCAGCACGCCGGCCGATCATTCCCGGTAAAACCCTCCCGCCGGCACGATCACAGCCGTCGTTAACTTCTATTTTGCCTCCTCGAGCCTTCCGGGAAAAAATCCGTTGAAGAATTATGATTCAAGCTTCGGCCAATCTTGGTCCAGTTGAAGAACCATGGGCCTTGTACTGCCCCCAATGACACGTCACGTAGAAACGGCATAGTGTTCAGTTTGTCGAAACACAAACGGCACGTCTTTCATTAACTCTAAAAGCAAGCCCACAACGATTCTTCGGCGGCCCATGTAGAACACAGACACGTCACGGGGAGTTGCAATGAATGAATGAACCATTTTCAAACTATAATTTTTAAAAATAAACTTGTCTAAAAACATATCGCAATCCCATTAAAAATATTCTAACTAATATTCCAAGCGTTTTCTTAGTCTTATTTCTTGTGCAGTTAGGTTGGTCAAAGATAGCAAAAATTATATTAAAAAAAATATTTATAAAAAAATTATATAAAAAATGGTTGTATAGTATATTATTCACTAGAAAGATGCTTCATAATACAAAATAAACATTAAGATTAAAATAAACATCAATCTTAATTTGGCTTTTTTCATATTTTTTGAAATAAAAACATTTCTTTTTCATATTTGTTGACATTTTCCAATGCACAAAAACACCTTCTTCTTCTAATGCGCCCCTATATTGGATATGAGATACTATTTACATTTTGCCCCATTCATTTAATTATGTTATACTTAGAGATATTTCAGTTCGAATATATAAAATCTAATCAAATTAAAAATAATATAGTCGCATTCGGATTGAACTATTATCTAAAAATCGATTCGGTATTATTTTTTTTTGGTTAACGATTCGGTATTATTTTTTAGATCATATTAAGTGAAAAGTAAAAAATGAAAGAATTTTTTTAGTTAAAACTTCCTGCTAATAAAATTCGAATGGAATTCAAATATAATCCAGTCATAGTATGAGATAATTAACGTTTTAATCTTTTAGGATGTTTGTTAATGTATTTTTTTTTTGTCACAATGAACATAAGCATATTTCAGAAACCTTAGTTATCGGACACTTGTAGAGATGCAACAGAAATATAGGGGCTTGTGTGTAAATAATCATATGACGAAACATCAAAAGAAAACATAAAATCTCTCTCTAAAAAAAAAAGGTAAGCTTTTTTAACTCATGGAATGAAAGTGTGCGTCTTTGTGAGCAGAAAAGGCCAAACAGAGGGAGCAGCCAAAAAGGAAGCAAAACCCATCATTTCCTTCTGTCTCTTCTTCGTCTTCATCATCATTGCCGCCGTCACCACAACCACCGCCGTTTTGCCGCTTCTTCTTATAGATTCATTGTAGACGTACATACAGATATACATACGCGTATCTCTACGTACAGACGCCGGAGATTGTTTTGTATATGTGGGGATTTTCGTTTCCGTTTCGTGGTGGAAATTTCTAACGGGTGTCTTTTAACTGTCGCATTTCTTGATTGTGGGAGGCCATCTTGATAATTTCCTGTCAAGATTTGCAATTTCTGAGAGGACAACAGAAGGAACAAAAAGTTCGTTCCTTGTCTGTTTTGTGACGATTTATAAGTTTTTGTCACGTTTTTTTGGTGGGTTTGTTTTGGGGTTTGGTAATCTGATCCAATGGCTGCTGTTACTGAGACACCCAATGACGATGTCCGCGACGTCAGAAGCAACACCGGCGGAGACATGATCTTCCACGGCGGCGGCGACGGTGGTTGTGGCGTTGATGAGAAGAGTTTGATCGTTGAATCTAAAGCCGAATCTGAGCTCAAACCCGAATCTGAATTGAAACCCGAATCCGATATGCAGAAACTTGTCGCGATGATCAAGAAACTGAATCCTTTGGCTAATGAGTTTTTCCCTTCTTACTACAACCAAAAGAACAATCAAAACGGAAGATTCAATCGGCTTCTGTCGGCTGACGTTTTCGTGATCGAAAAGAAGCAATCGGGTGATGAACATTACTCTGACAACAAGAAGGATGGCAATAACCGGAGGGTAATCGATTTCTTTCCTCTGAAACTTTTGTTCTGAAATTTTTTGAATTGATTGTTAGTGATATGCCATCTGTTTGCGGGATTCTTATGTATCTTGAGGCTGATTCGGACAGAACAAGGTGTGAAAATTTTATGTCTGGTTTGCATTGGTTGTCTAGAAATTGCACTTCTCATATGATCATTACATTTCACTTTCTGCATATGTTGTTCTTCATCATGACTGAAAATGGAAACTGAAGGTGGTTCCTCTGTGTTCTTGTTAAGCTTAAATGATGTTAGATGTCTGGCATTGACTGATGATATGTATAATCTCCGGTGACTAGTAATGAATATTGACTTGCATGCAGTTATTTGTTTTTTGTGTTGGGTGTCTGTGTTCTACAGAGGAGAAACAGCAATGGCCAGGGAAGAAGGAGATTAACTGGAAGAGGTTCCAAGGCTCAAAGAGAAGACAGTATTAGACGAACAGTATATGTTTCTGATATCGATCATAGTGTAAGTTCTTACTGTTTTTAAGGTTTCCAGTTTGAACTCTACGTTTATGGTAGTAATGTGAAGCATGCTGCAATGTTGGATATAGGTTACGGAAGAGCACCTTGCTGACTTGTTCGGCAGTTGTGGACAAGTAAGTCGAAGTTCTTTACTCGCGTATCTTTTGAAATTTTAGCCTAATTTTACGGTAGTAAACTCTTAGCCTTTGAAATGCATTTTGTTTTTGGTGACGACGTCAACCTCTGAATCTTCTGAATCCATTGTTAGGTTTAAGATTGATAAGTTGATGACTTAGTACCGATGTCCTGTCCTGGAGAATATGCTTATGTGACAGCATTGTCTTACATGCTTATTGAAATAATACCGAGCTGTTCTTTTTGAAGGTTGTTGATTGCCGAATCTGTGGTGATCCACGTTCAGTTCTTCGCTTTGCATTTGTTGAGTTTGCCGATGAGCGTAAGTCTGGCTGCCGGATTCCTCAAGGCTTTCGTAAATTTTCGAAATCACATTGACCCGTAATACTCGTCGTGAGTATTAATAACTTTGCACAAATTTTTCGGGAACAGAAGGTGCACATGTGGCTTTGAGCCTTGATGGGACAATGCTTGGGTACTATCTGGTTAGGGTCTTACCCTCAAAAACTGCCATCCTTCCCGTGAACCCTACATTTCTTCCGAGGGTAGGAGCACACAAACGTATGAAGTTCCTTCTATCAGTTTGATAAAATCCCGGGTCTTAAAAAAGTTTTTTTTTTGTGTGATTTTCGGATGAATTCAGTCAGAAGATGAAAGGGAGATGTGTACAAGGACTATTTACTGCACAAATATTGACAAGAAGGTAATGCAGTTTTGTACAAAATTTATTGCCTTCCTTCGTATATATGCATGTGTTTATGTATTTCTCTGTGTCTAGTAGACTTGTTTCCTGTTTAAGGCATTCCTTTAATTGCAGATCTCTCAAGCTGATGTTAAATCCTTCTTTGAAAGCACATGTGGTGAGGTAAGAACAGAACCCAGATCAGATATCTTTCTGATCACTTCTCGGTCAGAACAAAAATCTGGATCTTGTCTTGTTATTTTTATAGGTAACTCGCCTGAGGCTTCTCGGCGACCAATTGCACTCAACCCGCATAGCGTTTGTTGAATTTGCTATGGTAAGCTCCATCATTTATCATTTGAGGACAGCATCATCCCCAGTGGACTTGACATTGTAGTCTTTGAAAGTCAATCCCCTTTACATTTGCTTTCTCTAATGACTGTCTGAATCATGAACTGTATAATCTTTTTCTTTCAGAGCGTCTTAACAGATAAACACCACTGTTTGAGTATATTCAGATACTTTCTTCATTTTGATATATCCACCGATCTTTCCTGCAGTGATGATTTAAACTGATGATTAGCTATCACATGAGTGTTTGCTTGATCCCCCCTCGATGAAAATTACATTAACAAGTCCTTGTTTTTGCTAAATTCAAGCTGATCTGTCCTTGTCTTTGGATGAACAGGCGGACAGTGCAGTGATAGCACTCAACTGCAGTGGAATGGTCCTAGGAACTCAACCTATAAGGTAAGGTCTTTTTGCCTTATGAGAAATTGCACTTTACAAATAATAAGCTCTCTCTGAAAATCCATCAGTGAATCTTCATCTGAACATTTTCTGAAAATATTTGGTTATCTTCTCAGGGTAAGCCCTTCAAAAACGCCTGTGAGGCCGCAGATCACGCGCCCACCGGTAACAGACTAGGAGACTGAGTCGGATCCATGCCCTCTTGATGAGGGTAACTAACTGTTATTCCCATAAGAGACTACTTGTTCACCAAAGGGGGTGATTCGACACTTCATTTCTTCAGTAACTTTTCTGTTTCGTCTTTCTTTCTTTCTTTCTGGAACAAGTCGTCTTCCAGTTCTGTCACTGGAAGCGCCATGGAATCGCCTCTCCTCTCGGTGTGGAGTTCTTGTTAGTCTCATTTCTTAACTGAGATACTGTTTTTCATGGTTATCCAATGATTTTGGATCACATAGTTCCTGTGTTTCAATTTAAGTTCTTAAAATTTCTTTGGTGAAGATCTCATCTTCTTATACTTTGTGTAAATAGTGAATGCTGTCTGTTAAACAAAAAAGGTGGAATATGTATTTGGTAAAAGGGCCATCTGGTGAAACAGTGAAACCTTATCAGTAACTTCATGATTTTTGTTGGCCTGTGATAAAACCGGATGCATTCTGTAACGTATCTCAGCCGTTATTCAGAGCGATTGATACAATTTCTTCACGTTACTTTGGGAGAAAATGGTGGTGTAAGAAGCAACTGATATAACGTATGTACCGTTGGTATCTAAGGTAAATCATCGATGAGGATCTTGAACATGCATCAGATCAACAGCCATTGACAATGATGGTGATCACTAGGTAGCAAATGCAACGTGTAACTGAAGAAATGATGATACAGAGAGCAACAGAAGGGATGGATAAGGACAAGCCAACAAGTTTTTCAACCACTACAAGACATTCAAGATCATGGGTTCGTAGAGAAGAATTCTGCTTTTTTGTTTACCTCCAATTCAAAACGATGATCAGTAGCTATGATTGCGTGTTGCAGGAAGTAATGTTTGTCATTGTCATGTGTACCTTCCTTGCTCGAAAACTTCACCGTCAATCTCCACATGAGGAATATTCGAGATCTTGTATCGCTCTGTCTCTGTTTCGGACAACAACTCCGTCAGCATCGGGCATCTGTTTATGCGCAGGCAAGACAACGAACAAGGAAGGCCCTCCTCAGGTAATGACTGTAGCTTTTCAAATCCGTTCATCTCCATCATCTCAAGAGCTGTTAACTCTTGAAACCCTTTCTGATTCAGAGTAGTGAGATTCTGAAATTCGCTTATTCGCAGAGAAAAAAGTCCCTTTGGCAACAGCCCTTCTTCCGGAAACGGCTCAATTCCATCATTTCCTCCTTCGATCTCGAGATTTTGAAGGTTTCGAAGATCACGTAAACCCCAATCGATTCTCGGTGTGAGCTTTTCGCAGCGGCTGATGCAAAGTGTTCGAAGACTACGGGGGAAACCGCCACCGGGAATCGTCTCGAGTTGAGAGCAGTCGTTGATAAACACGGACTGAAGCGAAGTGAGACCGAACAGCTTCTCGGGCAATGTCCGAAGATTCTTGCAGTTCGAAAGCAACATCGACGCGAGCTTCGGTGTAGGCAATCCTCCTGGAGGGAACGTTTCCAGATTTGGGCAATCCCTAATTTGCAAGGCCTCGAGTGCGATACGATCTTCGCCGAGACCGGCACGAATCCAGAACGATCCGAAGTTCTGACAATCCGTGATCGAGAGGCTCTTGAGCCTGGGAAACAGGGATAATGGGAACGATCGGAGTTTGTTGCAGCTACTGCCGATGAACAGATACTCGAGCTGCGAGTAAGTGTGCATTGTCTGTAAACTCTCTGTGAATTCCAGTTTCTTGCAATCTCTTAGGTAAATGGTTTTCAATGTGGTTGGTGGGTGCCCTCCTGGGAACGATTCCAAAGAATGGCATTCAACGATGAACAGTTCTTGAAGATTTGGGCATCTTCCCATCAATCCTTCAGGAAGTGAGATTAGTCCCTCACACCTTTCAACTTGAAGACTCTGCAGACTCTGTGGAAGCTCCATAAGCTGAGATATTTCTGTCACTTTCAATCTATCAAAATCTGTTTCATCTTGAACTGGTGAAGGCCTCATTTTCTGAGACGAGCTTCCGCCAGTACTAGAGTCCGGGCTCTGAGTGGACACCTTTTGATGTAGTTGATCGAAACTGGTTCCTGGACCACTAGATTTCCCGACTAAGAAAGCTGGAGTATGGGAAAGAAGTGAACTTTGTGAGTGATGCAGAGCTGACATGCTATGCAGCTCAGTCAAATCTGAAATATATCCTGAATATCTCGCCGAGATCACAGCCACTTCTTCAGAATGATGTGACGAGCTTTCGTGTTCAGCTTCGTATGGCTCCTCGTGTTCTCTATGCAGCTGTGCTTCCTTATGGAAAGAGAATGGTGAAGGGACATCGGTTTCATCATTACCGTGATGGCTACTTGAAGTTGCATCTGGTCTTGGATTTTTCGTGGATGAACTCTCTCCGCTTCCTGTACTTGTGGAGCGAGAGCTGGCTGGACTCGGTGGGATGACTGATTGGAATTCTGGAACTGAAATACCGCTCCCGGATACACCTCTTCTAAGGGGGCAGTCGATGATGCTAACCTCGATAGAAGAAGGTAACCCGTTTGGGAACTCTTTTATTAGGTTGGGGCATCTTTGTATGATGAGTTTTTGAAGAGATGGAAAGAGCTCACCTTCTAGTTCAGGACATGCCCATTCTTCCCATCTTGGCATGCCATAGAACTTTAGTGTATGCAGGGATTGGAACGGTACAAGTGGAGGGTCATTATCACCAAAGAAAAACTCGGGACCGACTTTCTGCAATATATTGAATTTTTCAATGGTGAGGGACTTAAGTGAAGGCAACTGACCCAGTGGAGGCAGTGATATGCAGAGGCTGCAGCTTCTCAGAGTGACAGAGACAATGCCCGAGAAGGAAGGATCACCCAACCAGCTAGGAAATGTCGCACCCTCATAGGACTCTACACTTAGCATTTTCAAATTCGGATGAGGATGAAGCATCTTCAGGACCTCTCTCTGGTCACAAGCCAATGCACTGGAACTACCTGGAACAAAGTTGGAAGCTTTCGCACTCCATTTCAGGACTAACCGGTCGAGGAATGGCTTCTTTCTCAAACTAGCATCTCTTGCTTCGTTAGCAAATGCAACATTCTGCAACTCAGAGATTTCAAGCGTTCCTCGAAGATGGGAAAGGTCTTTCAGCTCATGCAGCCCAGCACCGCTCAGTCTTCCTATAACAAAATTCGACAGCTTCTGCAAGTTTCTCAGCTTGCTTATTCCCGTCGGCATTTCTTTCAGAGGTGTCCCGACAACATCGAGGTAACGCAAGTTGATGAGTTCTGCCATGCTCGTTGGCAATTTCGTGATCGACCGACAATTTGACAATAATAGTGTTTGGAGGTTACAGAGACTACATACAAACTCCGGTAGCTCTTTCAGTCTGGTGCTAGAGAGATCTAGATACCGTAAGTGCTTCAAACCTTTAAATGATTTAGGCAAGCTGATTATATGATAATGTGACAGACTAAGTATCCGTAGACGTTTCAGTGCCTGGAACAACTGATCCAGATCTTTTCTGGTTAATTGAAGAGATTCCAGATCTGGTGGAAGATCGAACGGTAGAATCGTCCTTAGAAGCTTAGCTTCCTGGATGGAGTTAAAAGTCTCTGAAGCATCACATTGGCTTCCGGAAAAAGAAAAATGCCGAGCCTTATCTGGTATCCGGAAGCTTCTGTTATCTTCGAGTCTGAAGCAAAAATCTTCGGACACAGATTTTGCTAGATCGTTCATGAGATCGTGCATAATGAAACTTGTCTTGTTGTAGTCCAGTGGCCGGAGAAAAGATCTAGCAACCAACTCGTTAATGTATTCATCACCGATGTCTTCCAATCTTTTGTTGCTCCCCGGTTGGTATAAGAGGTCTATCGCCAGCCATAGAAGTACCAACTTCTCTCTATTGAACACGTATCCCTTGGGGAATATCGAGCAGAAGGCAAAGCATCGCTTAAGTCGAGAAGGAAGATAATCAAAGCTCCACTTAAGAACCGGAAGGATATGACTGGTGTAGCTCGAGAAATTCTTCGATACAGCATACCATTCTTCATGATTCGGCTTGGAGCGAAGGTGGGACGCAATGGCTTTTGCAGCTAATGGTAAGCCCTTGCATTGCTTTGCAATCTTTTTGCCGATTCCTTCCAGTTCTCTGTCGAAAACAGATCTTGATATCAGTTCCCAACATTCTTCGTCGCTCATCAGTTTCAATGGGTAGCTCTGAGCGGTCTGGGTGATTGCACAAACGATTTCACTTCGTGTGGTTAGAATGATCTTACTTCCCTTTTGTCCATCGGCAAGCGAAACCAGGAAATTTTCCCATTCCGAATTGCTCTCAGCCCAAAAATCATCAAGAATGAGAAGAAATCTCTTCCCTGAAAGCGATTCCTTCAGTTGGACTTGAAGCGAAGGCAGATCCTCCGTGTTAACTGCGCCAGAAGTGATCTCATGGAGAACAGATTTTGTCACCCTCAAGACATCGAAAGTTTCCCCAACAAAGATCCACACTTTATGATCAAAATGCTCGGTCACATTGCTGTCATTGTAAACAACCTGAGCAAATGTTGTCTTGCCAATCCCGGGCATACCCACTATGGGGATGACACCTGGCTTCCCATTGTCAACTTCAACTTCGGAAAGCAGCAATTTGAGAAAGGCTACCTTATCTTCCTCCCATCCGATTACTCTGTGTAGAGGCAGATCAGGACTTGAAGGTGACCTTTGTCTCTGTGGTGGAGCTAAAGCCCCGCTATAGTCTCTCAGGCCCATCACCTCTATATGTTTCACATGATATTCCAGTCTCCGAACTACTTCTAACATCTCTGTTTCCATATTTTTCTGCAGGCCTTCTCGACCAACCATGAGATTTCTTATTCTGCCTCCGATTCCTCCCTCTTCAGCTACTACCCTTCTTCGTAAAGCTTCAGTTGATATCTCGTCAAGAACATCCTCTGCAAGGAAGAAAGCATCTTTAAGTTCAGTGAGCCAATTCCTTACTTCTCTGACATGCTCTGCCTTCTGTTCAGCATCGGCAAGCACTGAGTTTGCAGTCACGAGAGCCGTCTTCAATCTCCTTAGCAATGAGTTAAATGACTGTCCCCTGAAAAATTCTAGCAGTTCTCGAGAAGTATTAATCCGGTCAAGCATCACATTCACACATTGTGATAAAGGTGAGACCGCCATGTTTGGATCTTCTGCCCGATCCAACTGTTGGATTGTGGAATCTGATATTTAAATTTCTCTTGCTCTTCTCTGTACAGTTTATCCGCTGACCTGCAGCAAGAAACATAAACATAAACATCAAGATCCTGGATCCTGTCTTCCTTGCACTTGAACATGTCCAGATCCAGAAATGAACTAGACATTAACAGTGGTGATTCGTAATGAGTTGTTTCTACATTAGCATGTTCTCAAATTGTAGCGAGAATCTCTTTCTTTGCAGGTGTTAACAAATTTTCATCGCAATACTCATATATAAAGCAGCATCCAACAGGTCACATTCAAGAAAAAGAAGACAAAGGATGAAAGAAAATGAACCTGATGTGCCTATAACTTTGCCTTTTGAGACACTTTTGGAGTATATCTTCTTCTTTTTCACAAACTGCAATACCTTTTTCTTCTTTTTCTCAGAATCTCTTTTGTCGCGTTTAGATCTGATGAAGCAAGAAGGAGTTTGTTTGGCTTTCACAATGTCCTTACGTGCTTTGTTCCTCCGAACATTCAAAGGGAGGAAAGGTCAAACCAATGTGGCTGCGACCAATAAATAGTACATGCCCAGAAAACGTAAGTAAGTTTTCTTCTTTACCACCTCCTCTTTTTAATTTTATTTTTGGTTTAAATGTTTAACGATGTGAATCGTGGGCAAAGAATTTCACCAATGGTATTGAAAGCCACTTCAAAGATTAACATCTCATGCTATGTTTCCAACGAATAGCAACCTCAAACAGAATCAACAAAAGTTACCTTTGAAGATTTGTTTATCATAATTATTGGGTCACTGTTGTATATATGTCTTTGTGTATATATACATATATATATATATGTGGTGTGTGTAAGTCTCAACAAAGATCCAAACTAGTGTCTTCTTCTCATAGAAGTTCCAAGAAAGCACATTCATGGAATTAACTCGTTGTTTTGTCTCTTGGTGTCAATGTTGGAAGTCTGACTTTGTCCTGCTTGTATGTCAAAGACTAATCTATTCTTTGTTCCACTGCCAGCTCATATGGAATCGATTGGAATTTAATACTGTCGTTTCTGGTAAAAGACTTGTTTTCTTAATCCTAAAGTCTTCTTTTCCTTACTCGGTTTCTTGAGAGACAGTTCTAAGCTCCACCAGATTGTCTGAAACTAAAAAAGTTTTACACCAACCATATCTTAGACTGATTCCTTCATCTTATTCTTCACTAAGTCCTCCATAAAATATCGTTGGAGGCGTCCAAATCATACATGATTGGAATATGTTTATTTAGTCGGTCAACTCTTAACAGTTTGGTCTTCTTTAATCAAGTTTGGTTCTTTCAGTTGCGTCCCTTTCAAGTGCTTCAAGGTTGCTTTCGTTCTTCTTCTCTGCGAAACATGCTGGCAACTTCCAGTCTATGGTCTGAAAATTCACTTCGAAAGAACCGTTCAAAGTGTTTATTCCAACAGTTTTGTGGGGATTTTGTGTCTTGATCAAAGTAAATTAATATATTTAGTTTGTTTATGTTAAATTTCTCGGACTTTTCCCCCCACCAGTCTGTCATCACAAGTTGTCCTAACCCGCTGACTACTTTTCAGAATCTCCCATTTCGCAACCTTTGCATCAATTGGTTGTTTGAACGAGAACAAGATCTGATTTCCTGGTTTTTCTATTTTCTTTTTCTTTTGGTGATTTTCAGGGGGATTATTCGTAAGCAAAGGCAGGGAGAATGCCGATCGGCGAGATTGTTCTTTCAGCTTTCTTACAAGCTCTGTTCGAGAGGCTGATGTCTCTCCCTTTCCAGGACTTCTTCAGGAGGCGAGAGATGAACGAGAACATACTCGAGAGGCTGAATGTTGCGTTGCTAACGATAAATGTGGTCCTTATCGATGCAGAGGAGAAGCAGATCACAAACCAAGGTGTCGAAAAATGGGTCAATGAGCTGAGAGATTCCGTTTACCATGCCGAGGATGCTCTCGATGATGTTGCTACTGAAGTTCTGCGTGGAAAATTGCAAGCTGAATCTTTCATCGCTAGGCTGAGACAGCTTCAAGGCAGAAGGTCACTGGGAGATTTTCTTGAATTTAACAGTGAGGATTTGGAGGCTAAGCTCGAGAGGGTCACGATGAGGCTCGAACGTTTAGCCTCGCAAAGAGATGTCCTCGGCTTGAAAGAGATATCCACGATGAAACCGAAACCAAGGCTGCCAACTACGTCGCTGGTAGATGTATCTGAAGTTTTCGGTAGGGATAATGATAAGGATAAGATCAAGAGATTCTTGATACCGGAAAACGGGTTGGATAGTGAAACAGCCATCGTAGCCATTGTCGGAGTAGGAGGGGTTGGCAAGACCACACTTGCACAGCTCTTGTACAACGATTTTGACGTTCAGCGTCATTTTAGGACAAGGGCTTGGGTTTATGTCTCGGAGGAGTTTGATGTTTTCAAGATTACCAAGAAAGTCTATGAGTCAGTCACTTCCCGACCTTGCGATTTCACTGACCTGGATGTACTTCAGGTTAAACTGAAAGAGAGATTAATGGGCATACCATTTCTTCTCGTACTGGACGATCTGTGGAATGAAAATTTCGTTGATTGGGATCTTCTGCGTCAGCCCTTCATATCTGCCACTGGGGGAAGCCGGATTATCGTGACTACACGAAGCCAACATGTTGTCTCGATCACCCGTGCTGTCCACACACACAGTCTTCAACCTTTGTCTGATGGAGATTGCTGGTCGTTGTTTATGAAACATGTGTTTGGCAATCGGGAACCGTGCCTAGATCGAGAACTAGGAGGACTTGCTGAGAGGATAGTGCACAAGTGTCAAGGCCTACCTTTGGCTGCAAAAACGCTCGGTGGTCTTTTACGGTTGGAAACCGAAGCTAAAGAGTGGGAGAGGATCCTAACCAGCAGGATCTGGGATCTTCCTTCTGATAAGAGCAACATACTTCCAGTTTTACGAGTGAGCTATTACTATCTTCCCGCTCGCTTGAAACGTTGTTTTGCATATTGCTCGGTATTTCCCAAAGGGCATGCGTTTGAGAAGGAAAGAGTCATTCTTTTGTGGATGGCAGAAGGATTATTGCATCAGACAAGATGCAGAAAGAGTCTGGAAGAGCTTGGGGATGAGTACTTTTCGGAATTAGTTTCGAGGTCCCTGTTTCAACGAAAGAACAAGACGAGATTCGTGATGCACGATCTTATCAGTGAACTGTCTGAGTTTGCATCTGGAGAGTTCTGTATCAAGTACGGAGATGACTGCAAACGTCTCCCGGCTTCAGAAAGGACGAGATACTTATCATACCTTCGGGACTGTTATGGTGAATCTATGGAGTTTGAGGCACTTCACGAGGCAAAGTTTCTCCGGACTTTTCTACCGCTGAGCCTAACAAACTCTTCTCGGTCCTGCTTCTTAGATAAAATGGTTAGCGAGAAATTACTCCCGAACCTAACACGCTTGCGTGTTTTGTCTTTGTCGCATTACAAGATCACGAGGTTGCCATCTGTTTTCTTCAGGAACATGAGCCACGCCCGGTTCTTAGACCTTTCTTACACTGAACTCGAGAAACTTCCCAAATCCGTTTGTGTTTTGTACAATCTTCAGACACTTCTTCTGTCATACTGTCCTAATCTGACTGAGCTGCCTACGGACATTTGCAACCTCATCAATCTGAGGTATCTTGATCTCGTCGGGACGAGGTTGAGATTAATTCCACGAAGATTCGGTAGATTGAAGAGCCTTCGGACTCTCACTACTTTTGTTGTGAGTGATGGTGATGGGGCAAGGATTTGTGAACTCGGGGATCTTACAGAGCTTCATGGAAAACTCACAATCCTTGAGCTTCATAGAGTTGTGGATATTGCCGAAGCTTCAGGAGCAAAGTTAAACAGCAAGAAGCATCTAAAGGAGATAGATTTTGTCTGGAGAGCACGATCTGATAGCTCGGAAATCAACACAAATCCTCACAGGATGCAGATTGAAGCTGAGGTCTTCGAGATGTTGCGTCCACACCATCATATCGAGAAACTCACCGTCGAGAGGTATAACGGAAGAAAATTCCCGGAATGGATTAGCGACCCTTCATTCTCTAGCATCGTGTTCTTACGTCTCGATGATTTCCGGAACTGTACATCCTTGCCACCCTTCGGGCGACTTCCAGGTCTCAAAGAACTTCACATCTCAAGAATCAGAGGGCTGAGAAGCATAGGTTCAGAATTCTATTTCGGAAATTCTTCACCTCGTGATCAAGAGATACAGCCATTTAGATCGCTTCAGACATTGCGAATTGATGACTTGCCAGATTGGGAAGACTGGTTGGATGTAAGGCTGGCAAGAGGAGAGCTGTTATTCCCTTCTCTCCAGAAGCTATTCATTCTGAAATGTCCTCAGCTTACGGGCTTTCTTCCGACCCGTCTTCCTGATATGATCTCTCTTCACATCCATGGGTGCGAACAGTTGGATTTTCAGCCCGACCACCATGACCACAGCTACGAAAAGCTTCAACAGTTAAGCTTACGTAACAGCTGCGAATCTCTGGTAACGTTTCCTCTCTGCCACTTTGCTAAACTCGAAGGACTTGAAATCCACAACTGCAGATCTCTGCAATCTCTTCAGCTCTCGAACGAGCATTTGCTCGGTCTCGGAGCTCTGAGAAGACTGAGAATCAGTGACTGTCAGAATCTGATGCGTCTTCCCGAGAGGAATTTCCCGCCTCCGGAGCTTCAAGTTACAATCTCGAACTGCAGGAATCTCAGACAGGCAAGGGAACAGCTTCAGTATCCTCAGCCTCCTCTTCCAAGACCAAACATGTCAGGTTCGAGGAGGTCTGACTCGTATGGAAGCTATGGTTCACCACCATCAAGATATGATTGACTCGATGATGATGATGATGATGATTCAGTTTGTATCTGTATCTGTAATGTTTTCGCCATTGATTTCTATTTGATTTTATTTTGCAATTGTATGAGTAATTATACTAAAAAATTAATTTATATTTAAATTGATTAGATAACCAATAATAATCAATAACATCAATGTTTTTATGTATTGAAATGCTGTCAAATCGTAAACATAAACTGATGTTATACATGTATCAAAATTTCCAAGATTTTACATTGAAATAGAAGGGGAATATGTCTGGTGATATTCCCGTTCGATATTCGACTTGGCGTACGCGTGAATGGGTGACGTACCAAATATCTATATACGAATATTTCCTCTAGTTGTTATAAAACATTTCCAATTTGGGATTAAACAAAACATGCATGACTTGAACATTTCCTTGGATTTTGCAAGTTGCACTATTTTATAATATGGTCCAAATTCCAATATTATCGCATGTCCTTTACACACAAAAAAAAAAAGGATCTGGTATCCGAATTAATGCATTAAAATTAACATTTCAAATATATCCATTTTAAGATATTACAAAATTAGAATACGAACCCGGTTTGGTTCAATTTGGTATAGTTTAGATTTTTTTTTTGAAATAACGGTATAAAAACCTGTCATTCTTTGTTTGAATAAAAAAATTCGAAATTTCTTACAATTTCATTTGAATTTTTTTTTTTTCTAAATTCAGTACAAATAAAGTAAAAATATATTTCCAAATACAAAGTCTTACATGTAGAGAGACCTCACCGAGTATAACCTTCCTCGATCCCAAATTTCCTTTAATAGGAAACGCATTCGTCTGATTCTGTATTACACATTATACACATATATAATCATATATACGTACATATATATATAGCGGATTAGTGTCTTGATTAATTGGATCCAAGAAAAACAAGGGAAGGAAATAAACAAAATGCAGGCAGTAGTGATATTCCTCATAGCGTTTGCGGCTTTTCTCATGGTGATGTTCATACTGTGGCTCGTTCACTATCTCTACCACAAGTCCAAGAACGATGGCAAGGAGAGCACCGGCTGCTTCGGCAGCGGCTACGGCGGCGATTTCGGCGGCTGATTTCATTTTCTTCGTTCAATTTCGAAAATATGGTCGGTTTGTTTGGTTTAGTTCGGTTTAATTCCGTAAATTGGTGTATTTAAGTTGTGTCCTTAAACTCTGTGCTCAATGTGAAAGTGAATAACAGAAATTTGTCCCTAACTAATTCTCTTCATACTTTTTTGTTTGTTTTAATCTTCAATATTTATATCGGAGCCGATTCGTCATTTTCGGTTTTATATTTTGCATTTATACGGTGTTCGTGATTATAGAAATTCATGGTATATAGAAATTCGATTAGAGAATCGGAGCTTTTTGAACATGGAGAAATTCGATTATAAAAACGATGATGAGAGATGAGCACGACGTTGTCCTCCCGATTTCATATTCTTTGTTTCTCCGTCGAAATTTAATATTTCTTCATATTCAATATCGATTTTAAAATCAAATTATATATTTTTTTATTCAGCTTCAATCAATAGTTTCATAAAAAAATTCACCGGTTATTCATCGTTTAATCTCGTTATTTCCTCGGTTTCAATCCATCTCCGTTTTCTCTCTCTCTTTGAACCTCAACGAATCCACAGAAACCCAGTTCGCCATCTTAATTAACGCCAAATGGTATGATTTGATATTAATATTTTATTATATAATAATTCAATTGCATATTAATGGTGCCAACGAAATGGCGTAGAACACACAAACGGACACGTGGTCACAAGTCACAAGCTTTGGCCAACGCTCAACGCGTCTCGGCGTTTAATGAGCCAACGTTAATTATTCTTGAAAGCAACACCAAAACAGAAGAAGAAGAAAAAACATTAAGGACATGCATGCATGCACATGCACAGACAATGTTATCAGTTCTCTCTGTTAGCTACGTAATCCGCTAGCGCCATCAGAGGAACCACACCTTGTCCGAATCAAACCCCTAGAAGCTCTTCCGTGGCGTCTCTCTTCAGTTTCTCCGCGTTTTCTTTCGATCTCTCCAAACCCATCAGCTTCGGATACGTCAGCTTGTCGGCCACCGTGTCTTTTCCCGCGTTCTTCCCCAATTCTTGCGTCGATTTCGTCACGTCGAGGATATCGTCGACCACCTGGAACAATAACCCGACATTTCTCGAGAATCTTCGTACTTTCTCGATCTCGTCTTCCGACCCGCCACCCATTATCGCTCCAAGAACAGCTGCCGCCTCTAGCAGCACTCCTGTTTTGTGGACATGGATGAACTCTAGACGTTCTAATGCCGCATCCTCGTCGTTTAGATTCAGCCCTTCGCTCCTCAGATCCATGACTTGTCCCCCGACCAGCCCTTCCGTCCCGCACGCCCTCACGAGCTCCATTGTGGCGCGGATCATCCTCTCGGGATCTACGCCTTGTGTGGCGCCCATCATGTGCTCTAACGCTAACGCGTGAAACGCATCGCCTGCCAAAACGCTCATCGCTTCTCCAAATACCTTGTTATAGAAGAATGATTCAATACATTATACAAGGGTAATATTGTAACTACATATATTTGACATTGAATATATGCAACACATACATATATAGAGTAACAACAGATGGAACCTAGCTAGTTTTAAATACTGTATTTACAATAATATATAGTTCTTATGTTATATTCATATATAATTAATGAGAAGATGAGAATATGATAAGATTGGTGAATCTAGAACGCCCTTTACATTTTTTTAAAGGCCAACGTCCAAATAAAGTTAATAAACCATAGTTTTATAGTATTTTCTTTACATTTGTTCAACTGTACCATGAACTTCTGAATAGATCACAAATCTGTATCAAGTGTCCAAATAAACAATACAGTATGTCTTTTTTTGAAGCTTTAACGTATACATGATCTATTACAGAGCTTAAATGCAAGATAATGATTTATATAAACATTTCATGTACGTAAATTCATTGTCTATTTGGACATTTGTTATAGTTTAGCTCATATTGGATACCAAAACACGAAACTATGGATTAGCTATAACCATGATTGTTTCCATGAGAATGTAGACTTACAAGAACATTTACCCTACAATTTGGCACTTAACCGCTTATCTATAACCATTGGATCGTATATAAGTTCAACGAAATAAAAGATTCAGCTATCAAAATTTGGTCAGGAACCTTGTGGTTTGGTAAGTTTTCCACGATGGAGATCGGCGTCGTCCATGCAAGGCAAGTCGTCGTGGATGAGGCAAGCAGTGTGGATAATCTCAATGGCACAAGCCGTAGGCATGGCGGTGGCCTCGTCTCCGCCGACGAGCTCGCAGGCCGCTAGACAAAGGACCGGCCTCACCCGTTTCCCGCCCGCGAGCAACGAGTAACGCATCGCCTCGTGGATCTCGACGGATTCCTTGACCGGAACTATGACTTCTAGAGCCTTGTTGATAGATTCTTCCTTGTTGAAACATATGGTACCAGAAATCGAAGGAGGGTTTGTCCTCTCCCGCTGTGGAGGAGGAACAAAGGCACGAAACGGTTTATTTGTATTTACTTAATTTTAGTTATTTATTATAAGATGACTGATTGCGTAGAAATCTGCTGGAGTTTATCAATATTTCAATAGTTCAATTTTATGAGAAAAGATCAAGAAGAAATACAACAAAAAGTGTGAACATATACGGTTACGAGATCCCTCCGAGAACGAAAGTTATGGTTAATCTCTGGGCGATCCATCATGATCCCGACATCCGGGAGAATCCCGATGAGTTTATCCCGGAGAGGTTTTCAGACATGAATGCAGATGTCAAAGGGCGACAAAAGGGTTATTTTCCTTTCGGGTTTTGCCCTAGGTATTGTCCTCGAATGTATTTCGGATCTTGCCTTGTCGGAAAACGTAGTGGCGAATCTGTTGCACTGGTTTAACTGGGAGCTACCAGGTGGTTCTAGGCCGGAGGAGTTGAACATGTCGGAGATATTTCGACTTGTTGCCATCAGAGAACACCCTCTTCGACTTGTGCCAGTTCTCCGAGTTCCAAACAGTTCGGAGGTTTTATCTGAGTTTGGTCTGGAAACACGAGGAAGAAACTGTCAGTTAGTTAACTGTGGAACATACAGATCTGAATCTGGCATATCCGAAGAAGATTGACACTTCTGTTCCAAATCACCCAACAAAACTTGTATGGCTCTATACAAGTTTCTGCAATTTAGGTGACAACAATGGAAGTTTGTGAAGAACATAACTGTTTCTTTCACGACATTATGAGTCGAATCTTGTCAAACTCGTGTTTCTTTCTGAGCAATGGTAAATGTTGGTGACTGGTTCCAACTACTTCAACAGACCCATTTAATGAAAGCTGCCTATGTATACACACGTTTCACGACCACTCTTCTTCCACGTGGCGAATCGATCTCTTAGTAAGGCGAAGAAGATGTAAACTTCTGAAATGCCCGATTTAGGAATTTCCATCTGCGACAAAAAAAAAAAAAAAAACTTCACTTTGGCCATGTCTGTACTTTTATGGTTTTTTGTTCATCAGAAAACGAACCACCACCTTGGATGCATTAGATGAAAACTGGATCCTTCGTGTAATTACGGGAATATTAAAATTATCAAACTTTTTATTTGGAAAAATGGGTGAAGTGAAATGGAGGGAACCCCATCTGCAGCCACGTGCTATGACAACGAAAACTTCACCAATTCAGGGGTCATTCCCCAAATCGAACCCATAAGAGTAGAGAGAGAGAGATCGTGAGATTTCCTCGCTTACCGAAACAGGCTACCGAACATCGTTTGTATTGATCGGATAAAGGGCTTGGATTTAGAACAAGAAGAAGATGGGAACCGAAGAAGAAGGCAAACAAAGAGAAGCGGTCGTGGATCATCACCACCAGCCTCCTCCTCCTCCGCCGCCGCAGTACGGCACGTTTCAAGGCGTCGCCAATTACCCTCCTCCGCAGTATCCTCCGCCTTCGCAGCCTCCGGTCACCGGTTTCCCTCAGCCGGCTCCGCCGGAGGGGGCCCACCACCATCCCTCAAGCCAGCAGCCCGTTCATGGATACCCAACTGTCCCTGGTAAGTTCCTGTGAGATCATTGGTAACGGGGCTTAATTCCGGATTTTACCCACGGAAAGGCGTAAATTTTCTGTCGATCTTTTCGCGACCCTTGTGAGATTTTTCCTTGATTTGTTCAAGTTCATTGGAAAGTTTTGATCTTTCGTTAGGGTTACTAAAATAATATTTGAAATTTCAAGATTACATTTCTTGGGTTGCCCGGTTAAGGTCATGGAGACCGACTCGTGAAGTCACTGCGTGTTAAAATGAGCTGTCTTTTGAACCGGAAACAGTTATTTACAGAGAATCTGAGAAGTCATGTGGCTGTCTGTACTCTTAATTCTTTGCCGGAAATTGAGATGCTAGATTCACTTGCCTCGATGGATTTTAGATCCTTTCTGGATTTAGGTGGATTATGTTAAGAGCATAGCAACACTCTTGAATCTGGTTAGAGGATCCAATCTCGCTGAATCATGTGCGGTAAATGGATATATACATATACATATATATGTATATACATTGAATCAGTGTCTTGACTAAACATGGTTTGAGATCAAGGTTAGGGGGTTAGATGATTTCACTCTGTGTGGTGCTTTGGGGTCATAAAGGTAACTGGCAATGGTATCTCTCAGGTTATGCAGTTTCTGAAGGAGGACCTCCAAGAGAACACCGGCTCCCGTGCTGTGGCATAGGCTGTGGCTGGTTCTTGTAAGTTATTACCACTCTCTGTTTCATTTCACAATCGAGATTTTCGATCCGTTGGATGAGAAGAAAAATCAAGAATTTGTGGGTGGTTGTTCTTGAAGGTTCATAATAGGTATCTTCCTCGGGGCTATCCCTTGGTACATCGGGTCACTCGTTCTACTCTGCTCGAGGATAGATCCCCGAGAAAAACCCGGATACATAGCTTGCGCCATCGCGGTGAGTCTATACATCTCTCTCTCTCTCTCTCTCCGTTCAGTGACTGTTTTATCTGTTGCTCGTGTGGTTATCTTATCTCCTGATCGAAACCATGCGAGTGTTAACACAGGCTGTTCTTGCCACGATCGTCATCATTTTCGGAGTCACCGGAGGAACAGGGGCCTTTTAGGACAAAGGTACGAGGAAACGCAAACGAACTGAAGATTTGGGGAGTGTTGCGAGTTTATGTCGTGATCTGTATCTAATATATGTTGCCGCCATGTTGAAGATCAAAGGCTGTTGTTTATTTGTTTATATGTTTTTTTTTTGTGGGTAATCTCTTTGCTTATTATACACAGTTTTTTTTTATCTGTTTTTTTATTGTCAATAAACAATTAAATAAGTTATAAAATTGTAATCATAGATGCTGCCCAATCGATTTAGAGAGTGGTGGGCGTCGGTTCAACCAACCCAATTCTGTTTAATTATGTTAGGTAACGAGAGAAACATAAAAAGAATATATTTATTTAAAGGTGATTTAGATCGAATAAAATTAAAAAAAGGATAATAGGATCTATATTTCGAATATTGGAAACATGTAAACATTAAAAATACACGAAAAATTAACAAGTTAATTACAATTACAACACCACCCACCCAAAAAAATTTGTTATATATACAAATAAATAGGAAGAAATTCACGGCCCATTAAGCTGTAGACGAGGAGGCCCACAAAGAGCGAAAGTTTCCCCAAGCCTTTAGGGTTTTCTCAGCGACGCCATTTATACTTCTCATCGGCGTCGTCCCCTCCAGCTCTCCCGGTTTCCTCTTCCATTTTTCTGGCAGTCTCGACGGAGCTTGATCTCTTCGCGGAAATGGTTGCTTTCAGGGTAAGTTCTTCTTCCTCGTCTCATCCTTTTTTGTTTTCTTCTCGTAATTTATTTCTTCGTCCGAGGAACATTACAAACGTGAAGCTCTGAGTTTTGTGTTCTGTCGAGTGGGTATTGGAAGCGTATGATGCGAGTTATGGACTTGGATGGTATTCCGATCTTGAGAATCTTTCTTTAGGGGTGATAACCGAGTGCAATTGATGTGGTTATGATGAATTCTATCGCATCCAATTTACAGTAATCGAATTCTATGCTTTCTGGGTTTTGGATTTGGTAATGCCCGATCCCAACCAAGGAACAAACAAAGTGGGTCGGCCAGACTCTGAGAAATCAAATCTCTTTAATTCTCAATGATCTATGGTTTTCAGAGAAATGATCAAAGGATATAATAATAACAGTAATGAGTAGCAAATGCGTTAAGATCATTGGAGGCCTATGATGTGTTCTGAAGGTTTATGAACTTAACATCTTCAGTTTCCAGTGCATTTATTTGCTCTTCTTTGAATCTGTGGTGGCAGTTTCACCAGTATCAGGTAGTTGGCAGAGCCCTGCCGACAGAAACTGATGAGCATCCTAAGATCTACCGGATGAAACTATGGGCCACAAATGAAGTTCGTGCCAAGTCTAAGTTTTGGTGAGTAATGGCAATCTGTGAATCTTGTTTGCGCTGATTATCTTATACCATACTCGACACATCACTTATCTATGCGTATTCTCAATCTCTGTAAAATAAGACTTCTAGAGTTCTGTCCATCCAACTATGATATGGTCGTCATGCAAGGTTTTAGTTTTGAACTATTTTATGAACTTGTAAAATGGATCATATGTTTAGGTATTTCCTCAGAAAACTGAAGAAAGTTAAGAAAAGCAACGGACAGATGCTTGCCATCAATGAGGTATGAACTGCATCTACCTTTCATTTGTTTGTTCTCAAGGATTATGGCAGTGCTTGCTGAGAAGATGGGTTCTTGGCGAGCATTGCTTGTTTGGGGTAACCGATATCGATACTAAGCTGTTAGTCCGGTGACATGGGTTATTCCCATTTTCGAAATGTGATATCTTGCAGATTTTTGAGAAGAACCCTACAAAAATCAAGAACTATGGCATCTGGCTCCGCTACCAAAGCCGAACTGGGTATCACAACATGTACAAGGAGTACCGTGATACCACACTGAATGGGGCCGTGGAACAAATGTACACCGAGATGGCTTCTCGCCACAGAGTGAGGTTCCCGTGTATACAGATCATCAAGACCGCGACAGTGCCTGCAAAACTCTGCAAGAGAGAGAGTACCAAACAATTTCACAATTCCAAGATCAAGTTCCCTCTTGTTTTCAGGAAGGTTAGGCCGCCCACCAGGAAGCTCAAAACTACTTACAAGGCATCAAAGCCCAACCTGTTCATGTAACCAAGTTCTCTGTGATCAGATTAGGGTTCTTGTTCTTGCCCTAACAACAAATTCTGGTTCTGTTGGAAGCTTTGAAGTTGGCAATTTTGACACATGTTATTGAACATGATGTTTTGATTTGAAGTGTCCTTTCGGCGAATTTTCATTCATTCAAGTCAAAACATGTGTTTGGACGTGGAGTGATTCCTTTTGCATCGCTTTCAGAATTTGCTTGCTCGGGTAATAATAATAAGCTTTAATAGTTTTTTATGTGATATTTATTTCTTCTACTAATATATTTTTATGTGTTATATATGTGTATATAGATATATTTACATATATAGTATATCTACACCATTTCTGGTCTATATTTATATTATTGTTTAATGGATGCTTTTATTGTGTTTGGTCCTATTACAGCTTTTTTCCCCCTTTTTTACCTAATTTAGATTATAGTTGGTTTGTATTTTGATATTTTTGAGAGATATAAACAAATCGAGAAACATATCTAAAAGTAAATACGTTTCTTCATTTAGAATTACAACTATATTTCAATTTTTTATTATTTTTCGTTTTTACAAAATTATAGATGCTCAATTAATTTCGATTAAAGTTTTATCTGTTATATATATATATTTTAAATATTGTATTTTAAAAATAATTCATTTTATTATAATTTTCAATCTTTATATCCTTTTACATTCTATTAATCTAGTTTTAAATTTTATATTTAATTAATGTTTAAGCCAAAATTTAATTACATATTCTGATTATCTAGTTTTATGTAATTAAATCATATCATCGTTTTACGAGGAATATTGTCTTGTCAAAATCAACAAATTCCTTTTATTAATAGCGTTATTTTCTAAATTAAAATTAGTGATTAGAATATGACATCATAAAATGCGCGGTAAAGATTTGGACGGTAGCAGCAAAAATCAACAGACACAAAAAAGAAAAAAGAACAAATATTTGTGGTAAGTACAAAAGTCTTTTAAGGAATCGATGGAAGCTCTAACGAACGCCACCGCCTCCATACATCAAGAGCGCTAGCTTCTCTCTCTCTCCTCTCTCTTAGAAAAGAAAATGGAGATTTCTTCTGCATCAATGGCAGGTTTGGCGGCTTTAGCCGTTGCGTGGCTGTGGATTTGGAGATTTCTGAAGTGGGTTTGGCTTAAACCTAAGATTCTGGAGAGTCGCCTGAGAAGACAAGGCCTTGTCGGAACGCACTACACTCCTCTTGTCGGCGATGTGAGAAGGAATTTCAGTATGATCAAGGAGGCAAGATCCAAACCCATCAATCTAACGGACGACATCACTCCACGTGTCCTACCATTCCCTCTGACTATGCTCAAGACTCACGGTATGTTTGTCGTTCTTGTCGCCTAAACCTTAAAGTTGATTCCTTTGAAGAATCTACAGAATCGGTGAACAGAAGTCTGTGGATTTGTGATTCGGACAGGGTTAATCTTTTGTGGGTTTCCTTCTTTTTTTTTTTTGGGCGCTGAGATATGAAGTTTATGAGTATTTCTTTCTTGAAACAGGGAAGACTTTCTTTACATGGCTTGGGCCTATACCGGCGATTACGATCACAAATCCTGAACAGATCAAAGAAGTGTTTAACAAAGTTTACGATTTCGAGAAGCCGCATACGTTCCCTTTGGCTAGACTGATCGCAACTGGACTGGCGAACTACGATGGAGACAAATGGGCCAAACACCGCAAGATCATCAACCCGGCTTTCCACCTCGAAAAGATCAAGGTTTCTATGTTATTACAGTGTCTGAATTGTGTTAAGAGCGCCTAGTTTTCGATCTTGCAGTGACCCATTTTGTGTCTGGATTTATTGCAGAACATGGTCCCTGCATTCTATCAGAGTTGCAGCGAGATCGTGGGAGAATGGGAGAGACTGGTTTCGGATAAAGGGTCGTCTTGTGAGGTGGATGTTTGGCCGTGGCTCGTGAATATGACAGCGGATGTGATCTCACGTACCGCCTTTGGAAGCAGCTACAGAGAAGGGCAGAGGATTTTTCAACTCCAGGCAGAGTTAGCACAGCTCATTGTACAAGCTTTTCGCAAAGCTTACATCCCTGGATGGAGGTAAAAGCCTCATCTTTAGCCATATAGAATCATCGTGGTGTATATGGCTAGATCCAGAGTTAGAGAACCGATTAACCAGTGTTGCTGGAACTCGTATAAGTTTCCAGTTCGATACTATCTATTGAATACTCTCTCAAGAAATTCATATTTCTCGTTATACGTTTGCGAATCCTGTGAAACGTTTGTTTACCGCAGTGACAAAGGGCCTTATCTCTTCTCTTTTGGCATAGGTATTTACCGACAAAGAGCAATAGAAGGATGAAAGAAATAGACCGAGAAATACGGGCGATACTAAGTGGGATAATCGGCAAACGAGAGAAGGCGAGGGAAGGACCGAACAATGATTTGTTGGGTATTCTTCTCGAATCAAATTCGGGGCAATCCAAAGGGAATGGAATGAGCCTTGAAGAAGTGATGGAGGAGTGTAAGCTGTTTTATTTCGCCGGACAAGAAACAACTTCAGTACTATTGGTCTGGACAATGGTTTTGTTAAGCCAACACCAAGACTGGCAGGCTCGGGCGAGAGAGGAAGTGATGCAGGTACTCGGTGACAAGAAACCCGATATGGATAGCCTCAACCAACTCAAAGTTGTAAGTAATATATATTCGAAACGTTTTACGTTCTAGAAACCCTGGTTTTCGCTAATCCTTGCCGGTGTTGTATGATTCTGCCAGATAACGATGATATTCTACGAGGTTCTGAGGCTTTACCCTCCTGTAGTTCAGCTCAACCGAGCAGTCCACAAGGAGCAGAAGCTCGGAGACCTGACACTCCCGAGCGGAGTTCACCTCTCTCTACCGATTATGCTCATCCAACGTGACACCGAGCTATGGGGAAGCGATGCGGGGGAGTTCAAACCCGAGAGATTCAAAGACGGGATCTCAAAGGCGACGAGGAACCAGGTTTCGTTCCTCCCGTTCGGATGGGGGCCCAGGATTTGCATCGGACAGAACTTTGCCTTGATCGAAGCTAAGATGGCTTTGGCTTTGATCCTGCAGAGATTCTCGTTCGAGCTGTCTCCGACATACATTCACGCGCCGTACACTGTCGTCACGATCCATCCACAGTTCGGAGCTCACCTCGTTCTTCACAAGTTATGAGAACAGAGGCTTTACTTTTGGTAAGGGAATAATAATAATAATAATAATATGTTAGAGTTATAGATGGAATAAAATGAATAATCTATGTAATTCACATGTTCAGACATTGTTGTATCTAATGTTTTACCTTTGACAGCCTAAAATTACTGTCCTTAATTTTGATTTTAAATCATCGAAATAATTTATCTCTTACTTTTGAATTTATTTAAAATTGATTAGATTTAATACCGCTCAATCTTAATGATGTGCATTTCTACTTGAATTTAAACTTTTTTTTATCTCCAATAACAATATGCATTAATATATATATATATATATATATTAATGGACAAAAAAAAAATGAATATGGTAAGGAAGTTAAACTGAAATACAAACCATAAAAGGACAAAATTTATTTCGTATTCCTTTCTTAATAAAAATAAGTAGTTTTTTTTTATAAAAAATGAAAATAAATAGTTTGTTAACAATTACGAAAAGACAGAACCGATTCCCTTGTACATCATTTACTGCCCTTCTCTCTCCGTCCGCCTGCGGCACACGCAAAATCCTCATCCCCTGACGCCGCAGCCCTGGTGAGTTCTTTGGCTTCTCTTCCATTTCTCGTGTCTTTATCGATTTTGATTGGCATCACTCTTGGAGTTGGTGGAATTATGATTTGGGCATAAACCCAATTTCATCCGCTGTTGGCGAATGCGCTGAGAAATCGGATGTGTTCGAATCAAACGATCTGAGGAGAAAATCAGGCCGATTTCGCCCTTCTTCAGAGTTGTTTTCCGTTTGCTTTTGGTGGGTATTCCTTCTCGTTGGTTCCCAGTTTTGGAAACGCTCTCGAAGAGTTCATAAATTTCGCAAGCTTCCGTGTCCATTCACGTGAAATGTCCGAACTTCTCCCGTGCCCTGCTTAAAGTTCGCAACTTTTCGCATGCCCATGTATCAAAGAGATGAACTTTTCTTTTCTTTCTTCCCTTTTTCCCCATTCGGTTGAGTGAAACCTCATGCTTTGACATGAATTCGGCGACCCTTTTGTTGAATTTCTAGCGGAAGGGCTGTGTCAGGAGGGCGAAATTGATGCATGTGAGTCGACACGAGCTCCTTTAATGGCGGTTTTGTCTTCCATGAAGAGCCATCAGTCCAGCGAAATCCCAGAGGATAGGCTAAGCAGCCTCCATGACAGCGTTCTTTGCAGAATCCTGAACCGTCTTCCTATTGAGGAGGCGGTTCGGACCTGTGTATTGGCCAGAAGATGGAGAAAGACATGGACCAACATTACAGATCTGCAGTTCGATGATAAGAAGCAAAGGGATCATGGAGATAATCGGTTTGTGCAGCTCGTTCAACATGTTCTGCATGGCGTCAGCAGTCCACATATAAACAGTTTCTGTCTGGAGTCGGTCAATACCTGCGAAGAATCAGTTCTTGGTCCGTGGTTATCCACCGTTCTGAGCCGCTGTCTTCAGAGGCTTGCTATCACTTGGTATGAACCCGAAAGCTTAGACCTTTCTCCATTCTTCGGTAGGTTTAGCTCTCTCGTGGAATTGAGGCTCCGAGTGAATAGCATTCTTAACATCTATGGTCCAGTGAAACTCCCGAATCTTCGGTTCTTTAGCCTTGAGGATGCTAGAATCTTTAACGTGTCTTCTGCCTCGGGTCAGCTCTGTTTCTGTCTCCCTGCCCTTGAAACTTTCGAAGCTTCTTATTGCCATTGCTTCGGGACCAGTAGCATAGTCATAGATTCTCCATGTCTCGAGCTTTTTGAGATGATCGAGTGTAGCTTTGAGCAAATACCCGATGGGTCTGGCAATTGTCACATCAGAGTCTTAGCTCCAAATCTAGCGAAAATTATGTTTTCAGGCAGTCTTCCCCAGACGGTTTTCCTGTCCTTTCCATTGTCGTTACCCGATGCATATCTCAGCCTTGGCAAATGGTGCTGGACCCCGAGCTTTCTCGAAGGCTTTTCATGCGTTAAGAGCTTGGGTCTCGAGGTTAGTTCCTTTTTTTTCCGTCTGCACGGTACTTATTAATTTATTATCTATAAACACTTTACGAGTTTTGTTCTCCGAAGCTTTTTGTATCCAATCCAACGGCCCATTCTCTCAACTGTTATCTTGTCTTTGTGGTGTGTGCACTCAGCTTAGCAACGATTTCGGAACAGCGAAGGTGCCGAAATTTAGACAGTTGGTTTACTTGCATCTGATCTACGACATGGTGGAACATCGTAATCTGATGAAGTTTCTCGATCGATCGCCAAAGCTCGAGATGCTAAGCATCCGTGTAAGTCCTCAAATGCTTTACTTCTCTAATAGATGCATGTCAATGTATGGTCTATCCACATACATATGCAATGACACAAGCATTTGAATGAATGATCGAAAACCCGTTTCTTGTTTTGGTTTTCGGATGAATACCAGGACCTGGAATCCGTGAATCCGATCTACCATTCGTCGCTGTTCTCGATTGAGCCACCGGATTGCGTTAGAACCACGATAAGGGTCCTGCAAATCAGAAATTTCAACGCCAGCTTGCAGCAATTAACGGTGGTGAAGTATTTTATGGAGAAGGCCGAGATTCTTGGACCGGTGATCCTTTGCACGCCCAAGTATACGCATGTCCCCGAAGAAATCAAAGCTCGGATCTTGAATTACCCCAAGGCCTCGGCCAATGTCCGTGTTTTCTTCGAGTGAAGCCGTGCCGGATTGTTGCTTGTTGCTTACAGAGAGTATGATTCCATCTGAAACTTTTATACAGAGAAAAGAGATGTCTCTATGTGAGTGATGATATTGTTCCGAACCTCAAAAACAGTATGTTCTTAAATAAGTTGATCCAACAGATTTCATGCAGCCTGGACAGCTAAATCCGAAGCATGGCGGATAATGTGGGACCGATTTCCATTGGAACACATTCCACCACCATCGGTGATTCCTGTTGGCATAGTTTCTGCTTCGGTTCGGGTTTGAACAGAGACTAGAAAGAGTAATCCGAGTGGATCTTGACAATCATAAAGGTGCATTCTTGAAGATCTGAATGTCCTGGTTTGGGGGATTTCTCGACCTATCTGTGCAGCACTTAGACGCGAAGTTAAGCCTTAAAGATTTGCGGAAATGATGCATATGGAGTGTGGAATTGGTCGAAAGCCGGGTACCCCAAACGGCAAAAGGTACAAATACAAATGAATATATTCCGGACACCAAAGCTCTGTGATATTCAGTCCTCAAAACTTCAAGTGCAACTCCTTACCAAGTCTCTTGCAAGGCTTCGAGCATGCATTCCCGACCATGCATATGACAAATCAGCAGATCTAAGCAACAGAAGATTGACTCGGATTCTAGATGATTTCGATCACTCGTGAGAAATGTGTGAACTCGGTTCTTGAGTTCGATCCAGCTACAACCCGGTTTTTTCCTCACGTTCTTCTGTCTCATCGCGTCTCTTACGTCCAACACTTCCTCGTATTTCCCTGCTTCCACGAAAACGTTAGACATCAGGACATAACTTCCACAATGCTCTGGTTCGAGCTCGAGCAGATGTTGTCCAGCCACTTTAGCAAGATCTATGTTCCCATGGAGGCGAGAAGATGCCAACAATGTTCTCCAGACCACGGGATTCGCTTCCACAGGCATCGTTATGGCTAAATCGTATGCTTCCTTGAGCCTTCCCGCTCGACCAAGCATGTCAATAACGCATGCGTAGTGTTCAATGGTCGGGACGACGCCGTAAACTGAATCCATTTGGGTAAGAAATCCTCGGCCTTCGCTTACGAAACCAGAGTGATTGCACGCTGTTAAAACCCCGACGAATGTGACTTCGTCTGGTTTGAAACCATCTCTGCACATCTGTGAGAACATTTCCAAGGCTAACTTACCATGGCCATGAACACCGTAACCCGTGATCATGATGTTCCATGAAGCTGTATCGGTATTTCCCATCGTATCAAAAACCGAATGAGCGTTCCACATGTTCCCGCATTTCGAGTACATATCCATCAGAGCATTGCTTATGAACACATTATTGACGTTCTTCGAGATTCTCGGGTTTAGAAGGCCTGTAACGATCATGTAGCCGTGAATCTCTCGGCCCTGCATCAATGCAGCGAGACAAGCGCAAGAAGGAAGAACAGTCGTCAATGTAACGAGATCGGGTGGGATTCTGCAACGTAACATCCTGTTGAAAAGAGCTAATGCTCCTTCATGATCGCCGCAGAAGTCGTGGACACACAAAATGGAGTTCCACGAGAAGATGTCCCTCTCGTCCATTCCTTCGAATATCGTTACCGCCTCAAGGAGATTCTTGCTCTTGCCATACATATCGATCAACGCGTTAGACACCGCGATACCCGAATCAAATCCCATTTTCACCGCAAGACAATGGATCGATCTGCCATTGCCGAGCTCTCCCATGGCGGTAAAAGCCGATAAGACTCCGGTGATAGTGTACCTACCTATCTCGATTCCTCCTTCACGCATGTCCATGAAGACTCTCGAAGCATATTCAAAACGCGAAATCTGCGAGTACCCATTAATCATAGCATTCCAAAGCACAACATCGTCTCTCTCAGGTAATTCGTCGAACACTTTCTGAGCATCCTCCATTAACACGAACTTCAAGTAACACTTCACCAAGGCACTCCCTACATAACAATCTGAATCCAACCCGAGTCTAAACACCAGCCCATGAACCTTCTTAACCTCTGAAATATCCATGGCTTCGCAGCTTGCTTTTATCAAACTGGGGAATGTGTACTTGTCAGGGAAAATTCCCTCGGCTCTCATCTCTCTGTATATCTTCATTGCATCCAAAGGAAACCCATTTACGACAAACCCAGAAATTATGACGTTGTAGTTGAACACGTTGCGTTCAAACCTATCGAAGACCGAGACCGCGCGCCGCATCTGACTGCACTTTGCGTACATGTTGATGAGGCTCGTGACGCCCTCCGGCGAATGGTCGAGAAACACTTTTCTGACCATGAAACCGTGGACCTGTTCGCCGGAAGTGGCGTCGCATCGTTGAGCACACGACTGTAGCGTCGCGATGCATATGGCAACGTTGTGAGATTCGTGTCTCTTGATCTCTTCTTCGTTTCGCACAGAGAATGAGGAAAAGGAGGATGGTGAAGTGTAAGGCCTAACAGCGTAGGCTCGGGAGAAGATGACACGCCGTAAATTTCCACCGTCGGAGGCTGAGTTTCGGGGGAGAAGCTTCAGGGCTCTGACATGAAGATTTTGGATCATGGTTTTTTGTGCTATGAAAACAGAGGTTTCTTCTGAATATAGGGTTTATATAGCTCCACTCCTCTAGAGATCTTGGTCCTAACATCGAAACCATACCTGTTTAACCATTACAGATCCCGCAAAAAAGATGCTTGAAGAAATCAGATGCAATGTATACACAACTTTGATCCAAAATCACCAAAAAGTTGACAAATTTGCGCAACCCATCTGATATTTGCGTGAAGCTGGTGGAGAAAGCAAAGCCAAACCCAGATTTCAGTAAAGCTCCATTATGGTTAAAAAACTAGGAAAGGTGATAATTCTCGAATTCTGTCTTATTAACCCATTGGAACATAGAACATACCAGCATTGATGAGACAAGAACATCTAGGATTATTTGTCCGAAGAAAAACAATTCAGAGATCATATGAAACTACAGAGTTTGAGGCACAAGAATGCTGCCAATCACTGGATTCTGCTACTTTCTATTTTCTATGTCCATCTCTGGCTACAATCTTGAATTTTCCCGTTCCTTGTTGCTGCAAAAGACACGAGATAGCCAATCATCAAGCTTAGGTAGGGCTAGACAAGTAAAAAACTGGGAAATACGAATTTGATTCTCACCCGTTCCCATAGCTTGGTGTGTTCTTTGCAGAATCCAGCCACAATGCCGCCTGCCTTCTTGCCCTCACGATACTCGATGCAGAAATCTTCCTTCAACCCACAAGTAACATGAAATGCCAACTGACATTTCATCTCCGAACACTCGATGACGCACCCACGCTTGACCTTACACACATGGCACATCTCTTTCCATCGCCCTTTCGGTATCTCACTGCAACAGATCCCTTCCCTTCCTTCTGGATCCTCAAAGTAAACCTCTGGCACGAACAACGAGCACACGATATGAGCCCATCGGCCATCCTTTGTGGGCTTCAAGGCACCACCTTTGGTCGTACATAAGCAGCAAGAGAAGGTCTTTTCCCCATTTCCCGATGACCGAGATTCCAAACACTGCCCGCAAAACCAGTCACCTTCTGGTATTCCCTTAACGAGAGGGTTACCATAGCAAGAAGCGTGAACCATTAGATCACACCCATCACAGAAAACGATTGGATCTGACGGGTCACCATCTGTGCTCCGACATACGGCACACACAATCCCATCGTCTTCATCATCCTCATAATGACCATTATCACCATCATCGTCTTCCTCTTTGCTCAATTCTCCACCGCTAAGTTTTTCATCCGACAGAACAAAGACGCAGTCTTTCCCTAAAGGGTCAATATTTTCTTTTCCTACTTCTAGACTCGAATCAGCCATCAAAGTCCGTTTTTTCTCAAATGGGTTTTCCTCAAAGGATGGTTTGTATTCAATATTCAGATCAAAAGGCGAAAGGGGTTTACCAGAGAGCAAATCGGTATCAATCGCCCATACCCTTTTCTTCGCCGGCAAGCAAAAATAGGTGGGTCCTGAATTCTCGCCGGCGTCGTAATCCACCCGAGTCTCCTTTCTCTTCTTCGCCGGAAGCTGCGACGGTTTCACCTCCGAATCGATCCGTCGCTGCTCGCGTTCCTGTTCCCGCTGCATCAGTCTCAGTCTTTTGAGAGGAGGCAAAGTTTGCAACTTGGAATCCATGACTCCGAGTTCAGATTTCTGGGTTAGTTTTTCTCGGTGAAGAATTAAGGTTTTGTATCTCTTTTTTTACTAATCTTTCTTCTGAGACGCAGGCTTTCCCTAAAGGGTCAATATTTTCTTTTCCTACTTCTAGACTCGAATCAGCCATCAAAGTCCGTTTTTTCTCAAATGGGTTTTCCTCAAAGGATGGTTTGTATTCAATATTCAGATCAAAAGGCGAAAGGGGTTTACCAGAGAGCAAATCGGTATCAATCGCCCATACCCTTTTCTTCGCCGGCAAGCAAAAATAGGTGGGTCCTGAATTCTCGCCGGCGTCGTAATCCACCCGAGTCTCCTTTCTCTTCTTCGCCGGAAGCTGCGACGGTTTCACCTCCGAATCGATCCGTCGCTGCTCGCGTTCCTGTTCCCGCTGCATCAGTCTCAGTCTTTTGAGAGGAGGCAAAGTTTGCAACTTGGAATCCATGACTCCGAGTTCAGATTTCTGGGTTAGTTTTTCTCGGTGAAGAATTAAGGTTTTGTATCTGAGATTCTACTTCGAGATCGACGAAGATCACGAAGAAATAAAAGAAAACAACGAATGCGGGACTTTGGCGCCTGAAATTTTCGGAAACGTTGTCAAAGTGAAACAAGAGGAGGGTGGGAAGAAAAGCCCGGGAAAATTTCGGAACTTCTCTCTCTTAAATCAAATATCTTAAGTTTCCCTCTAATTTCACCCGATTAAGACTTTTTTCTCTTTAAAACATTTAGATATTGTTGTAGATCTTAAACTCTACTGCCAGTAATTAATTATCTTTGATTTTTTTAATCAATTTAAAAATTATTCATCCATTAAATCATATTACGCTATTAGTCTCATATTCATAAATTCTTGAGATATTATATTCTTTCATAGTTTTTAAAAAATATAAAAAAAAGTCACATATACCCTCATTAAAATAAATTCTCTTGAATAATCTATAAAGTTAAGTATTTTTTAATTAAGGATAAAAATCATTTAAAAAATCTAAAACACCGTCTATTAAAATATAAAAAATATTTTCTCAAATCTCAAACAACAACTAATGGAGTATATTCTTAATTACTATTTGAAAAGGCATTATATCAAAAATACTGTTATTTTGACTTCAAGACATACCCTTCTCCATCTGTCATATGTGATTCATGTGACTAGAAATTTAATCATGATCATATTGATCCTAACGTTAAATTTACAGTGATCACACATATTGATTATGTTCATACATTATATATATCACTAATTATTTGATAAAAATATTATAAATTCAACGTTATGATCAATGTGACCAAGATTAAATTTCTGGTTACAGAAATCACAGAGTCACGGATAGATAATGGTGTGTGTTGAAGTCAAAATAGCAAAATAAGAGTATTTTTTTTATAATGCCCCATTTAAAAATTTAAAATATCAACTAACAAAATACAGTCTAAAATCTCAAATTGTTAAAATAATTTGTTTGTGCAGGGAGACACACAAACAAAAGTCCTGTCCAGAATTATCATTTGATTTTGAGCAGTTGCCAAGTAGGGTTTTCTTCCATGGATGCGAAAAGATTTCTTTTCGTGCAAGAAAAGTAAAGAGCAAGAAGAAAAGACGCAGAAGCTTCAGCCATCTTCGTTCAAATGTCAAACTGTATAAACAATGGCTTTACGTGATGTAGAAGCAAATCGTTTTTACACTTACTTTGCCGTGAAGGGAAGAGAAAGAACAGAACAGAACAGATCAGATGAACAAAAACAATAAAATAATCTTCGCAAGCAACACAAGAGACAAGAAACAACGTTCTTCAATCCCACGGCAGACCAGAGAGAGGCTCCATCAACAATTGTCCATGTCAAGAGAAATCGCCAGAACTGAAAAATTTTCCAGCTTCAATCTCGACAGCGGAAGGATTCCTTTTCCGAAACCAATTTCATACGTAAGATACCATCAAGGGCTCTTTCGATTCGGTCTCTCTGGACTTTCCGTGGTAGTGGAAGTACAGAACCAGTTGCACGATCCCCAGAACCGTTCCTATCCCATTCGGCATCTGGAATTCGAGACAAGGAGTTCGTTATTTGGACAGGTTTTAAGGAATTTCAATCACAGGTGGGAAGAAATTTTTGGAGATCAATGTAAGATATTGCAGCCATATAGATGAACTTACAAAAATAAAGGCGTCGTTGTTGAATAACCCGTAGAGAAAGAACGAAACGCTCATCAAGAACGTCGATAGAGACAGATAAAACGGCATGAACTCAACGCTCTTTGTCCTGATCACCAGATTCTGTTTAAAAAAGGAAACAGAGATACTCAGTCAAGAAAGTTGCAGGTGAAAGCTTTGAACCGAATCAAAGGAGGTATCAGATATAACTCACGATCACGAACAAAGGCGAAGCAAACATTGAAACGAGAGAGCCGCAGCTCAAGAACCCGACGAAGAACCATCTCGTCAGCTTGTCGGGTATCTGCAGGCTTCCTGCTACAATCACTGCAAACACTGAAAATACCGCGAGCAGTAACCCGAGCATACGCATCTGAAAAGGAACATGCTATAGTCAAGAACAAGGAATCAATGATGAACAATTCGGATTCAAGAACGAGTTTGCTGAATAACCAAATGAACCTTGTTCTTTTTCTCGGCGTATATAACGAAGAGGATACTGTATGAGAGCTGAAAGATGGCACCGATGGAATTAACCGTCACAACCATGACATTGTTGGGAGATACGAATGGTGTGCCGTACCACAAGCAGATCAGGCAGTTCAAGAGGGCGTATATGTAAGGCAAACCCGAGAACTGTTCCGTTGATCGGTTTCTGATGATTCTTCTAAACGTCGGCCTGCGAATTCGGACATGGAGATACCGATAAGTTTGCAGAAAGGGAGAATTGTCTTGTACAAGTATGGCGTTGGAAAAAACTTACATGGGTGAGACAAAGAGCCCAAAGGCAAAGATGTTGCCTGAAACATTGATGAATTATCCATCATATAAAGCAATCATAGGTGACATAACGCAAAACCCAGTCAGTAACAGATGAAAAAGCTTCAATCTTTGGCTAGAGATCTGGAATTTCACAGTGATATGAACAACAAAAAAAAAATCTGGTCTTTATTGAACCTCGGCCTGAAATTCTCGCCCCAGATGCATACAATGCCTTCATTTTCACATGAATTCTGATGAATTGTTATCTAAAGTCGTAGAGTTCACAGATTAGGTATCAATGGTCGATTCGACATTTGAATTAGGGCCACAAAAACCCAGTCCAAACATGAAATTCCGAGTCTTGTTGTGTTGTTCAACAAGTCTAACAGAAGATTAAAAAGCAAATGATCCAAGTGAGGACCCAGAAAGAACCCACTGAGCGAAGAATTCATATTTTATTGGATAAAAAAAACAATATCTTTTTGGAATCTACATCATGGGTTTTGTCCAAATAAGCATCATTAACACACCAGAGAGAGAGAGAGAGAGAGAGAGAGAGAGGCAATTGTTCGTACCTGCAATTCCTGCAACATCCTTGCAGATTGAGAAAGGACCATGGAAAGCGAAAACATCCATAAGAACTTCTGTGTGATGAATCATCGTCATCTCCTTCTCTTCTTCCAAGCGACAAGCTTTCTCCTCTGTCCTGTTCCTTTTGCGCAAAAAAAAAATGCAGAGAGGAAAAAAAAAAGAGAGAGCTGGGATTTCCACAAGATTATCGTGTGATTTTCTGAGAATGGTTGCAAAACTTTCTTTGAAGAGGAAGAGGAGGGAGTTGCGATATTTATATATGCGGCCGAGATTTGGTGTGGAAATGGCCCTTTTGTTTCTCTCCCTTTTTTTTTAAACACCAAGAAAAATGAATAATTAGCCTCCTGAACGGATGATGACCTTTCTTTTAATTATATTATCATATTTGAACATGCATCTCTACGGATAAACAACCTCTTAATTGTTATAACCCGATTATTTAATTTTATAAATTATCATTCAACCCTACATATATATATATATATATATGTGTGTAAATGAACACAAAAGATAACATTCCCAAACGAAAACCTCAAAACCATCCATAAGCTTATCCAAACTGCTCACGAAATTTAGTTCCCAAATCCATGATTGTTGGATCATTCTAGATAAGATCTCCCCGTGCGGATGACGTGGACCAAGAAAATCTTTATCGTTAGGTTTTTCTCGTTGTATTTGTATATGTAAACGTGTTTATCCGGTTAAAAATGGAACATTTAATTTTCTGAGTTTAGAGATTAAGTGTTGAGGGGCGAAAATTTGATTTTTGATTTTTAAAATCGATATATATTGTTATAGTCACAGATGTATTACAATATCAATGTTTTTTATTTGCTTCAAAAACTTGCCTTACGCTACCCAAAATAGTCAAAACATTTTTTAAAAAAATTTCCATAAGTTTATTAGGAAACTAATACCGATTTTATAGTTTGCCCTCGTTTTCGAGATTAGTTTGGAGTTCGACTCAAGATACCCGATTATAAAAAAAAAACTAATATGGATTTTATCAAAGATTAATCAATCGACTGGTCTTAATTAGTAACTTGGACCAAAAGCAAAGAGAAATCTAATTAATTAATTGAACATATTAGTCTAACATATAATATTCCAAAATCAATCCGTTTTTTCCTAAAAGGCAAGGCAAAAGAGAAACACGTGTTCTTATGATCCCAATTGGAGCAAATAAAATGTCCCAATTCATCCAACCACATAAAATATAATCATAAAGTTTGAATTAGATTAAAAAATGAATAATTATGATTCATAGAAAATCAACAAAATAATACTCAAACTTAAAAACCAATCCGAACTAAATTTAATATAAATATCGAATGGATATAATTTTAAAAAAAAATTCAAAATTGAATATAAATAACACTTAATTCATGTCTTTCTTTCCACAATACAATTTATAATTAACTAACTAAATTGAATATATGATAGATGATAACAGTTATAACAAAATATATAAAAAAAAATATATGAGGATATGTTTTACTCTACAAAAATTTATATATAGCCATTCATTTATTTTGATTTTAAAATTAGCAACTTATCGAATTTCTTTGATGGCTTTTGAAATGGGAAGAAATTATTCAAATGAATGGACCAAAACATCCCAAAGGAAATGTGCCAAATGTGCGTAAATACTAAATACACATGAAGACTCTTCGTTATGTGGGGCCCCATTTCCCACTATAACCTATCATACAATATTTTGGACCACTTATCATTAATATGTCTTTTTAAAAAAATAGTTTGAATTACGGGTATATTTCATTAAAAATTTATTTTTTATGAGATTATTTGGGAAACAATCATTGTATATAATATATACATCTATATTTTTATGAGTTTCTACTGGTAAAAATTCATCTTTATGAGTTTATTTATATCAATTTTTTAATCTAAATTTGGATGATCTAATGATAAAATAACATGTAAAATATATTTTTATTACGGTTTTAAATTTAAGTATGGAGAGGAATATTCATTTGAATTTTTTCGGGTTCAAGAGACAATTAGATAAAAAATTTATGTAAACTTGTTGATTATAAAATTAAAGGTTCCTATGATGGAAGGAACAAAACGTGCCACCAAAGAGTTTGTCGGCGAAGTGCATTGTATCTTTTGATAACAATTTCCTGCTATTTTAGTCGTTTACATACAGTATATGTCTAATATTAAATTATATCTCGGGATGGGTTTTTAATAGGATATATGAATTAAAATTGGAATAAATTCAATAATATATACTAATATTTAAAATTGAGTGGATAGAAATTTTATAAATAATAAACATATATAAATTAACTTTAAAATTAAATTAAATAATTTGTTTTTTTTTTGTCACGAGGAGTTTTTTTTTCGTCAGTTTATTTGTGAAATAAAAGAATAGAATACAAATATATAATCTATAATCCGAAACGAGCAAACAAATAGCATTCATGGCCCAAATAGGACATATGGGCCTCGTACATTAGCCCGATAACGTTATGAGATCGGCCGACAAATAATGACAAAAATGGAATAAAAAAATAATCATACGGGTGAATTTTTATAATGGAAAACTAATTCTTGAATTTGCAATAACAATAACTTACCAAATTTGAAAAAAGAATTATAATTGAATATCCGAATTTACGAAACAGATTTGGGAGACACTCTATCTGATTCGGAAGGTTAGTGATCAAGTGATTCAGGGTAAATAATAGATATATATCAGTCGCCTGGAAATTGGTCTTATCTTCAGGAGCCACATGTATTGCCAGCAACGTGGCGGCCACTGGAGGATCCCTTCCTGTGCGTCCTTCAAGTCTCTCTCCCATTCTCTCTCTATCGATTTCACTCGCTCGATCGATTCCATAATATCTTCTTCTTCCCCAAAAGTCAAAATTTTCATGACCCTCTCACCTTTGGATCCTGTTTTACTGTGCTGATCCTTGGATTTCTGGCTTCCTCACCCCTCTGCGTGTGAATTCAGAGTTTCTCAGCTTTGGAATTTACACTGTTAAACCTCAAGATCGTCTCTTTCTTTTGTTCAGATTGAAACCCTAGTCTCGTCGCAGTTCTTCTCTTGAATTCGATCAACTCTGGCTTCGTTCGTGGTTTATAGCTATTAATTTAGGTGAAAGTTCAATAATTTTTCTTTATCTGATTCTATCTGCCGGCTTATTACCGATCAATTCGCCGACAACCTGTGTTGGTTCCGGGTGAACATTTGAATACCTAAGGAAATGTCTGTGGAGAGGTCGTTTGAAGCCTGGGAGGAGGTTCAGCGACATGGACAAGACTTGGCTGACAGACTTGCTCAGGGCTTCACGGGTTTGATTCAAATCAACCCACCTTCATTCCCATGGCCGAATCCGCCGAAAGCGAAGCTTTTCGATCTGGAGTTCCCGGGTCAGCATTTCGGGGTTAGGGATTCTGGGTTTTCAGTCGAACAACCCATCAATGGTGTTTCAGCAATTCTCGACATCGGGAACATGATTGGTCAAGCCGGGGCTGATTTTGGCGCTGGATTGAACGTGATGGTTCAGCAAATCTTCAGGAGATTGCCTGTCCCGTTCCGACAAGAGGACAACACCCATGTTTCTACGAGGGAAGATGCAAATACTGAGAACCAGAGGGCTTATCTGGAATTGAGTATGAACACACAAGAAGATTTGGGATTGGCTGCTGAACGGTTGAAAGATTCGGGTTTTACGAAGACGGACACTGGTTCTGTTGCAGTGACTGAGGAGGAAGTTCCCGAGTTCAATTTAAGGACTGCTGGATTGCTCGGGAGGCCGAAGGTGTACTTGCCTATGATGCTTATTGCAAATAGTTATTGTTCTTCTGGTTTTTGGATTAGTCCCTTTTCGTTCCCTTTTTTGCTGCTTCTGAAGTTTTGGATGTTAACTCTGTAGCTGTTAGATAGCAATCTATCTGCCAACATATATATATATATATATATATATAGAGAGAGAGAGAGAGAGAGATTGAATTGGAAAGAGATTGGAATGTGGGATACTTCATAGAGAATGAATATTGATGAGGAGCATATATCATTTGTGGGACTCTGATCCAGGAGGAGTAGCATTTGGTTAATGTTTCTTTAATCTCGATAGTATTGTTAAGGGTTTTGAGGGATTTTCTTTAACTTGAGTAAAGCTACGTAAAAATGCAGGGAACAGTTGATATGTCGTCAAGTTATGATAGCAGAACAAATGATATGGAGCATTCATTGGCGGCCAGGGGAGACCTCTGGAGAGTTGAGGCTTCAACTTCGAGTTCCGCTGCAAGAGATGACAGTTCATCTCTGTTTCTTCTCCAGCTCGGCCCACTACTCTTTCTCCGTGATTCAACTCTTCTCTTACCCGTCCATTTATCAAAGCAACACTTACTTTGGTATGGATATGATAGGAAGGTATGCTCCAAAGCCTGCCATGTGAATGTAATCTATCATATTTTTCAGATTCGACAGATGGATTTGGAGGCATTCTTTATCCTGATTTCGTTATCATTCCAATCCAAAGTTGATTTGTGTTGAGAAAGAGAGCCACATGATGGATAATTTATGATTAGTATGATTAATATTTTTTCTGTGTTATGTAGTTCAGTGTCGGATTATGATAGCTGATGTTATCATTACAGCTCCTTGATATTTTATCTTCTTCCCGGCTCCCGTGCTCAACAATGGTGTTTCCTATTGTACATTAATTTCCTTTGCAGAGAGGAATGCATTCACTCTGTCCGGCTGTCTGGTCAAAGCATCGGAGATGGCTCATGATGTCCATGCTCTGCCTCAATCCTTTAGCTTGTGTAAGCATCTATATTTTAAATATTGCTTTCATTTCCTTTGTATATCTTCTCTAAGTGTTTCTTTTATGTATTTACAATTTAAATTCTCAAATCTTGTGGAACTAATTCTCGCGAATCTTTTGCACAAACAGTCATTTGTGGACTTGCAGTTCCCAAATGGGCAATTGACTTATGTATCGGGCGAGGGGCTTACAACAAGCGCCTTTGTACCTTTCTGTGGCGGCCTTCTTCAAGTACAGGGCCAATATCCAGGAGAAATGAGATTTAGTTTTTCTTGTAAGGTTAGATTATAACTGATTTCTCTAATTTTGTTTTGTAAAAAAAGAATGAACCCTAAACTTTGCTTACATAAAGCTTCTTGTGGATGTTAATAATGGTTTTACTTTGAAACAGAACAAATGGGGAACACGTATCACTCCGATGGTATATTGGCCGGACAAATCATTCGGGTTGGGTATTTCTCAAGCCTTGGCTTGGCGGAGGTCCGGCCTCATGATGAAACCGACAATTCAATTAAGGTAAAAGCTTGTGAATTCGCTCTCCTTTTTTTTTCCCTCGGTCTTTAGGAGTCTTCAAACACGATTTGATGTTTTATTCATAATGCAATATTCAAAAATTGTACCAGCGTATGTCCTACATTTGGTGGGAGCAATCCCGGGACGAAGGCAGAAGTTGTCCACTCGGTGAGCGATGATCTGAATCTGATATGTGGCTGTACGTTTACCGCTCATCCTTCAGCATTTGCGTCCATATCCGTAAGCCCCTCGAATTCCCTCTTTTCGGATATCTTCTACTTCCATGAATCTGCATGATATTTCTTGAACATACATTCTCTGATCTGTTCTCTCTTTTCGGATGATCTTCTACTTCCATGAATCCGCGTCCTATTTCTTGAACATGCATTCTCTCTTGTATCTGTAACGCAGTTTGGTCGGTCCAAGTGGAATGGCAATGTCGGAAGAACAGGAATAGTCCTTAGAGCGGATACACCTCTTGCAAGCGTCGGCCGTTCATCATTTTCAGTCCAGCTTAATAACGCTTTCGAGTTCTGATATACACATAGCTTTAATGTTCATGTGTTTGACTCTTTTTTGCCACGGAATGAGATGTATATAATAATCAACTCAGTAACCCACAAAGACGCAAAACATTACGTGACCACCAAACTTTTGTCATGTTAAATCCGACAAATCTTCCTACTTCCTTAACGTATGATCTCTGAGATTGTCTGAATGTTGTCTGAGTACCTGTATGTGAATCAGTACATACTCCAAGAACTCAATATGATCATTGATGTCTTATTGAAGCTCTCTACAAAAGTTGTGCCAATCATCTTAACAATTTGGTTTCTTCAAGCAAATGCTACACGGAATGATTGGAAACTGCCCTCATCTCAATCTGTGTTCTTCCCCTTCTTGATTCTTGTATCGAGGCAGAGACAGGTTTTAGGATAAAGAACTGGAAAATCAAGACAGTCTCAGAAGTCAGAAGGGTGTTTGCTTCTGACATTTGTTTCGGACAATCTTACAGGATGGATTGAAAGTCTTTTGCCTAGATACATATCAAGAGAGATGTGCACACGCCTAGGCAATCTTTGAGAGACCATAGATACAAAGAGAGAAACAAGAATATGGATGTACAAGATTTACATATTGTGATCTCATCCATCAATCAACTGTCTTGGACCAAGTTGGTAGGTTCGCTTAGAACATACTTGGGCAACTCATACTTAGCACCTGTAACATATAAGATCATGACCCGTCGGGTGAAATGGTTTTTCAAGAATGAATCCAAAGACGATATACTGTAATCCCGAAAAGCCAAGGATTATGTTTTACCTCTCTCATCATAGCAGACTGTCAGGTCAGGGTTCTGAACAATGACTCCTGCACTTTCCACGATCGCTTGAGCAAGAGGTAGTTCCGCTTCAGCAGCTGCGCGAAGGGCATCCCATATTTCTGCATGCCCCCAAAGTGGAAATTTACAAGTAAGCATCGTCAACTAAACTATAGAATACATTCTCTGGGAAACAATGCCGGTCAATAGCTACACTGCATCTGAAATGAAGATTTGAACTCAGACACCTTACATTGGGATTACACCAATACTATCAATTAAGCTGGATTTCATAGGTAACCAATCCTTTTTCCGGTAGGTGATACTTTCTAGATGTACTGTTTTTTTATAGTGGTGATCTTAACAGAACGAATCATTGTGGTCCTGCAACTACGAAAAAAATTACTAGCCGGGCACAATGGGGAAAACGTTTTTATTAGATCGTCTTTCTTAGACATCGGATGGATGGAGGTCTTTATAGAATGTCCAAGAGCGTGGCTCAGATTTGGTAAGAATACAATTGAAAATGATCAAATCACCAGATATTTGTGACTTGTTATGAATAACAGCAAATGGGTACTTAGCTCAGTTGTAAAGCATCTGACTAAAGATTAAGGAGTCGCCGGTTTCACATTTGTGCAAACTGCAAACTACTATTCTCTAATTCTTGTTTTTTCCCTCCCAACCATTAATATACTGCTTTAATTTCCTCAAGTATGTAACTTTAATACCTATTACATACTAATTTGCATGTCTATTTGCAAGTCTAATCAGCCACAACATGTTATCAAACAAAAGCAAGCATCTTTCAAGGGTAAACAAAGGCAGAAACACCATGAAAATCTCGTACCTTTTCTGCCGCCATAGTGAGGAGCAGTGTCCCAAAACTCTTCTCTCAGTTGCAGGAGCCGAGTTTTGGTTATCGGTTGAGGATGCTTCCATGGTTTCGGCTTTTTTATCGTCTTCACTGCCCCTGCAACAAGCAACAGTGTCCACTGCATCAAGCAAATAACCGATACCTCCTGTTTTCTGGATCTGAACGCATCAACTATGTACACTTCAATCTAACAAGTGAGAACTAATAGCCAAGGAATCTTATTTGAAAATATTGTAATGATTGTAGCCATGTTAATGGAGGCAACCCAACCCCAGAAGCAAAAGGGCACGCATACAAAATATGATGCATATTGTAAGTATACACGCATAGAGGCTACAACTTACACATATATGCGAGGTAATCAAATACGTCCTGAAGAGCTGAAGACTCCATCACAATCAAATTTTGAGACACTAAAATGCACATAAACTCGTACATTAATATTTCACATACATGCATGTAGGTGTATCACATTCATTTTAGTCCAGGTGAAAGTTCTATTTTTTTTATAGGAACTTGAGAGTGAATGAAGATCCAGGTGAAAGCTCTATTCTTGGACATCTGGTTTCCAGGAAAATCCAGAGTCTGGCTCATTTTCCTGCGGATCTCCTGGAAACCAGATGTCTAAGAAAGTGAATGGAACATAACAACGGGCAAGTAATCAATTCCTTTGAGAAACTGAAAGAAACCTCAGATCCGCAGGAAAATAAGCCAGGGCTCTGGAATGTCAAGAAACTACACAAGAATTTCATGAGTTCTAGATATTTTTTTCCAAAGCTGTAGTCGGTAAACACATCTGCTCAGATAAAACTCTCAAAATCCAAGATGAAAATTGTGAAATCAGGATCCAGAGAACAAAAGGGCAACATACAACATTATCAGACGATTTCTGGAAGGAGGAAAGAGTAGAACGAATTCCTGAGACCAGCTTCCTCTCCTTAAATTCATCAGACTGGTAAAAATCCCATTCTTTCTCTTTCTCATCTTAACAGATGACTGATTTATCAGCTAAAGATCATAACACATACCATCAAAATAGTTCCCAGAGAGAGAGAGAGTGAGTGGCCTTACCGTCTCCGTTCGACTGTGACGATCCAACACAACCCATATCTCTTCGTTCTTCTACTTCAACCCACAGAGCAAAACCTCACAAAAGCAGACCCGAGAGATTCAGACAAAATCCTGTCAAAACATCGTCGGAGCCAATCAAAGTCTTAAGCTTTCTTGATGTAAATCGGTAAAACAAGAACGAAAGGTCTGTTCCTCTCCCCTCCGGCCCCCGGAGAAGAAGCTAAACCTAAAAGTTATAAGAACGGTGAAGAATTGAAGATGATGATGATGATGATGATGATGATGATGCGTCATTATTGAAATGATAATGACAATGGTTACAGGCTCCGCTGGCTTCTCTAAGTTGAATCACCAATAATCTTCCGCCACGTCACCACTTCGAATTCCCTATATTTTTAGTTATTTACTCAGAAGTAGAGGATGTTTGTTCTCCAACCATATTATTATTAAGATAATCAGATCACCATCTCCATGTTCTTTATTATATTAGCCATTAATTAAAATAAGCTAAAAGACAAAGTAAATAACAGAAAAAAAAACATAACTAAAATTAACAAATCAAGATTCTTCTTATGACTCGAAACAAAAGACATCCCAGTGTGTTGGAATCAATACATCAAAGCATTTTCTCTACCTTTCATCAATGTAATAAGATGTTTTTTCTCTCTCTCTTGAGTCATATAATTTTGATGAAACTAAGAACAACATGAATCTCCCAAAACAAAGATCATACACGATACAAGTGATTGAGATGCAGTCTTTTCAGAATCGGAATGAGGATTCGGGTCCGGGTCCGGGTCCGGGTCCATACTTGCTCCTGAAGTTGAGATGATCGAACTTCGGGTTACTGTAATCTACAGGCTTTGGTATCTCCACTGCAGGTTTCGGTTCTGTCTCCGCGGTTCTGTCTCTATGGCGGTGTCTTGTTCGCTCTTTCTGGCTCTTTTGTCGGATTTCTCCAGACGTGTAGAATTCCGCATACTCCTGTCGTCTCGATGATGATCGATGCTTCGTTCCGGACATTGTCGGGTCCTTTGAGCTACTCGATTTCACCTTTGCGGCCTTTGGTTCTGAGTAATTGTTATCACTGATTTTAGGCAGGTGGGCATGTCGAGATTCAGAGACAGGGGCCGAGGTAGTATGCTTCTGAACCAATGGAGGTTCTGGTTCATCTTCAGGCATTTTCAGTCTATCTTTTAGTGGGGTTAAGTTCGAGCTGCTTTTCTTGGTGGTCCTGAATCGGGTTGGAACTAGGTGAAAAACCAGACTGGTTAAAAACTCGAGAGAGAGTTTGGAGAGATCGATAACAAGTTGCCCAAATGATGGCCAACCCGGTTCTTCCTTTGCTGTCTCAACGACAGGAGCAAGTTTCTGTTTGCCTGGATGCTCTTCAGACATGGTTTCAGATATTTGTTGCTGCAACATCAACAGAAATCAGAAGCAATAATTACTTGAATGTTTTAGCATGCAAGCCAAGAAATTTACCGTCTTTGAGGAGAAAGAGGGTCCGAAACCCTGCTGGAGTAAGCAAGTGACATAGCCAATGACAATGGCACCGACAACTAAGAGCACATCTGCATAATAAGAACATAAAAGTACAGAGATTTCAGACTAAACCCGATACTCCTTCAGCTGAGTTAAACACAATCTTGAATTTGATCCTTCTTGATATAAGCATCCATATAGTTTGCATTCTCAGAAGTTTGAGAGATGGCAGTGATTTCTTACCTGCGGTAGAGATTGAGCTATATTGATAGTCACAGTCATCTTCCCCGAGAGAGATTTGACGAAGAGCTGCATTTCCTCTATCAATAACGAGCAACGAGCAGGTAGACCGAACATATACGATATCAAAATCATTTGAGAACTTTGCATCCTCGCTTGGTCCATCTCTATACCCTGCTACATTAGATTTACCCCCAGCAATGGTAGTAACACCTGCAGAAGATTCTTTCCATTACAATAATCGCATTCTCCACAACTAGCACCAATTTCTAAATACAGTAAGGTCAATCTCCTATACAATGTTCACAATATAGCAAAAGAGTAAAGTTTGCACCCCTGATATTGACAAATTAATCGCTTGGGTTTCATTCTTGATCAGTACTCGTCTACCTGTAAAAAATACAAAGGCATGGTACCTGAATCTCCAATCTTTCTGATTGCAAGGTTCAAAGTATCAGCGACATAAACATTCCCTTTATCGTCCATGGTTACACCTCTAGGGTGATTGAAACGAGCTTCACTTGGCTTCCCATCTACATGTCCCGTTTTGCCTTGAAACGATCCTGCCACCAATCTTCCCCTGCTGTCTGCCCATAACCAAAAAAATTATAAAAAGTCATAAACTTTTCCGAAACAAAGAAAACATGTGAAAATCACCCTTTCCTTCAATGATACATGGGTTGCATATATTGATCCGTGAAGCATAAATGATACTAGGGACAAGAAGCAACATCTTATGAAAATATGACAGATAAAACTAGAGACAGAACAAGATGAGACCTAGTACTCATCTTTCAACTACATAGCTAGACGTCATCCATAACTGTAAAAGAGACAACTATAAATATAACATGTAATGACATACATATTTCACTGGAGTTACTTAAGAGCACAAACATATATTTAAACTATACACAGGAGGAGGTGAATGAGGAAGATTACACTGGGATAACGGAGGAGTAATTTTCATAATGTTGCTATTAACCTCGTCGACAGCATACAGTTCGCCATCACTGGAGACTCGAATCTTGTAAGGAACAACCCCGATTTCATTCCCCTCGACTACGGTCTCAACCAAGTAGCCACTCTCAAACTGAAGAACCTCAGGGTCTGAAAAATGGCATCACACGTTAAGATCGAAACTCTGAAACAGTCAAGAAAACAAATGTTTAGGGCATCGCACCTGATTGAGGCGTCTTAGAAGAAGATGGTTTGCTGGTCCACTTGAGAAGCCAAGACAAATGCTTTATCAATGGTCCTCCTGGTTTCGGTGACAAAGACCCAACTACTCAATTTAGAGGAAAAACACAGATATAGGGTTCGGAACCATTGCCAAAACATAGTAAATCGACAACCAAAACAGCAAAAACGACATAATTGTAAACAATAAGCAGCGGATAAACCATCAAAGGGGTAGAATTTCAGCTTCCATGGACAAAATTCACAGAATTAAACGAAACAAGGGTGTGAACAAGGAGATCAAAGGACCCAGAAAACACACAGCAAAAACGGCAGAAAGAGAAATAAAACCAGTGATTGTCCGTAGCAAGTTACCAGCAGGAGCAGCTTGAGCTTGAAATGGAAAGCTGTGGAGGAGTGTAAAGACGATCGACAAAAGAAACAAAGCCCTGAACGAAACAGATAAGCTCATAAGGAGCTGAATCTGATTCTGGGTAACGCCCATTTCTCCTCGAAAGCTTCGAAGCAACCTTTGGCGGAGGAGCCCTAGCAGCAATTTACATAACCCAATGACGGAGCTAAGAAAACAACCCAGCCTGCAGGCAGAGGGAATGCAGTAGGCGTCTTCAGTGCATATCTGTATGTCCTTAGATTCGAAAAGAAGTGGCCTTTTTAATTCGATGTTAGACCACCTCAAAGGAAATTTATAAAATAAAAAAAAAAAGACGGACTTTGCAGTGTGAAAAAAATAAATAAAGAAGGGGAGAAAGTGAAATCAACACAAAGAGCATGCAATCTGTTTGTATATCATGAGTTTGATGCAAAAGTTTTACATTTTTTGGTACAAAAGTTCCAAAATTTTATCAGTCACTGATATAACATAATGCATGTATATATGTACGCATAACGTATAACACAGTATACATTTTTTTAAATTATAAATTATATGAAAAATTATAATGTATAGTTATGGAAGGTAGTGATTTTGGATTTGATTTTAGGTGCGGTTCACTTCTTTTAAGTTGGTGTAAAGATTCCATGATTTATTTATTAAATATTCATTTTTAGATTTTATATTTTTGTTTTTAATGATTTTTTATTCAATTGAATTAATTTATAAATTATGATTATATATGTTATTTTTTTTGGGGTAATCCTTTTTTTTATCTTTTAAAAAAATTAGCATGGTCAAAATATTTTGGTCCAAGATACTTGATCAAATAGTAAAAAAGCGTCCAAAAGATATGAAGGACTTACTATTTTTTTTTTACAAACAGTTCAAAAACATAGTGTACATTTAAGCCATCTAACATCATTTCACTGCTTCATTTCGTGTTTCGATTCAGTTATTTTTGAGTTCATTTATTTCGGTTATTGAAAAACTATAACCATTCGATTTTTATATAGACTTCGATTCGGTTTGATTTGGTTATTTTTCGATTCAGTTTCATTCGATTTTGGTAAAAAAATTATTTTTTTAAAAAAGATTATCGGTTTTTCGATTATTTTTTTATTCCGTTTGGTTTCGATTTTTCGAGTTTAAAGAAATCATAACCATTTGATTTTTCGAGTTTAAAGAAATCATAACTATTTGGTTTTAATATCGGATTCAGTTCGAATACGATTATATCTTATTCGATTTGGTTTGGTGTTAATAACGGGCCACCGGTACCTGAACATATGCAATATAGAATATGATTCGTAACTATCGATCAAAACGTGGAAACAAATACAATATGAAATCCACGTGGCATATATATATATATATACACAGACACGTACTGTCAACTTCATTTCGGTCGTGTGTTGGGTGTGATGCACCGAACAAAAAGTAACGACGAGAGTTCGAAGACAAACACAACACTCGTGAATACGGAATAAGCATAACAGCGTAGAGTCGGTCCGTCATCAAATCTCCAGATTTTTGGTGGTATCGATCCGAATTTAAAATTCCATCTCAAATCCGCGGCAAATCTTTGACTTTACGGAATCGTTCTCAACATCATTTTGCAAGCATCTTGCGAAAAGCGTGTGATCAATCCTTTCACATCTTGTGTTACAAAGAAAAACGTAAAATTTTCCGTCGCTTTCTCGGATTTTCTCGGCAGCCAAACAGAGAGATGTGAAGTCAGAGTTAGTTCATGAAGAAGTAAATGATCGGAAACCCTCCCCCCTCGTGCTCTTTAACATCTTAGATCCCTCGTGGGCCCATTTGCTGACCCCTTTATTATTTTGTTTATTAAAAAAAGCTCATTAAGCTTCCCCTTTGATTCTCTCTGATACCCACTTCAATTCTTTAAATTCTGTCTCGTCACATCATCGCTTTTACTGTCCATTATTCTTTGAATCCATACACACATACATATATATATATATATATGATCACATGACAATATCGTGGTAAATTAATCAATATGTATTGGACTCTTTCGTCCTATGTGACCATAGCCAATAGCCACTAGCAGTACGGCATGCATGCAATGCATCTATCTATCTATCTCTCTCACATAACAACTAATATTAATTTGAATGATCGTATAGGAGCAATCGGTAACCTGTGACAAATATGTCACATTATTATAAATCTATATTTTTTTTTCTTTGCAAATTATATATTTTTTTTATAATTTTTGACAAAAATACCCGTACTTTATTATATAATTTCAATACTGTCATTTAGCGTCTTGAAAAATATTCAGCATGAAAAGCAGATTTTTTTAGAAAACTGTGTTATTCGGGAGAGCTGTATTTTATCCGGAAGAGCTGTATTTTATCCGAGAGAGTCTGTTTTTTTATCCGGAAGAGCTGTTTTTTGTCTGAGAGAGTCTGTTTTTTGTTCGGAAAAGCTGTTTTTTGTCCGGAAGAATTTTTTTTGTCCGAAAGAACTGTTTTTTGTTCGAGAGAGAGTTGTTTTTCGTCCGAGAGTGTCTGTTTTTTTGTCTGGATGAAAAATAATTTTTTCGGATAAAAAATAATTCTCTCGGATGAAAACAAGTTCTTCCGGATGAAAAACACTTGTCCTAGATGAAAAATAATTATCCTACATAATACAGTTTCCAAAAAAATATGTTTTTCATCCTATACATTTTTTGGAACGCTAAATGGCAATATTGAAAATAGACAATAAAGTAAAGATATTTTTGTTAAAATTTATATAAAGGTATAGTTTGCGAAGGAAGGAAAAAAAGTATAGATTTTCAATGACATGACATATTTGATACACTGGCGCAATTTTTTTATTGTATATAAATAGTTTTAAATAATTAAAATTAATTATGAAATTATGTTGATTTATTAGATGACGTAGTTTAATTTTAAAAGTTACAAAATAATATACAAAATTACAAATGTGGTTCAATTCATTGCGATATAAAACATTTTCTTTCCATTTAAAACTAAATAAAAAAACTTTTGGTGATGTAACAACAATGTTAATAATCCTTAATTAAGAAAGCCTTAAATGCGTGACTAACTTAAACACGTTGTTGAAGAAATGATCATTCAATTAGGAAAGCCTTTCAATTTTATTTAGTTCCAATGTTTCCTCAATTGATTCTTATGTCCCTTTCTCTTAATCTCCACATTTTTTTAATAGCAAAAAGAAAACCCATCCCCCATCCCCTCGAAACTTAAACACGGAAAACGAAAAAATACGATAAAACTAAAATGGTTATTTAATTTGCAAATATTGAAAATGACAATTTTTTTTATATTTTTTGGTTCAAAGTATAACGTAACTAATCAGATAACATGTATTAGGATAGGGAACTTATTAAAATGGATATGATACTGATTTTTTAAATTCGAATTAAAAATTCATTTTTTTAAACTCAACTAAAGAACGTAATCTAAAAAAAATTTAAAAGGAAAAAATAATAACTAAAATAACAACATTGCGTAGATGGAAAAGAGGCAGCTTGGAGCTGCGGCTTGCTGTTGATGTGGGTCCCATGTATTCTTTTTGTGCCACGTGTCATACACCGACCCAGCTCATAGAGAATCGGACGGTCGAAGCATTCCGAGAAATTACGCGACCAAATCGTACGATTTTGTCTGTATAGCGATACGTATAAGATCTCGGATCCATGAAATACCCAAAGTACCCCTCACGCATCTCAGCACACCTGGACTGGTGTAAATACTATCTGGTTCTCGGGGTATATTCGGAAACGAATTCTTATGAACTTCCCAAGACTCGTTCTTTTGTCGTTGTCCTTTTATGTAATTACACCATCTCTGCTCTTCCCTCTTCTTCTTCCACCATTTCTGCTTCAGCTTTCACTCTCTCTCTCTCTCTCTCTCTCTCTTCCCTGGACCCTCCACCCTTTCTCTCTCATCAACTTTTTCCTTCTCGAGCTCTGGGTTTGTGTTCTTTTCTTCGTTTGTTTTTGCTGTTAAGAATCCAAGGATACATTTGGGAGAAAAGGTAGAGATCTTCCGAGAGAGTGGTTCGTTTAGAAAAATAAAAGATTCTAACATGTGATTATTCTTTCTGGTAAATGATTGGATTCCATTACTGCGTGAAGTTCTTTTTCTTTTACAATCAATAAATGTATTGTTGTGATGGAAGGTTGATATCGTTAGCCGTGGGCCTCTTCTCGTTTGTAGATGGCTCATAACAATGATGCCATGTGTAAGCATTTACATCCGCGAGTATAAATATGTATATTCAAGTACTACGTGTATACGTTTGATTCTCTAAACGGGTCTCTGATTTTCTTCTTTTGTGACCCAAAAGTTCTCTTTTTAAAGGATTTTGGAGGGTTTGCTGTTTATCCAGATTTGTTTATCATCGGGTTTCTGGATTCTGTTTCCACCCTTTTTGTATGATTTTCCTTTGGATGTGGGTAGATTTTTATGTTCTTGTTTTGATTGATGTAATCTGCAGGGCTTAGGCAAAGGTCCCTTTGTTCTCTCCGCAGTTGTTTTCTTTGGGTTTACTCAACAATGAGGTGAGGTTTTCAGCACAGAAGAAAAAGATTAGAGAACTTTGAACTTTCGGAAGGTACAGTCTTTTACTTAAACACTAAAGTCTCTCTCTTTTTTTACTAATCTTACTTCTGCTTATGGAAAACTTGGAACCCTAAATAGGATTTTAATTGAAACTCTGAATCTGGGTTCTTCTGCAAATTTGCCAGTCACCGTTTAGCTAAAGATCTTTGCTTTAGGGGTTCCAACCCCTCGCTAAAAAAAATACTACTTCGGTCATTTGCTCTAACTTCAAAAAAAGAAAAGAAAAAAGAGTATGGTGAATATATGATTAAGATCGGAGATTCTGTTACTGTTTTATATTTGTTGGAACCAATTTACTTTTGAAGATGATCATACATACATGTGTCATGCACATGTAACTAATGCTGCATTCGGTGTGTATGCATCTTGGGTTTGGTTTCAGCTGAATTGTATAATCTTAGGAACAGTTTTGAGTACTGTGGACCACAGAGAGAGATGGCTAGTGTACGTATACTTCACATATTTACACCATATACATGCGCGTGTGTGTATATATATAATCTCACATTGGCGTTTTTGTCATGGTTTTGGAAATTCACCATTAGATTTCCTTTACCCTGCCCTGGTTTTGCCTGTTTCTGTTGAGGGAAGTGAATAATAAAACAAGAAGGATGTTGAATTATTTGCATGTGTCATGTGTTTGCAGAGAGACCAGTGGGTGCAATTTTTTAGTTGTTTTGTTCCTGAACTTGTTTGATTCTGCAGCTGCACCTTTTGACCGAATTGCCCCACAAAAATAGAATCAAGATTTTTAGGGAAAATGTATGGAAAAAGAAGAAGAAAAAAGCATGGAAAGGAATGGCACACCACAAGCTGTTTGTTCTTGAGTTTTTTTCCTCCTTTTCATTAGAAAAATCCACACTTCCTTTGGATGAACCATGATAGTTTTCACTACCCGATTTGAGTATTTCATCAATGTCAATGGATATTTAGATACATGCATGTGTGTGTGCATATATGTTCCCATGTACATGTTCATGTCTCTTTTCATTGGTAAAAGCGTGTAGTGTGTTAACTATAAGTGAAACAATCTTACTTTGAGCTTTTCTTTGTTGTCCATCTTTTTCATTTTTCAAGAAAGCAAGTCCTAGTCTGCTATTTGTAGAGAATGTTACGAAAAGCAACTTGGCCCTCCATTAACGGCCCTCGATCCAAGTATTAAAGCTTCTTTCTTGTTTCTTCGTGTCTGTATCCCTTCCTCCTCTCTTTACCATTTGTCGCTATTTCTACGTTGAGGGTTATGGTCGGGGTTTTTGTCTGCTTCTCGATACTGTTGTTGTCTTACAGAATCTAACTGCAGATGGAGACTGTGAAGCCGGTGGCTATTACTCAGGGAAAGGGAAGACTTAGACGTACAGTTGCCAAAGTTCTTCACATCCATAAATTAGCAGGTGTGGCCCCTGAAGACGGAGTTGAGAAAGTGAAGAGCCGGGAGAAAGGCAAACTCGATCAGGATTTCGCCAAGAATGAGGATCTGTCTGAGTCGTTTGACAAGCGCGAGGAAGAGTACGAGAAAAAATTGGCCTTGGAAGCTCTTCTCGCTAAGTTGTTTGCCATGGTTTCTTCCATCAAATCGGCTTATGCCCAGTTACAGCATGCTCAGTCTCCGTACAATTCCGATGGGATCCAGAAAGCAGACAGCTTGATAGTATTGGAACTGAAAACTTTGTCTGAACTGAAACAATGCTTCTTGAAGAAAGAGTTCGGCCCTTCTCCCGAAAGAACTCTGGTTCTTGCAGAAATCCAAGAACTGAATAGTCTCTTGAAAACGTATGAGATCACGGGGAGGAGGCTGGAGTCTCAGATCAAGCTCAAAGAATCGGAGATCGTGTTTTTGAAAGAGAAGCTGGAAGAACACTGCAAGCAGAACAAGTTGCTGGAGAAGAGGCTGAACCAAAGTGGTCAACTTTGCAATCCTCTGGAGAATCTTCACTTGTGGGGGCTAAACCCGAACCATTTCGCTACATATCTCCATCACACTATCAAATCTATCAGGGGCTTTGTCCGGTTGATGGTTGAGGAGATGAAAATCGCTGCATGGGACATCGACATGGCGGCTAATTCCATACAGCCTGGCGTTATCTATTACAAACCCGACCACAAGTGTTTTACTTTCGAGCACTTCGTTTGCAGGGTAATGTTCGAGGCATTCAATCTACCATTCTTTTCGGGTTCAAGCGAATCTTCCCACAAGAAGAACAGAGAATCTAGGGAGATATTCTTCAAGAGGTTCACCGAGCTTAACTCCATGAAAATGAAGGAATATCTTGCAGGTCGGCCCAAATCAAGATTCGCGAGGTTTTGCAGTGCAAAGTACTTGCAGCTCATCCACCCGAATATGGAACAGGCATTCTTCAGTCGCACAGGGGAATTCCCGGAGATGAGCATTGCCACTGCGTTTCTCGAAATGGCGAAACGGGTATGGCTCTTGCATTGCTTAGCTCTCTCCTATGAGCCCGAGGCCTCAATCTTTCAAGTATCGAAAGGTTGCAGATTCTCGGAAGTATACATGAAGAGCGTGGCCGAGGAGGTTTTCTTCTCGCCGGAACCCGAGCCACGGGTTGCATTCACCGTGGTTCCAGGTTTCAGGATCTGCAAGAATTTGATAGAATGCGAGGTTTATCTCTCCAACTAGTAGAAATGGATGATGAACTTGGAAATGTAATAATCAATCACTGGTAATGTTCGGTTCTGTCTTTTCGGTATTTTGTCGATGCTAGAACGGAGAGGGGTCCGAAGGATCTCTCAGCTATTCTCCACCATTATCATCCTCTCTTCTATGATATATGTAAATAATTCATAATTAAATTACTAGTTTTATTTTTCGCTGTTTTTTTATCTTTTCTTTTTTTTTTTTACTCAAAATGATGTTTAGAATTCGGACAGTGTGGGTCCTGATATTATCCAGATTTCATGCATGACTGCATCACAACCGTCCGATTTGTTGACTTATAAGGTCATCAATGAATTGCATCTCTCCCCATTATTCCCTCGGTGATAAGGAAGCATTATTACATCGACAAAAAAACCCAAAACGACAGAGGAATTCAGAACATCATCATCGTTTCTTCAGCCTCTGTTGTTCTCGGCGGAAAATGAGCTTGTTTTTGCCGATGAGGTTCGCTCAAGTTTGGATTTTTCTTCATCTACTCGAGATTTCTGCAATACCCATTTAGTATTTGAGCTAAATTTCGATCCTTTTTTTGTGAATTGTTCGTGTTCTCGTGCCGTTGTGTACAGTGCCTGCAGTTCTTCGAGATGCTACTCCTCAGTTTCGTCGATCCCAATAGGGTTTCAATCGAATCCCGTTAATGGCGGCTCGGGTTATTACCTAAGAAGAAACAAATTCGCTTCTCGGAAGTTTGTCGTGTCTTGCTCTTCTTCCCCTGGTACATCTTGCGAGCTGTCATTTTTTTTTCATTCCTCTTGACTGATTGGGATTTTTAGTTACTCACTTGGATAAGAGCATGTTGAAAAGTTGTTTGATTTGCAGGTCATGTAATTGGATTCAGAGGGCAAAATCTTTTGAAGTTCCAGAGATATTCCTAGAGATATCTTAGTTTGCTTGTTTCTGCAATTCTTTTTTTTAGAAGATGCGTTCAGTTCTGTGAATTCTAAATGCAAATTTTTCTAAATTTTGTGGTGATTCTTGGAGTCATCAGCTATAAAGAATCGTTGCAAATTTTTCTAACTGTTTCTAGAAAAATTTGTGGAATTGCCTTGTGTTTATACTTGTTATTGAAACTTTGATATAGATCCGCTTTTGGTTAAGGCGGCAAAAGGACAAGCAGTGAATCGCCCTCCAGCCTGGATGATGCGGCAGGCGGGAAGGTACATGGCTGTGTACAGAAAGCTAGCCGAGAAACACCCATCGTTCAGGGAGAGGTCAGAGAACACTGATCTAATCGTCGAGATCTCATTGCAGCCATGGGAAGCATTCCGTCCAGACGGCGTCATCATTTTCTCGGATATCCTCACCCCTTTACCAGCATTCGGTGTCCCTTTCGACATCGAAGATGTCAAAGGTCCTGTGATCCAGTCACCCATCCGCTCGGAACAAGATTTAAAGAAATTGCATTCGATTGATCTAGACAAGCTGCATTTTGTTGGAGAATCTCTAAAAATTTTGAGACAAGAGGTGGTTTTCTCTGCCTTTAACTTTCTTTGTCACTGCTCCATCCTACATGTTGTTTCTCAGTGTTTCTTTGTATGAAGGTTGGGGAACATGCTGCTGTGTTGGGTTTTGTCGGGGCACCTTGGACAATTGCTACATATATCGTAGAAGGGGGAACTACCCGAACATACACGATCATCAAGAGCATGTGCCATACTGCACCAAATGTGTTGAGGACTCTCTTATCTCATTTAACACAGGCCATAGCCGAGTACATTGTTTACCAAGTCGAGCACGGGGCTCACTGCATACAAATATTCGATTCTTGGGGTGGCCAACTGACTCCCGAGATGTGGGAGCGCTGGTCAAAACCCTACATTGAAGAGGTAAGTCCTTTCATCTAGAGCTTGAACCATTCCCCTATCCTTGATTCACTTATCATCAAAATCCTTCCTTCTGGCCAGATTGTGCAAACTGTAAAGAGAAGATGTCCAGAGACACCAATAGTTCTTTACATCAATGGAAATGGTGGCCTTCTTGAACGTATGAAAGGAACTGGAGCCGATGTTATTGGCCTTGACTGGACTGTAGATATGGCTGATGGAAGGAGGCGCCTGGGCAGCGGGATCAGTGTACAGGGAAATGTCGATCCAGCTTACCTCTTCTCTCCGCTCCCTGCTTTGACCGAAGAAATTCAAAGGTAGTTTTCGGGTTTATCTTCGGGAAATGAACTCTTATAATTCATCCAAAGAACAAAACAAGATGGGAAATTTTGCAGGGTTGTGAAATGTGCTGGACCTGGAGGGCACATTCTCAACCTAGGACATGGAGTGTTGGTAGGGACACCAGAGGAAGCTGTGGCTCATTTCTTTGAAACAGCAAGAAGCTTGGAATACAATACAATCTTTCAAAATCATATTCCAGCAGATAAAGCTCAATCGAAATTGGTTGCCTGACGAATCTGACATTCAGTAGCAGAGGTGAAATTCTCCATGCTTTCTTCGGTCTTTTGAAAAGTTTTAGAATGTTTTTGAACACTGCCTTAGATAGTCCGCTGATAGACCTCCAGGTCTCGGAATCTGTCCTTTTCAGACATATCGACGAGGACATGTTAGGTTGCCCGAAAATCTGTCCTCACGGCCAAGCTTGCATTACTCAAATGTGGTTTCTGAGTTGTTCTTCTGCTTCAATTTTGCTGCTACTAATTGGCTGCTGAATTTACCTCACATCAATGTGTTTTTTTATTTAATTCATCATGTTTCTTGTCCCAACCCTTATACTATTATGTACCTGTAACTCCATGACCTTCATAAGCTGAAGTTGTAGAGGAGAAGTCTGCAATGAAATCCGAGTCAGATTGTTTGATTATGGCATCAAAACTTTGTTGTTATTTCCAAGAAATAAGCAGAACCCTTCAGTGACAAACTGTATACAGATATGGAATTGTCATCATAAGGAGAATAGATATCTGTGTTTCTCGAAATGAACAATCTTATCTAGTAAATGGAAAGATGTACAATGGAAACAAGAAAAGAACGAAGGGTTGGTATTAGGCTACAACTAAGAATTTCCAACTCTGACGCTACTGTTGCTCACACTCTGCCTTTGTACAAGGCCTTGAGGCTGCCACAAAAGGCTATTCGGATCCTGCATTGAATTCTCACAGAGATTTCTGGGAATCTTCTTCAGGCTGATTGAACTGGGCAGGATTCTGACACAGTTGCAGAGAGTGATCTAACTACCAAGTCATCGTCTCATCTGTGACAGCCGTTTTCGTTTCTGACTCTTTTCCTTTGTAAAGGCACTAGTAGTGGTGGGTATCCCAATGGTTGTTCTGCTCTTCTTACAAGCCCATTTCACCGGCAGATTATGAACTATGTCGCTGATATCATCCGTACTGTTCAGTTGAACCAATTGCTTTATCTGATCAAGCATCTGCAGGGTCCAGGCCATTGACAGATCCAAGTCTATCGAGTCGTCCATAGGCTGCTTCCTCAGGTTCGTTAGTATCTCTCTGAGAGAACGAAACGACATTGAGGGACTATAGCCTTCACGATTTTCACACATCGAGTTTACCTTGATGATGTGTTTGCATAAATTCCCTTGTAATGACCATAAGCAATCGCAGAAAGCAAACTCAGATCCCGGGTTCCAGACAACATGCAATACGTCGGTATCTTTCTTAGACTGAACCTTGGCAAAAAGGCGGTTCTTTTCATCGAATGTAACAGCAGAATCTGTAATCTCCAATGCCCGGTGCCATGATGTAGAAGCAAGATATTCTTCCTTGACATTATGGAAAGAGTTACTCTCATCTGCATACCGATCAAGCCAATAGCTCGAATGCAATTCAGTTGTCAGCTTGTGCACCAACCAATCCACTCTCTGAAGGGCACCGAGGTGCGTATCATCAAATAGTTTGGCTTTCAGCTTTACATGGTAAGCTTCTATCGCACCAGATGCTTCTTGACTCGCAACTGGAAGACTTTTGATAGTTGAAAGCCACATTCCTGTCTCAAATCAGGAAAACACAAGCATCATAATGCAAATGAATCATATGTATGTATATATGTGTGAATGTATCCTGGGTATGTCCATTTGTAGAAAGATTAGAGGTGGATCTTAAGCGAGTGCTAACCTATCTTAGGCATCCAAATGGCCTTGAAATACTGCATAAATGCAGTTTGATCAACGAAATCCTGAGTTAATTCTTCCAATGCCTTTGATGTATCATCTCCGTTCCAAACGCTGTACACGACTTTTCCTAAACATTTGAATAACTCCCTCTGGACCTCAACGTTATCGCACTTCTTGACAACATTTCTAAGCCATGATCTACGAACACGCCACAGAGAGAAAAGGATGGAGCAACCAAATGTGTCCCTGAAATGAACGGAAACATGGGTTAATAAATATATACAGTTTAGCTTCCATAGGGTTCAAGGATCATCCATGCCTTATGGGATCAATCTCTGCAGCGGCATCGTCAATGATAAATCCATTGATATGAAAGCCAGGCTCTACACTCCGGGCACGCTGAAGTAGTGACTTCATCCACTTCTCCACATCAGGTTTTGAAAAGCTACGAGAAATAATCCATGCGATGGGGAGGGCGTGCTGTCTAGAATCAAATACAAGAAGTGTACACAAAGGATACTGCAATATTATAAAAGATCAGGTCAGAACATAAAATTCCCTCGAAGCAAAAGATGGACATGAGATAATGTTATATTACCTTAAGCCTCTTTACACCAAATGTCGAATCAGCGGCTATAAGACTACAATGCCCAAAACGAATTAATTGCTGCAACTGCCATTCTGTCTGAATCCCCAGCATGAACTGATCTGTTTCTGAAGGATCCTGATAAAAGAAAATGGATTTCTTGTTGCGCTCAGCCCATATCTTGATGCTAGCTTGATCATCGAGGTCCAACTCATGAGTTGAGCGCTTAATAATCATCCCGAGTTTGTGAACATATTGAGTAGCAAGGCTATTCACTGTTGCATCTGAACCACAGTATCTCTGGATCCCTTCGATATGTTTCTCCAACACATTTTCTTCGGGAATACCGAGATATATCATAGACATGGTTTGCTGTTGAATTTCGTTACATATATACGGGATTTTCTTCGCACCAGGGCCGATAGCATCTCTATCAAGAGGCCCGTGACAGATAAATCCGGACTTGTTTATGTGACGTCTTTCGTTATATATAAGAAGTGCAACTGAAGGGCGAGTATAGAGGCGTTTGACCACGAAATGGCATGTACATCCCCTCATTGACTGTGGTCGGGCAGCACGGTTTCTAGTGTTGAGACGATACTTTCTACTTGGTAAGACACTACCACCTTCCCCATAGTTTTCAGGACCAAATGAACACCAATACCTTCAAAAAAAATAACCTAAATCTATCCTCAAGCAAAAACGAACAAGATAACAATGCAGAAGCCATTGATTGAAACTTACAGCCTGTATTCCAAATAGTCATCGCTCTTATGCTCCTTCAGGCTTCCTCGGGGACGTTTCCTTCCCCTTTCGATATGAAACCGAGTTGGGCACTCCACGTTCGAGCATTCTCCGATTATAAATTCATCCACCCTTGCATACGGAATGAGGGCGACATCGTCATGATGCTCCGCCGTACCAAACTTAGTCCAAGTCAAATCAGCAGAAGAGAAGTCCTCCAGCGGGGGATTTTGCACTAAAATCTCGTCTAAAGCTCCAATTATCTCCATCCGGTTTCTACTTCAGAACACGCAATTTGCTATGCTTAATGCTCCAGCTTCACATCTCATACAATGCCCACAAATCCGACAGGAGAAGTATACGCAGACAAATTGATATATTCGTAGAAATTTTCGGGAGCATAACCAAGAAAATCTAGACCCTGATACACATTAACAATGGCATATGAATATCCCACTTAAATTTTGAAACTTGAGTTTACCTATTGGCTAGCATAAGACCCACAACCATAGCTCGTTAACGACCTTCAGTCGTCGAATTTCATGATTAAACAAAAAAGAAATCAGCCAGTCATCAAAGCTATAAAATTTCCTTCATGTTCTAATTGATTCTCGAGCTATGTAGCTAAAACCCACGATCCCTAGCCGTTGGAATACGGAGAAGGACGAAGAGGAGAAGAAAAAAAGAAGAAAGGTAAAAGGAGGAGCAACAGCAGCGAAGCAGCAGAGGGAGGACCTACCGGCGAGAAAACTCCGGCGGCGATGGGAGAGCGCGCGCGAGATATAGAGAGAGAGAAGAGAGAGAGAGAGAGGCTGGAAGAATTAGGGCGGAGGAAATTATATATATGAAGAAAAAAAACACCCGACTTCTTTTAATCAACAGACATATTCAAATATAGATACACATATCATAATATTATTAGGGGTATGAGCAGGGGTAATTTCGGTAAACAAAATTGATTCCCAGCCCATAACTTACATATCAATTGAGCCTAATGTAATACTCATTGGGCCTAATGGGTATGGTATCTTCTTAGGCCCATTTCGTACATTAGATTAGAATATAGAGATTCCAAAAAAAAAAAAAAAAAAAAAAAAACGTAACCCGGAAACAAGTGGCGTCAAACAACGTTCGGTAATAGCCTTCATGAATCATCCCACAGTATTACAAGTGATAATTAATTTAAATTATAATTGAATACGCCAACCTAATTATCACCGACCATGACGTCCAATGGCCCAATCATGCACTTTATTTTATCCTCTAATCACTTATATGATTATATATACAACGTCCCAAAAAAAAAAAAAATTGTAATGTAGACAATCAACGGCAGTAGATATTTCAGTTTATTTTGTTTTTTCATTAGTACCACACACACACACACATATACATATATATATATATATATATATATATGTAGAGAGAGAGAGAGATTCGGAATATTCTAAGAGGAAAGAAGACTTAATACACATCACACATTTTTGGCTGACTTGAAAAAATTCAGAGAGACAAGTAGACATACGAAATTATTCGAATATTCCATTAAAAAAAATCAACGTGTTGACTTTATATTACTTGGAAAATTATAACTATATATAGATGTGTGAGTGTGTTCTATAACAAAAAGAATTAATTTGTGAAATCATGCAAGAAAAAGGTGTTATTCGGTACAAATTTCTGTATTTGAAACAAAAGGCTGGACTTCCAATATATATTTTTATTAAGGATATATTTAAATAGAATATAATGTCAACAAGACAAAAATATAAAATTGTTGGAGACATAATTTCTTTATTTTTTAATATTATTATTATTATTATTATATATAGTTCTCTAATGATCTAACCAGATTTAAAATTGTATTAATTAAAGTATAACGTAGAACAATATATATTTTCAATAAATATGTGAGGAAATACTTATTTGGATAATTTAGTCGAATATAAATCCATGATTGAGAATGAGCAGATGCTTGGAATCTTTCTTCTTCACGTCGCCTCCATCATCCGATCTTATTTAATAAAAGAGTATATTCTGTTGATTACAACATCTGTTAAAAAAAAATCAGTGTTTTTTTTTATTTTCCAATATATTTCACTATTCAAAAGTTAATCATCACACAGACTACTTGTAATTATTTTTATTCAAAATTTTAAAAATCCGAAATTGATTATGAAATTTACATATAATTTTATCTATTCATTTTTTATATCATTTTTTATTAGATTCAGATTTTTTTTTTAGTTTTGAACAACAATATTTACTTTTAAAATATTTTTTATTTAGTTTTTTGGACGATTTTATATTTATTTAATATTCTTTAAAGATTTAATTAATTAACTAATATTATATTGAATTTTATTTGAATACAATAACGTATATATTCAAGTATAGGTATATTACTATTCGTTGCAACATGTTTTTACTAATTAAGTACCTTAAGCATATTCTTATTTTTCCTACCTTTTAATCAAATGTTAACTTTTTTTTTTGGTAAAAATCAAATGTTAACTTAACTAGGATATTATATAATATAAAGTAAAGAATCTAAATTATTATAATATTATTAGAAAAAGAATAAATCGCAGTATATGCGAATCAACTAGAAGCATCTAGTGATATTATTAGTAAATGTTTGAATTATAACTTAGAGGGAAAAGAATAAATTGCAGTGAATGAGAATCTGAATTAATTAAGGCAAACTAAAACAGTTTTGGTCCTAAAGAAAAAGAATCTGTCGGATTTTGTTATGTATACGCTTATAAAATCAAAAAAGGAATTTTATACATTCTAAAAGTAGAAATAAATTTTAAAAAAAATGGAGAAATAAATTGTCAATAGTAAACACTCGAGCATTTCCGCGGTTACCACTGTTAAAAGTAAAAATAAATAAATTTCAATAGTAAACGCGCATGTCATCATCCAATAGTCACCAAATCTCTCTCTCTCTCTCCCTCCCTCTATATATATGCTCTTAGTTCAGTGGCATCTGTCTACAGCTCTGACTTCGATCCCAGAAAAAAAAGAAAAACCTTTTTCTTTCATCTGGGTAGATTCTGAATCACGTCCAATTGCTTGCCCAGATTCAGATTCAGATTCAGATTCAGCAATATCCGCAGAGTTTCTCTTCTGGGTATGTCTCGATCGATTGAAATTCTCCGGCTTTCTCTTGTCTGATTTGGTTTGTGTTACTGTTTTCCAGTTTTCGTTTGGCCGTCAATTTCCCAGTTTTAGTGCCGAAATTTGTGTCAGTGGTCAACAGATCTTGCCTTTTTTCCCGTTAACTTTTGGTGTTTTTTTGGGGGTTTTCTGACCTGATGATCGCAGAGAAAAGGCAGAGAGGGTTTAGCGATCCGCGACAATGGCGACTCGGAACTTAGAGAAGATGGTATCCATCGACGCGCAGCTTCGGCAACTGGTTCCTGCCAAAGTTGGCGAAGACGACAGGCTTGTGGAGTATGATGCTTTGCTCCTGGATCGTTTCCTCGACATTCTCCAAGATTTGCACGGCGAGGGTCTCAGAGAAACGGTACAACTTTAAAAAAAAAAACCTAATTTCGCGTCGTTTGGTTGATGCCCATTTCCGAAGAACTAGGGCAATCCATTTTTTATATGTTCTCTTCTGTCTTTGTTGGAAACTGTCTCCTTGATTAGTGGTCTGAATAATCTGTGCTCATGGTCGATGGCTTCTCACAGCAAAACATTCGAAGTTCTTAGTTCTTTTTAGGTATTTCAGATCTGTTACTGTTTGGTTCATGTGAACTGCCGTTAAGAAGCTGTCTGATTAACCTTATTGTTCATCTGCAAGAGAAGTTATATATTGTGCTCCTTTCTGTGATTATCTGATCTGCAATTATCAGTGGAAAGAACTTGTCTTTGTTCAGAGTTGAATCTGTAAATGATCCGGGAGTGAATCATGTTTATGTAGGTTCAAGAGCTTTACGAGCTTTCGGCTGAGTACGAAGGAAAGCACGACCCGAAAAAGCTCGAGGAGCTAGGGAGTGTCCTGACGAGTTTGGATCCCGGGGACTCCATTGTTATTGCCAAGGCTTTCTCACACATGCTTAACTTGGCCAACTTGGCCGAGGAAGTGCAGATTGCTTACCGTCGTAGGATCAAGAAGCTGGCAAGACGCGATTTCGCCGATGAGAACTCAGCCACAACCGAGTCAGACATAGAGGAAACTTTCAAGAGACTCGTGGTGGATCTGAAGAAGTCTCCTGAAGAGGTTTTCGAAGCTCTCAAGAATCAGACAGTGGATCTTGTCTTGACAGCTCATCCTACTCAGTCTGTCCGAAGATCTTTGCTCCAGAAGCATGGGAGGTTAGTTTGACTTTGCCTTGCTGCCTTTACGCTCCTCGCTTATATGCTTTGGCCTTACAGTTTTCTTTTATGCCCTTTTCAGGATAAGGAACTGTCTTGCTCAGTTGTATGCAAAGGACATTACCCCTGATGACAAGCAAGAGCTCGATGAAGCTCTGCAAAGAGAGGTATTACTCAGCTTATGAAAATCCTTGGGCATTTTAATGGAGTGCCCTTTTCCATATTAATCTGTAATAAGGCTATATGTACAGTATATATATATATATATTGTCCTTTACATAATGCCTTGTGGTATAGATTCAAGCAGCATTCCGCACGGATGAGATCAGAAGAACACCTCCGACCCCACAAGACGAGATGAGAGCTGGAATGAGTTATTTCCATGAGACGATCTGTAAGGGTGTCCCCAAGTTTCTTCGCCGTGTGGATACAGCTTTGAAAAACATAGGGATTAACGAGCGTCTACCTTACAATGCCCCGCTGATTCAGTTCTCTTCTTGGATGGGCGGTGACCGTGATGGTAATATTATCGTCTTTTTATCGGCCACATTATATGATCCTTTTATAGCTCTCTCTTACCGAAACTCGGCTGGTTTATATGAATTGTAGGCAACCCTCGGGTTACCCCAGAAGTCACCAGGGACGTGTGCTTATTAGCCAGAATGATGGCTGCTAACATGTACTTTAATCAAATCGAGGACCTTATGTTCGAGGTTTGATATTATCTCCTGAACTTTTTGTCTGATTTGCATCACATATTTCTTTCTCCGGTGTATGTATGATTCATTCTTTCATCATTTTTCTCGGCAGTTGTCTATGTGGCGTTGCAATGACGAGCTCCGTGTACGTGCTGATGAACTTCACAGGAATTCTAGGAAAGATGCAGCAAAACACTACATAGGTAAAATCTGAAACTCATTTTCGGAGAATGGTTGCTTGCAAGATCGTTTTATAATATATCAACGAACCGATTTATGTATTCGTGTGGTGTGATGATGAAAGCACATATGAACCTGCATTGCCATTTCAAGCTATCTATCAAAATCTAAACTTAGCTCCCGATGCTTTGTTCTGTCCTTCATGGCAGAATTCTGGAAGACAATCTCTCCAAGTGAGCCATATCGAGTGGTTCTTGGTTATGTCAGAGACAAACTGTACCAAACAAGGGAACGTGCCCGTCAGTTACTGACTACCGGAATCTCTGACATCCCCGAGGAAGCGACTTTCACTAACGTGGAACAGGTAGCAACCTCTCTCTCGGGCTTGCTCCTGAATAATGTTTTCGAAACTGGATTTTCATATTTTACCGGCTAATATTTGATCTGTTCTGTGTATAGTTCTTGGAACCTCTTGAACTATGTTACCGATCACTCTGCTCATCGGGTGATCACCCCATAGCTGATGGAAGCCTTCTGGATTTCTTGAGGCAAGTCTCTACCTTTGGGCTCTCCCTTGTCAGAGTTGACATCAGGCAAGAATCCGACCGCCACACCGATGTCTTGGATGCTATCACCAAGCACTTGAACATCGGTTCTTACAGAGAATGGTCCGAGGAACGCCGCCAGGAATGGCTTCTCTCCGAGCTACGTGGAAAGCGTCCGCTTTTCGGTTCTGACCTCCCAAAAACCGAGGAAATAGCCGATGTCCTCGACACCTTCCATGTCATAGCCGAGTTACCGGCTGACAGCTTTGGAGCTTACATTATCTCGATGGCAACTGCACCTTCCGATGTCCTGGCCGTTGAGCTTTTACAGCGTGAATGCCGCATAAAACAACCACTGAGAGTTGTTCCTCTCTTCGAGAAGCTTGCTGATCTAGATGCTGCGCCTGCCGCTGTTTCGAGGCTCTTCTCGATAGACTGGTACAGGAACCGTATTAATGGAAAACAAGAGGTTATGATCGGTTACTCGGATTCGGGGAAAGATGCTGGCCGGTTATCGGCTGCTTGGCAGTTGTACAAAGCTCAGGAAGAGCTCGTGAAGGTCGCAAAGGAATACGGGGTGAAGCTAACCATGTTCCATGGCCGAGGTGGCACAGTCGGGAGAGGAGGTGGTCCGACTCATCTTGCTATATTATCTCAGCCACCAGACACCATTCACGGGTCACTCCGTGTGACGGTTCAGGGCGAAGTCATCGAGCAGTCGTTCGGAGAGGAGCATTTATGTTTCAGAACCCTCCAGCGTTTCACGGCTGCTACTCTTGAACACGGTATGAATCCCCCGGTTGCACCGAAACCTGAATGGCGTGCCTTGCTAGATGAAATAGCAGTTGTTGCAACCGAGGAGTACCGGTCTTACGTTTTCCAAGAGCCTCGATTTGTCGAGTACTTCCGGCTTGTAAGTATTTTACACAAATATATATACTTCGCCCAGGTTTTGTTTAAGCACTGTCATTAACTGGGCAAACATTGGTTGGTTTTCAGGCTACACCCGAGCTGGAGTACGGCCGTATGAACATTGGAAGCAGACCCTCGAAGCGAAAACCGAGCGGAGGTATTGAATCTCTCCGTGCTATCCCATGGATCTTTGCATGGACACAGACGAGATTCCATCTTCCCGTATGGTTGGGATTCGGAGCAGCGTTTAGACACGCGATCCAGAAAGATGTAAGAAACCTCCAAATGCTGCAGCAGATGTACAATAACTGGCCATTCTTCAGGGTAACCATCGATCTCGTGGAAATGGTTTTCGCCAAGGGAGATCCCGGGATCGCTGCGTTGTACGACAAGCTTCTCGTCTCGGAAGAACTGTGGCCCTTTGGAGACAAGCTCAGAGCTAACTTTGAAGAGACCAAGAACCTCATCCTGCAGGTAAAACTAAAAACTCCACCCATCCATTACAGTACTTAACACAGAAATCTCATCTAAACTGCAATACTGTTCTTCTTCTTGTCCGAGCAAGACAAGACAAGATCTTATGAGATTGTTGCGTTGGTTGTGCAGATTGCAGGGCACAAAGATCTGCTGGAAGGAAACCCATACTTGAAACAAAGACTGCGTCTTCGAGACTCATACATAACGACACTCAACGTATGCCAAGCCTACACGCTGAAGAGGATACGTGATCCAAACTATGACGTGAAGTTGAGGCCTCACATCTCGAAGGAGGTCATGGACTCGAGCAACCCAGCTGATGAACTCGTCAAGCTTAACCCTATGAGCGAATACGCTCCTGGGCTTGAGGATACCCTTATCTTGACCATGAAGGGTGTTGCCGCCGGCCTTCAGAACACCGGTTAATCCCTTAAAAAAAACCCGATTTTTCTGCGGATGTTTCTCGTTATCTCTCTCGGAGGTTGTTCATCTCGAGGGGGCTCTCTCTTTTTTTTCTTCTTCAGAATGGAAGTAATAAGTTATACGGCCGAGGATACTGTTTACAGACATATACATATCGGCCGTCTGTTGTTGTGTAATCTTAAATCTTAATGTACGAACTCTGAGACCATCACTCTCTTCTGTTTCTGCACAGAGAGAATGAGAATGAAGCGTAAGTCTGGACTTTCCTTTTATTGCTGATCTCGGACACTTTCACCTTAAAATGTCAATGTAGAGTTTTACATTGCCATGGATGCATATACACATATAAACATGTATGTATCATATGCATACATGGTCAGGGGAAACGACACAAATGTCCCTTTCCATCTAACATTTCCATGGCCTCTCTTTACACATCAACTACTTCCCCCAATAATTGTCCTACAATCAAGTCTCTATTGCTTTAGAGCTAAAATGATCTCGTGATTGCCTTTTAAACCAATAATTGCAAAAGAAACCATCAAAGCCAAAACCTTTGGATATATGTATAATTTCCATACGACTTTCATCCACAAAATATCCCTTTTGAAGCAAAGGGGTACATTGGATCTTAAACCCTAAATGATGCATTAAATGGAACATAAGATTACATGGGGTGGCGGAATATTCCTCTCAGCCATAAAATGGGTATAATTTGGAACGTTTAGTAAATATTGGGGTCATTTTTGTTTAACCTAACAATATTAGGGGTACCACTGTATATTTCCTTTTTCTTCTCGAGCAAATTGCGTTTTGTCCAAAATACCCCTCGGTTCATTTCCAGTATAAAAAAACCCCTGCAAAACCCTTGTGCTTCATTTCCTCCTTATCTGCTCCTCTTAGGGCCCCTTGCTTGTGCTGCTTTCAAGTTTCAGCTTGTCTCTTTCCCGCTCCCTCCTCTGTCGGACGAGGAAATCGCTTTCCTTTCTCTGCCCACGGTCCTTCTCTTCGTCGTCTACTTTTGTCAAACCCCCTCCGACTTATCTCGCCGCGTCCTCTTTGCTGAGCCGCTCGCGGCCCCTCGCCGCCGCGCTCTCCTCTGCGATCCGCGGCGTTGCATCGACGAGAGGTTTGTCGACGCGGGCCTCTACGTCTTCCCTCAATGATCCGAACCCTAACTGGTCGAATCGGCCCCCGAAAGAGACGATCTTGCTCGACGGTTGCGATTTCGAGCACTGGCTTGTCGTCATGGAGAAGCCTGAGGGTGATCCCACTAGGGATGAAATCATCGACTACTACATCAAAACCCTATCCCAGATCGTTGGCTGGTAAAACCCCAATTCAAAGATTTTGTATTTAACATTTTGGGTATTGAAAATTGAAAATCCATATGGAAAATGTGTGAAGTCCTCGATCTTCGGGGACTGTAACACTGAGATTCATTGGATCATTTTTGAAACCCTGATCTCGTTCATCTGATTATGAGTTTTCTAGTGAGGAGGAAGCAAGGATGAAGATATACTCTGTGTCAACTAGATGCTATTATGCTTTCGGAGCTCTTGTGTCGGAAGAGCTTTCCTACAAGATCAAAGGTATTATTGCCTCTAATGGCGCTCTTATTGTTTTTCTCCTTCTATGAGTTGTAGAAAATACCGTTTATCTCATGTGCTTTCTTTGCTGTGTTCGACAGAATTGCCTAATGTACGATGGGTTCTTCCCGATTCGTACTTGGATGTAAAGAACAAAGACTATGGAGGTAAGACTTTGTAACTGTGTTTTCTGGCGGCTGAGTGTGATTGAATTGTCTTTTGATTGGGTATAGAGTGTTGTAATGAGTAAATAATGTTTGCTGAGTGTGATTTGATTAAGGGCTCAGCATTTTGCTCTAACTTCTGCCTTTTTGCGTGCTTGCTTGTCTGTAAGAGGTTTTCAAATGTCATTTAGGGGAATCATTTGTTGATATTGGATTTTGTATTCGCTAATCACTGCTGCATGTTCTATGCTACTTGTGTTTAGCTAGCCTGGGAGGAAAGGGTGCCTATTTTTTTAAACTTGGGTGGTTGCTTTACACAGTTTCATGTTTGGTTTCTTCTTCCAGTCATTATGATTTTGTACACTCTTATTAGTCCAATGTGTTTACCCTTTTTAGTAGACAGTAATATCCATTGAGACTGTTACTTGTTTTCTCAAAAATTTTGCCTTGTTTTTGGGCAAAAGCAATTGATAGGAACATTAGTATATTATGTGCCTCTCTATGGATGGGCTTTGTATGGTCCTTTTTCAGGTGAACCTTTCATTGATGGAAAGGCTGTTCCTTACGATCCCAAGTACCATGAAGAGTGGATAAGAAACAATGCCCGGGCAAATGAGAGGAACAGGCGCAATGATAGGCCTCGCAACTTTGACAGAAGCAGGAATTTTGAGAGAAGAAGGGAGAATGTAAGGGGAAACCAGGGACCAAACATGGGCGGCTCTCCTCCTCCTCCTCCTCCCAACATAGGTGGCTCTCCTCCTCCTACCAACATGGGAGGAGGCATGCCTCCGAACATGGGTGGTCCGAACATGGGAGGGATGCAAGGGAACATGGGGCAGATGCCACCACCGAACATGGGCCAGAACTACATGGGACAGCAGCCGCCACCACCGAACATGGGCCAGAACTACATGGGACAGCAGCCGCCACCACCGAACATGGGCCAGAACTACACGGGGCAGCGGCCACCTCCACCAAACATGGGTCAGAACTACATGGGACAGCAGCCACCACAGAATAACATGGGAGGTGGGATGCCAAATGCAGGATGGTCGGGAAACAACGTGCCTGGTAACTTCCAGCAGAACAATGGATACCAGGATCAGGGCGGAATGCAGAATCCACCACAGTACCAGAATGCCTACCCGCCCAACCAAAACCCCTACAAGGGTTAAGTAGCAGAACCGTCTTAGTTTTTCCTCAAGCATTCCAGGCACGATGTATAGACAGCCTTTAGCAACTTTTGCATGGATTTGGAAGTGTCCCAATGGGCTGTTTTCTTCTATGTTATGAAATTCCAGTATTGTCTATCTATATGCTAAACAGGAGAGATTCATCATGGTTTAAATCCATTATTTCTGCTTCAAACACATGGGCGTTTGCTAAAGAAGTGGGACTTGTTAACAAAATGGAACTTGAAAGCTGTTGATGAACTAATAGCTAGCTACAATGAAGTGGATAAAAATTGTGTTGTCGGAGGTTGTATTTAGTTTTTTCTACCTTTGTTTTGGTCTCTGCTTAAGCCTGGACCCCAATGTCCTGGATTTCTCTCTCTCTATCATCTTATCACCCCTTGCTTGTGCTGCTTTCAAGTTTCAGCTTGTCTTGTTCCTCTGATCTGGCTTCCTCCATAGCCAACCGGAGACAGGATCTCCTCTTTCATCCCTGTCAAGTTCTACTTGGCCCCTTCCTCCTTTCTTGGCAGCTTCTGCTATGTTTTCCGACCATGGCCGATATATATGAACGTCTCCTTTGATTGATTCTGTCTAGATCCTTGTGAACATCCAGTGTTGGTGAACTGCATATTGTCTATCATCAATCATCATTCAAGGGGAAATATATGAAAATATCCGCAAACTTTGAAAGTCATCTAAGCCAGCAGGAGTTCAAAGGTGATGAACGTGCTCTAGTGGGTAAAATTATAGGCGAAGACAGCAAGATTGGGTGGCTCAACTGTTTAGAAAGAGAGCAAACCTCCTTCTCAACTCGGGTTCGAATCCTCATTTGGAGAGGAGCATTCACATAAACTTTTCTGATCTTCTGTAGTCTGGTCAAAAGTACGGTGAATTTCCAAATTATATAAAAAAAAATTAGCGAAGACAAGTTTACCGAGAGTACATGTGATGCAGTGTTGCGACTTATCGTAATCAGCGAACACGTAGTCACAGTTTTTGAAACCATGTTTTTCAGGACATATTTTATATCCGATTAAAATATTTAACCGCATGTACAGTTTTCTATAGATAAAATATACGATAAATATCTAACCACGCAACTTGTACAATTTTTTTAATTCAATATAATATATCAATTTTCATCGAAATATTAGTTCACTTGCCTGTTAATTTGATCGTGCTACAACGTTCTTAAGTTGAACGGTTTTTTCTTATATGGGATAAATACAAAGAAAAGATCGAAAAATAGTCATTATGATTACAATTTACGAGTGTCGTGTTGTTAGTAGAGATTGTTTTTTGGTTTTGACATATAAAACCAAATAAAGAAACACATAACCATGTTTGGATAAATTTTAATCTAAATTTGATCTAATATTATTATTTTTAAAACCAAATTGAAAGAATCAAAATAATGTAAATATAACCGTTGGATTTGTATAAAAACGAATCGAAATATAGTAATTGGATTTGGATTTGGATTTGTTGATAAAAGTTTGATGGAAAAACTAAATAAAATTTAAACATCGAATCAGGAAAATAAAAATAAAAATAAAAAAGTAAACCAAAACTTGACGTAATAATCGAATAAATATAAATATTACAAAAAAAAAACTGAATACAACTGAAATGCAAAATACCATGTAATGGTTTCATAAATTCTGCATTTGTTTTTTCCAAATTGAAGAAAGAATCCGTCTAAAAAGCTCTAAACCTAAGTCTTTTAGAGCATCATGTATTTGAAATTATGCAATGGAATAAGACATATTGTTTCTTATTCACTAAGTATTACATGCCTCTTTCTTTTGAATTTTCCCGCGATGAAAGAGACACCCGTACAAGACTTTTACAAGTCTTGTCTTGTTTGAGAAAAAAACATTATTTGTCCGTTGAATTCCATTGCTTGGTGGTGAAGAAGAAGTTCACTATAAATGCCATCTCTCGTTCCACCAATTATTTCACACACAAAAAAAAAAGGAAAAAATAAAATAAATCATACTCTGATAGAACATATATATATATATATATAGAAATGTTGACGGGGACGAAAGGAGATTACGTGGCAGTATCCGACGACCGCCCGCCGCAGCGTGGCAGCCGCGGCGTGGAGGAGAACGAGAAGATGATGATGAAGAAGAAGAAAGGGTGTGTCTTTTTGTGTTGCTCGAACATGGAGATCGATGATGAAGAAGAAGACGAAGAGAAGACGAAAAAGATGACATCCGTGTTCGGAGATCGAACCAAGTTCAGTCTCGTAATGTGTTGCTCTAATTTCGGAGTTGGACGCAAGCCGAACGAAGTTGCCGGTGATGTTTCCAAGAACCGAAAATAAATTTCCATTTTCGGATGATATAAACATTAATTTCTCTGTGCTATTTTGTAATATATATATATAGTGTGTGTGTGTGTGATTAAAACATATATGATTGTATCATCGTGTGTATCTCCAATATAATACAAATGGCTGCCTTTTATAATATACTCGCAATTCAGTGAGGAAAAACTTGAAAAGGAAGGCGTTGGCGGAAAACATGTCTTGTTTATGCTGTTGAAATATATCGAATCTTGAAAAATATTACTAGATATATCGTATGATAGATATCTGACCAAATCTAAAAAATATATATTTAGAAATATTTATTATTATATTTAGTTTATTTATTTAGTATAAAAGTTTCATATATGAAATCGGGAGGAATTAAAGAATTCAGTTTTAGTTTTCAATTTAATAATAGGTATATGAAACCATGGACAATGTTTACGAAGAAAGACAACACAAACACAGTTACAAAGAGGTGAGAAAAGATTTTAAAAAATGGATTAGTTTATTGAGTTGATTTTTTTTTTAAAAAAATCGATCAATTTGTTTTTAACCAATCAATTTAATAGGTTACGTTTAACATATTAAACTCACTATATATTAAATTAAAATTGACATTTATATATAAACACATATACGCACATATACGCATATATATGCATATATGAATACCTTGACAAACAAGGGAGGAGTAATGGAAGGCAATCCCCGAGCATATATTTCTTCCCTTATGTAACTCCTTGGATCTTGTATATTACTAGGGTTTGATATGAGAAGGAAACACAACGAGGCGCTAAACCCTGACCATGGCGTCGCAAACCCTTTCCCGCTCCCTCCTCCGTCGCCCGGCGAATTCCCTTTCCTTTATCTTCTCACGGTCCTTCTCTTCGCCGGCTGCTCTCGCCAAAGCCCCCCCTCCGTATTCCCTCGCCGCGTCCTCTCTGCTGACCCGCACGCGGCCCCTCGCCGCCGCGGCGCTCTCCTCTGTGATCCGCGGCGATGCGTCGACGAGAGGTTTCTCGACGCAGGCCTCGAATCGGGTCCCGAAAGAGACGATCTTGCTCGACGGTTGCGATTTCGAGCACTGGCTTGTCATAATGAACAAGCCTGAGGGAGAACCCTCTAGGGATGAAATCATCGATTACTACATCAAAACGCTCGCCCAGATCGTTGGCAGGTAAAACCCAATTCGAAGATTTTGTATTTAACATTTTGGGTATTGAAAAGTGAAAATCCTTATGGAAAATGTGTGAAGCCCTCGATCTTGGGGGGCTGTAACACTGAGATTCATTGGATCATTTTTGAAACCCTGATATCGTTCATCTGATTATGAGTTTTTCTAGTGAGGAGGAGGCAAGGATGAAGATATACTCTGTGTCAACCAGATGCTATTATGCGTTCGGAGCTCTCGTGTCGGAAAAGCTTTCCTACGAAATCAAAGGTACTTATTATTACCTCTAATGGCGCTCTTATTGTTCTTCTCCTTCAATGAGTTGTAGAAAACGCCGTTGATCTCACGTGCTTTCTCTGCTGTCTCCGACAGAATTGCCGAACGTACGAGATGTTCTTCCCGATTCGTACATGGATGTAGAGAACAAAGACTATGGAGGTAAGACTTTGTAACTGTGTTTTCTGGCGGCTGAGTGTGATTGTGAATTGTCTTTTGACATTGGATGTATAGAGTTTGTGACTTGATTAAGGGCTCAGCATTCTGCTCTAACTTCCGGCGTGCTCGCTTGTCCGAAAATGGTTTTCAAATGTCAGTTAGGGGATCTGTTTCTTGATATTGGATTTTGTGTTGGCTGATCACTGCCACATGTTCTATGCTGCTTGTGTTTAGTAGCAAGCCACAGTTTCACGTTTTTTTTATTGATAATTCGGAAGTTCACAGCCCATGTGAATGTCCTTCTCCAAATGAATATTCGAACTCCGGATTGGGAAGGAGTTTTGCTCACTTCTTTACTGATTGAGCCACAGTTTCATGTTTGGTTTCTTCTTCCGGTCTCGTTTGTGATTCTGGCCATTTGTATGGCTCTTTGTTTTTCAGGTGAGCCGTTCATTGATGGAAAGGCTGTTCCGTACGATCCCAAGTACCATGAAGAGTGGATGAGAAACCACGTCCGGACAGATGAGAGTGCGCAACCGCCCTTGGTCGCTTAGCTTTATATGTAATGTAGGGTGCCCCTCAAAGGCAACGCCTTCTTCTTTATTCCATGGATCATAAATAGCCTACGTATTTATCACCCCTTGGACTGGACCTTTTTTTTAATATAAATTTTTAATTTTAAAATTAAATTATGAAATTGTCCTTATATACATAGTAAATCTTGATAAAAAAGGAAAATCCCATCAAAATACACTAATTTTACAATATATGCCACGTGAATTATCAATTTAACAGATTAACACATTAGTTTTTTTAATTTCTTCCAATTTTATACATGAACCTCATGCCGTATCCTTATATGCATTGTCACATCGTTGCCATGACATCCGGTCCAAAATTTTTAACCCGAAAACTGAATTAATAATTAAAAATTAAAAACAAATGTCAAAGTGCGGTCTTCTAACAGGTTGATCCATGCGGATACGTAAAAAAAAATATGACGGGTTACTCGTGGCACCTGTCGGACTAGGTCGAGATTTCTTTCGAGTTTCGGTTCGGATATCCGTCCCTTGTGAGATCTAGGACCGAGAAACCTGGATCTACGAGGCATATCTCACGAGAATTCAGATATTTGATTCCGTATTCAAATCTAAAGAATTTTTTTAAATAATCGGGTGTCATAAATATACGTTTTTTCCCCGGTTTAAGACTCAAACTCAGGACGACTCGTTTCACCCGTTGATATTATCCAATTTGGATTAAATATAGAGAGAGTTATCCAAGCTTGGGTGGTTTAGTGGTGACAAAACATGCAAAGCATGCTCTTATCCTGAGTTCAAATTCAAGCGTGGGAAAGAGCATTTACATGGATTTCCCCAGTCCGCTAGGAGATGTAGTCGGGCCAAAGACCCGGTGAACTTCCGGATTATCAAAAAAAAAATATATAGAGAGAGTTTGTTTCCACTGAAGGCATGAACTGTTTGCAAGTGACTCGACATCTCTCCTCTTGTTTTTTTTTTGGACATTATGCCAACATTATTAGTGGCCGCAAGAATTGGGAAATTATCAGATTCCTCTGTTTATTTTTGGAAAACAATTATAAAAATATTATCCTTTGGTGATTTTGTGGCCTTTCATCATAATCTGACATTGAACTCATCCCGTTGGATTCTGTCCAAAACTCCCGACTCTCATGTGGTTGTTGCGGTTTTTTGACAATTATCTATTTTTTTTTCTATAAAATTTTAAATCTAAAACATATAAATAACCATTACATTTTAAATTTGACAATTGTAATAATTTTTTAAGAAGTGTTAGTTTCAATAATTATTTATATTTTATAAATTCTCTAATTTATAAGAATACTGCCATCAGATTTTGTATTTTATTTTTTTCGCACCTTATATTATTTAATTAATGACGCTTTTATGATTAAAATGGGAAAAAACTGAAAGTGGAGTCCATCACCTCGAGTGGCTCACCATCTTCACCACATAAAAGGGCCCTCTTTTCGCCGTTTCCTCCAAACCTAGGCGTCTCTGTTCTCTCCTCTGCTTCTCCGAAGAACCCTAGATCGCAGCGAAAATGTTCAGATCCATGCTCGTCCGATCATCTTCCTCGGCGAAGCAGGCGCTTCTCCGCCGTGGGTTCTCCTCGGAGTCCGTTCCCGAACGCAAGGTCGCCATCCTCGGCGCCGCCGGTGGGATCGGTCAGCCCCTCGCCCTTCTCATGAAGCTTAACCCTCTCGTCTCCAGTCTCTCCCTCTACGATATTGCCAACACACCCGGCGTCGCCGCCGATGTCAGCCACATCAACACCAGATCTCAGGTATCCCTTTCGAGGATTGCTCCGTACGGATCTCTTGTTTCCCATTTGATTCGCTTGTTCTCTCGTTCAAATTCGATTCCTTTTGATTGCCCATTTGAGTTTTTTTAGATTTGATGAATGGTGAGATTTGCTAGTTGCTATGGTTGTATAATCCAATTGGATCTCGTTTCTTCGATGTGTGTGACTCACTGGTCTGAATCTTCTCGCCACGTGGGATCCCTTGCGTAATGTGCGTCAGAATTGCTTGATAGCGGGCGTCGTTGCTTTGTCGATGTTCGATCAGATTTCCGGGGAGAATTCTCTTATGGGTTGATTGTTACCATTGGGTTTCGTCTAATGGAAAGATCATTGATGTGGGAATCGCTTTTTTTTTCCCAGGTTGTCGGATACATGGGTGATGATAACCTGGGCAAAGCTCTTGAAGGAGCCGACCTCGTCGTTATTCCAGCTGGTGTGCCAAGGAAACCCGGCATGACTCGTGACGACCTTTTCAACATCAATGCTGGAATCGTGAAGAGCCTCTGCACTGCCATTGCTAAGTACTGCCCACATGTAAGATTTGACTGATCATCTTATGATATTCTCACGAGGATAATATATAAACACGTATCTGTTCAGTCCCATGGTTTCATTTTCTAAATCCATGGTGAAGTCGTCCTTGTTTCCATCTGGTGAATGTTGTAGGAAAATTAACTGTTCATGTGTGAGCATATCCTTCCTCACATCTCGTTGATTGTTTAAACCTCTGATTAGACGGGGAATTTTGGTATCCTATCAAATGGCTGAACAAAGGGAACTTTCTTGTTTCTTGAATCAGGCAATTGTCAACATGATCAGCAACCCTGTGAACTCCACTGTCCCAATTGCAGCAGAGGTTTTCAAAAAGGCCGGCACTTACGATGAAAAGAAGCTGTTTGGTGTAACCACTCTTGATGTTGTCAGGGCCAAGACTTTCTATGCCGGAAAGGCTAATGTCCCTGTCGCAGGTTTGTCCTTGTTGCCTTTGATGGTGTAATTGGAAAATGCTCACTCTGTTCAAAGCTTTCAAGTTTTAACTCGGTTACTTGCATCTCCAGAGGTTAATGTTCCTGTTGTGGGTGGTCATGCCGGTGTTACCATTCTCCCTCTCTTTTCTCAGGTTGCCTTCTTGCCCTCTTTCCTGCTGCTTGTTCCCTTAATATTCCATTTCTGTTCTGTACCTCATACTGATATTGTTGGTTGGTGTTGTATAACTTTCATGATATTCGGTTAGGCCACTCCCAAAGCCAACTTGTCGGATGAAGATATCAATGCACTGACAAAGCGCACCCAGGATGGAGGGACAGAAGTGGTTGAGGCGAAAGCTGGAAAGGGTTCGGCTACTCTGTCAATGGCGTAAGTCACCTGCTTTTCCTCCCTCGGGATTATTATCATTATCATTACAATGGTGGAGTACTGTGTAGATGTTCTTGGTGAAGTTTCCATAGATGGATCTGCCTCTCTGTAAAAAGTGTGTTTTTGTACGATGGAAATCATTACAGCTATGCGGGAGCGCTTTTCGCTGATGCGTGCTTGAAGGGACTCAACGGTGTTCCAGACGTCGTGGAGTGCTCGTTCGTCCAATCCACCGTCACCGAGCTTCCCTTCTTTGCCTCCAAGGTCCCTCTCTCTCTCTCTCTCTCTCTCTCCCTCCGTCAAAACATCACCACCAGTTTTACAGAGACTGATCGTAACGATGATGGATTTGCAGGTGAGGCTGGGGAAGAACGGAGTGGAAGAAATCTATGACTTGGGGCCGCTGTCGGACTTTGAGAAGCAAGGGCTGGAAGCCATGAAAACAGAGCTCAAGTCCTCCATCGAGAAGGGAATCAAATTCGCAAACCAAAGCTAGAGTACGCAAATTTTCCCCTGAGTTGATCGAGATACACTCTCTCTCGGGGCAAAACTAGTTGTGTTTTTTTGTTGTTGTTAGAATCGGGCTTTCCGATTTTTTTTTTTTTTTTTTCCGGATGGGAAGGGCAGAGACCTCGTACAATTCATCAATAAGAGCAAGCTGGCGTGTTCTTTGTCGTTACGAATGCTGCTACTGTTGCTCTGTGAGAGATCTATGTTAATGGGTTATGATCGCTCTTATGGGTTTTATATATATACATATATATATGTATATGTATATTCGATGACTCGAGTTTTATTTTTTTGTGCACGTTTATGCCGATCTCGTCTCATTACAGTGCAAAACTGAGGTAAATAATGTATGTTTGATTCGTTATATTACTACTTTTAATCTCTTAGGGACAATCATTTTAAGTCTTGATTAATTAAATCATATGTACACTTTAAACAAAATAAATTAAATAACATATATTATGTTTGAATTCAATTTCAGTTTTTTTTTAAAGAAAATCTAAAAATAATTGAACTCAATCTTTAATCAAAATGTTAAAATTTACATCCCTGGTTCTTCCTCTTGAACGCCACGTGTCGGAGAGTCTTTACACAGATAAATAATACATAAGTAGATGTAAAATCTCTGACTCTGTTCGGTTTGCGTTTTGGAATCATTGGCCTTAAAACCAAGGACAAGGAAGAAGAAGATGTGATCATGTTTGTTGTCAACCTCTTCCCATCACTTCCAAAAGGCATCGCTTTTACTCCGATCCCAATGCCGGATAACATCCATTTGCTTCGGAACAATATCGCAAAAAATGAAGGGAAGTGGGGGGGCAAAATACAAGCAGCTGTCGGGACTTTTCTGATCCAATCTATTTATTAGGGACAAAAGGCGTCTCTGTTGGTCCCGGCGGGGCTCGAACCCGCGACCTTCGGCTCATAAGACCAACGCTCTAACCAACTGAGCTACGGGACCATGGTCATATTATGATTGTTGTTAAGATTTTACTAGAAATTCCTATAGTTCCATCTTTATTTTAAAAAAATGTTTACGTTTTATGTCTTTATATTTAATCCCAGCTTTATTTTTAAAGTTGATCTAAAAATTAGTTTAGTTTTCTATTATTTATGCATAGATCTCGTCACTCTGTGCGTGTATATATACATACCAACAGTTTTTTAGGAATAAGAAAATGGACATTATTTAGTGAAAATTAAGCCACAATAAAATTTAAATTAAATAAAAATTGATAGAAAAATGGAATAAATTTAATATTTTAATATAATAAAAAAATCCGAGACACTAATCCATTTTTCTTGAGTTTATTTAGATGAAATAGATGCGATCCAAGTGGGTTATTTGGGTAAAAAACCCCAAAGAAAATGATATTCGTCTAATAGAATAGAACTGATGATATCCAAATTGATAAGAATGAAGGAAGAATAGTTTCTCAAACCGAACCAAACCGGATTTTCCTCCGACAACGATCTCCGTGATCTCCATCCCTTTGCGTGTCTTCCCTTACAATCTCTCTCTCTGTGAGCATCCGTGCATGCCTTCGATCTCCCAAGAGAGAGCCTTCTGATCGGAGATCCTGACAATGGCGGCGTATAGGGCAGACGATGATTACGATTACCTCTTCAAAGTCGTCTTGATAGGAGATTCCGGTGTCGGTAAATCCAATCTGCTCTCTCGATTCACTCGCAACGAATTCAGCCTCGAGTCCAAATCCACCATCGGAGTCGAATTCGCCACCCGAAGCATCCGCGTCGATGATAAGATCGTCAAGGCCCAGATTTGGGACACCGCTGGTCAGGAAAGGTACGTAATCCGACAGAACGAGCTAACAAATACGCCATCTCCTTCTGGGTTTTCTATCTTCTTGTCTGGTAATGGAGGAATTTGTAGGGACCAAATTGACATTTTTTTTCTCCTTCGGTGATTGCTTTCTTCCCCCAAACGGAAAGTAATGACATTTCCGAATAGGGTTAGATGGGGTCGCGAGTTGTTTCGTCGGATTCAAGTTTTCTTGGTGAATCCAGATCTGTCTTAAAAAAAACCCCAGATCAATGAGATCCTCAATTCTCTTTCACTTCCTGATTCATTCAATCTTTGGTGCGAAATCTCAAGAACTAATGATGGATTTTATGTATGAAGATACCGGGCGATCACGAGCGCATACTACAGAGGAGCGGTGGGAGCATTGCTGGTCTATGATGTGACAAGGCATGTAACGTTTGAGAACGTGGAGAGATGGTTGAAGGAGCTTCGTGACCACACAGATGCCAACATTGTGATAATGCTGGTCGGGAACAAGGCAGATCTCCGCCACTTACGAGCCGTGTCGACAGAGGACGCAAAGGCATTTGCCGAGAGAGAGAACACCTTCTTCATGGAGACATCTGCCCTCGAGTCCATGAACGTCGAGAACTCTTTCACCGAAGTTCTCTCTCAGATATACCGTGTCGTGAGCCGGAAGGCTCTGGATATAGGAGAGGATCCTGCTGCACTTCCCAAGGGGCAGACCATCAACGTCGGGTCCAAGGATGATGTTTCCGCCGTCAAGAAGGTCGGATGCTGCTCAAGTTGATCTCAAAACCCGGAAATTCAGACAAGGTCCCAAGTTATGTTCCACATGTGGGTATGTCATTTCTCTGGTAATATCCCTGTTTTCTTGGATTCTTAGGGTTTATTCTCTCCCCACCCAAAAATTGATTCATACTTTGGAGTAGGAAGATAACTCATCTTTCATTTCTTCTTCTTCTTCTATTACTATAGTTTTCTGCCATATAGATTCACCCTTATGTTGTTATTTGATATTCTCCCCTGTTTTTGGTGTAAGTTCCTCAAATCTCTGGATTACATTCATATTCAGTTTCTGCTAATAGATTCTCATCAGATTCCATCACATAACCAGAAGAAGACATCCGGGGGTCCAAGTTTCTACATCCAATTTGAACACAGTCCCTAATTTGTCAAAAGCGCAAACTATGATCATCCCATAAAGCTTCTCACTCGTTTTCTAAACACAAGACATAAACCCCCTTATCTAATCAACCATCATTTGTTAATGGTAATGTTAATCTGGAAATTAATGCAACCATTTAGGAAACAGGGGAGAGAGAGAGAGAGACCTAAAAACAAGCGAATAGAAGAAAGAAGAAAAGGGCAAAGAAGGATCATCATGAAAAGAGAGCAACCAAGATGTACAAAGAACCAAAGAAGGCTGTACAGTTTTTCTTAGAATCGGAGTCAAGAAAACAAATGGCATGCCAACCCTAAGAGCTTAGCTGTTTAACAAGATTATGTGCACCAAAGTACAAATTTACAGATTCTGTAGCAGCAGAAAATGCCCCCCACTCAGTTCTCTCTCTCTTTCTTTTCCATATATAAACTGATATAGATAAAGCCATCCTATACCTCCTCGTTCTACATGGCAATGGCCTCGGATTTGCAGATTGGGCAAACGTTCTTGATACACAGCCACTTCTTCAAGCATTCTGCATGGTAGTCGTGCCCGCAATCCAAGGTTCCGATCTTCTCTTGGTTGTTGAAGTTTTCCTGCCATTTCCCCGTTAAAAACCAGAGATTTTTAGCTAAAAGCTATGATCGAGAGAGCGAAACCGGGTATGAATGATTGCTTACCTGGCATATTGTGCAAGAACCGGTTTCCAGATCGGCCGGTGGAGCCTCTTCAAGGTTGATTCTGCTCAATAAATAGGTTCTTGTCTTCATATTTCTGTGCACTTTTTCCTCTGGCAAACCAGTGTTCACACTTCCAATACGCTCGCTCAAGGCAAGGAGCTCCTGACATCCAACAGGTTTACATCGTTTCAGATAAAAAAGGATACCAATGCGGATTTGCAGAGGCATCCCATTAGCTATCTTTACGTAAACAGAGCATTGATTATGCTTATCTTTATTACATACATGCACGATCAAGATCCTGAACTCACCTCGTAAGACATGTCCTCTATGTCCAAGCGCATGTCTCTATGATGGTCGGCGTAATCTCCAGTGCCGTAGAAATCTTCTACCTCCAACAGAGCAACTTCCTACACATATTAACAAAAGCGAAAGATTGGCGAAACCACAACCATGCAAAAAACAACGCCGGGAATACAATCTGCAAGAATATTATTACATCAGCCGGCATGATCCTGAGGTGAGGGGTTCCACCGTGTCTGAGAATTGGTCCCACATGAGTTGAACCTATCTCTGAAGCGTCATGCATATTGCTTCTAGGGTCATAGTTGGCACGAACTCCGTATGAAGCAAAGGCCATGGGAGGGTATACTGTGGAATTATGGCTTCTTACTACTCCTTGAATGTGCGGAGGCGATAGGTGGTGACTAAAATAGTGGTGGTGACTAGGGTTTAGCGGAGAAGGATATTCGGATGATGATTCATGATATCTCGGAAGGCATAAGTTCCCAGACTCTGTGGAACCAGAGACAACACTGCTACCTGAAAGATCATTTTCAGGTGGAAAGAATTAGATATAAAAGTTCAAAAAAAAAAAAATTTTAAGGGTTGGCAGCCAACCGTTGGCTAAAAACTTGGTGTAAGAGAACGTACCTGGCATATAAGGTACAGGAAGTGAATGGGTCCATCCATCAGATCTGCCATTGCTCGTCTGATGCTGGTTAAACCAGGTAGACCCTGGCAGTGGCAAAGGCTGACCTGCATAGTTTCCTTGAATGACGTTGTTCTGACCATGAGACAGGACAGGATCTATCATTACAGCTCCTGGTCTGTTCCTCTCCCTTCTCTGACCAAGTTGTGAGTTACTACCAGCCCCCCTAAACTGTGGCAACGAGAAAGTTGCTGGCTCGGTTGTTGCATTTAAAGGGGATAAAGATCTAGGAGCTGGTATGGTACTTAAATACTGAGTATTCCCATGTGTTCCTTGCACATTCTTTCTTTTATATGACCCTCTTGTGGGATCCATAAGATGAGCATTCCTCTCATATTCATCAGAAGTTGCTCCAACGTCACCGTGACTGCTAGAAGATGGCAACTGGCTCGGCGGATGATGGAAAGTCACATAAGGGTGATACAAATTCGGTGCAGTTGAAATGCCCACATCAAGACTTGAAGCATGGTGATGCAGATGCTGACCACCATGGTAATGAGGGTTCCCATAGAACAAGGCATTGTCATACGGATGAGCTTCTAGATTTGGAACATTTCCAGAGGCTGTGATCACTCCAGGAATATCGGGTTGAGCAAAGCTAGTTACACTGCCTAAAAAGATGCAAGACTCTGGTTGTACATAGCCTTGAGACTGCTGTTGCATTTCTAAATCAACCATCATATTCCTTTGTCCCATATTTCTGGCCTGGCCGCAGATAAACCCTGATAGTTGACCAGAAAAACATCAACAAATAGTAATGCGACAATAAATATACAGACAGAAGAAATAACTATGCAAGAACTTCACTAACATATTCGAGAAGATTTACAAAAACAAAGTGAATAGTAAAGAAAACTTCTCAATTCTAATAGATATACTTATTCCTGTAATCACACACGGTAACCTGTTCAACATCACACAACTATTACTCCTTCTTGTCAGCATTATGTCCGGACCGGATCCTAAAACTAGTGAGCACATCACTGGCACTCTTTCATCCACATGTGCATGCAACATAAAAAGGAATACCCGTCAAAGACAAACCTAAGCATTGGCTCCTGTTTTGGAAAAATTACAATTTCCAGAGCTGGAAACAAAGCGAATCATACAAAACACATATTTAGATACCAAAATGAGTAAAATGAAAACTGCTTTAATCTCGATAGATACAGTTATTTATTGATATCGAATGTAGAGCCAACCGACCAAACATTCAACAACCATTGTTCCTTCTTGCCAGTTTCAGATGGCGGGTGGGAAGGCATGACACTAAGGGACCTGCCTTACATCTCGACCAGTCGGCCGGAAACTTAAACTATGATAAAACGAATGGTACTCTAACCCTCGCATGCTCATTTGTAGACACTATCACACACAAAAAAGAAACAGAAGACTCATCAAAGCAGACCTATATTTCAACTCCTGATTTAGAAAACTGTATCCAGAGCTCGGAGAATTGCACGACGCAAAATCAAACTGCGGAAACAAATGTATGTTCTCCTCAGTTCGACACAGAGGAAAAAAAAACATATTAGGTGTCTTAAAACGTTGCCAGAACATGATAGGATTGCTCCCAAGTTATCAATCCACAAGAAATCCATATCCTTGGAAGACACATTGACATATACAAGCTCATGGGAGCATTGCAAAAGCCTAGACCTTTACAGGAAAAAACTAAACTTTAGCAGCAAAAATCCAAAGAAAACCAAAAACGCCATGGAATTACACAAGCTTTGCAACCAAATATGAAAAAAAAACAAAGAAAAAAACAATCCTTTTGATTTTCCTTCTACTTCTTTTCAGACCAATAATTTTCTAGGAAGCCGAAGAGTAGTATCGAGGAAAACCTTTCTTCCCTGTAATCTCTGACCGTACTAACATTAAGATTTCGAAAAGCTTCCAAATTTCAGCGATGGCGAGAAAATGCAAGGCTGATAAAGACTTGTATTCCGAGAAAAAAAATCCCTGAAGCAGAATTTGAACTGAAAACAAATAAAGAATAACGATCAAAAGGGATCGAACCCGAATTTTGACTAACCCAGAACAATGCAATTCTTCGATCACCCAGAAAATAAAAAAGTTCAAGATTATACGCAAAAAAGAATCCCAACAAAGTATGAACAGATTCGGGGCGAAAAAGACAAGAAACTGGGAACTACAAGCTCGAGAAACCGATCATCGCGATGATAAAAAGAGATAATCACCTGATTATCGAGGTTTAATCAAGGAGAGAGATCCAAGAACCAGAGAGAGAGAGAGAGAGATACGTCGGTTTCCCGTTTCTGATTTCATTTCGTACGGTGACGTGAGGTTTTGTTTTCCTCTTCTACACACATTTCTTTTCTTTTCTTTTCTTTTTTTTTTGGCTTTTTTATTCGTTTTTTCCTTGTGAAGGGAAAAAAAATTTAAAAAATAAAAATGTCCTAATTATACAACCTAAACAAACGCCGCAACCTCGCCGAGAATTATTTTCCACATAATATTTGATTCCCTAAGATTTAATAATACCCTTGTCGTTGTAATTTAATTAAGAAGATGTCATAAATTTTCGTAATCAAATGGGCAAAAATCCAACAACAAAACCCTTTATTATACTCTAGTGATTACTTTAATTAATGAATTATGATTTTTTTAATTAGAGAATTTCTCTTTTTTTAACACCACAAGAATTCGCTTTGTAACAAATCATGTCAAGCATGAAATAAGATGACTTTAATTTCTGGCCAAACCTGTAATTAGACGAATAATATGTTAAAAATAGTTAAAACTATAAATTCTTCAATAAATAATAATTGCATTACAAACAGAAAAAAATAGTACCACATATCAATATTAGAGCATTTTGTTGTGCCTATAAAAATATAAGCAACTCATATTTCCAAAAAAAAAAAAATTAGTTACTCGCCCATCCAAAAATACATGAACAAAAAATCATGACGAACTCGAATTTAAATTAAGATATCGATTGATGAATATGAAAAAATTAATCATTCCGAAATTTCGTTCTCTCTCTTTTTTTTTCGATCGATTTAATAATTTGTGAATTCTAGATATTTGATTGTCTTCGAATGATCAAAGTTCATATATCCGACCGAAATGAAATAAATAAATAAAATGATACATTTTTACTTTGAAATATAAAAAAAATGTAGACTTGAAACCGAATATCCAAAATCACATATATTCCATCTGTTTCAAATTCTAAAATTGAATATAACTTGATTAAAGCCATGACTCATCATTCACATTCATCACCGAATCCAAATCTCGTGCAGGAGAGTGTTATATACATATACAATATATAACAATGATACACCTTTAATAATCTGTCTGAATAAAAAAAAATTGAAACTTGAAAGAAAAATAATCAGTTCATCAGCATCTCTCTCTCCGAGGCCCGGTCCAGGGAGGGAATGCAGACCCAGATAGAAGATTCCCAGTTACTCGTATGAAAAAAAAATGGCTTTATGGTCCGAACTCCGAAGAATCCCCTTCGGCTGAAATGGGTTTCCGTTTTCCGACCATTATCTTCCCAGAAATTTGAATAGCAAAGCTTCGATTTCGATCGCTTCCCATCTCTCTTTTATCACTTCTTATTGTCGATAGAAGCCGGTGAAAAAACGCGCCATGGGTCGGCCTCCCAGTAATGGCGTTCCGGCTTTCCGATTCACCCAGACCGAGGTAATATCCTCGTTCAGTACAATCTCTCTCTCTCTTTTTTTTCTGCGTTTCATGTCGGATTTTGAATGAGCTGCAATCTGGGTCGGTTCGATTTTTCGTGATTTTGGTCTCCTTGGTTCTGAATTTGAGCCTATCATCGACTTTCTATTTGTGTGGTTTGCGGTGACTGTTTGCTTTGTACTCGTTTCCTTCATTAGTCTACGATGGATTTGGTTTCTTTGATAAGTTAGCTGAGGGCGTTTTGGTTTGGGTTTTTGATCTTCTGGCTGTCGGATGGAAGGGTTTATAGGATAGAATGACACTGAATCAATGGAATCTTCCTGAGAAAAGGTTGAGGGGTTTGGGTTTATTCAGTGTAGCACTTCCAGTGGGGTTTCAATGATTTCAAATCCGTTAGGTCCTATCCTATATCGCAGAACCCTGAATTTGTAGTACTTTCTCTGTGTGTTCATGTGGTTTCATTCTGGAGTTTGGCATATGGTTTTGTCTCCTTAACTTATTAGTTTCTGAGTATTCATGGGCGAGTTCTTCTGAATTGTTCTGTGTTTCGGATTATGAGGATTTGGTTGTGATGTATATATTGTTCATCTTTGGTTGATATGGTCAAATCCCATTGCACATATCATAAGGTAGCGGAGATGGAAGCAATCTTGCAAGAGCATAATACAGCAATGCCAGCTCGGAATGTTCTTGAAGCTCTTGCCGATAAGTTCAGGTAATGTGCTTTTTGTAGTTCAATTGCTGGCCTGGGAGCTTCTCTGTCTTTGTCTGTGAACTCATTTGCTCAATGTGTTGTAGTGAGTCGGCGGATCGGAAAGGGAAAATTGTTGTTCAATTCAAGCAAGTATGGATTTTCTTCTCCATGTCATTTTTATATCCGGACGGAGTCTATCATAGTTGTTTTTACTTAACACAGTATCTGTCTTATTCCCAACCGTAGGTCTGGAACTGGTTTCAGAACAGACGATATGCACTTAGAGCACGAGGAAATAAAGCCCCGGGGAAACTGAATGTATCCTCGATGCCCCACGATGACCAATCAAACCAAACGAGAAGCATGTTTCACCCTGTAGTTGTTCCCAAGACCAGTCATATGCCTGCAAATGTCTCTGCCCCTACGCCTTCTCCTTCGGGTATTTCTCAAATGTTCCTTCGTTTTACTTCTGCTCTTTGCATTCAAACTAAGCCCGGTTTTTCTTTTCCTCGTTGGTAGTCTGAGTAGCTTGCTCATTGTCTTCTGAATCGGTTTGTATTAAGAAATGTTACCATCCATCTTGGCTTTTTTAACAAATCCTTACTAAACCAGAAATATCTATAAGTATGGCAAATTGTCTTCAGTTATATGTTGGATTTAGCTTCTAATCTTTTTTCTTGTAAGCTTAAGTGCTACTGTAATACTTCTTTCCCATTCATTGCTTTGCTCAATGTATGATCTTATACTCTCATCTCTCTCTTTTTGTGATATTCTTTGTTATGAACTTGTCATTTCTTTGTTATCGAATTCAGTTCCTGGTGTCACGAGGAGCGGCTCAGAAAACTCGTACTTGGAATTTGAAGCTAAATCAGCAAGGGACGGTGCATGGTAAACTCCCTTTGCATTCGTGCATGTGCTTTTTTCTGCAAATATCACTAAATCCTAACTCTTATACCTCAAATACATCTGATCTCTCTTTATTGACAGGTATGATGTGCAAGCTTTTTTAGCTCATAGAAACCTGGAGACTGGTGATCCGGTAGTTTTCATACAAATGCTGCTACTTTTTTTTCTTGGAATTTCATCTTTATTTCTAACCCGTAAATGGATATGCTTTTTTGTTGGGTATTCAACAGGAAGTCCAGGTTCGATTTGCTGGATTTGGAGTAGAGGAGGATGAATGGGTAAACGTGAAGAAACATGTCAGGCAACGGTCACTCCCTTGTGAGGCATCTGAATGCGTCGCTGTTCTTCCCGGAGATCTCATACTTTGTTTCCAGGTTTGTTTTGAGATTTTCTTCTTTCTCTTAAGCTTTTTCTTCCGATTGAAATGAGCCATGATTTCATTTTCTTGCATCTTGCTTGACTCAACTTCTCCTTCTTCTTGCTTCTTCAGGAAGGTAAAGATCAGGCTCTTTACTTTGACGCCATTGTTCTCGACGCACAAAGGAGGAGACACGATGTTAGAGGTTGTCGGTGTAGGTTTTTGGTCCGTTACAGCCATGACCAGTCCGAGGTTGGATTTCATTTCATTTCTTTCTGATTCTTCTTGTTCGTACCCTTTTGATAGAAATTGTTAGGGGAAAGGTATTTTTACGGATAAAGCCAAGCATTTGCAAGAAAACCCGCCTCACCTATCCGTGCTCTTTTTTCCTTTTTCCCAGCAGGAAATCGTGCCGTTGCGGAAGATTTGCAGGCGGCCCGAGACAGATTACAGGCTACAGCAACTCCACAATGCTGCAAGCGAAGCGGGAAACTCAGACCGACACCCGAGATCCACTCCAGAAACCGCTACAAAAGCCACAATTACGGAACCTAAAGCCTCTGTTTTGTCAGATGCAACCGAGCAGGTGCAACCGAGCTCCAGTGGTGTGGCTATCACGGCTGCAGCCGGGGGTTCAACCCAGCTCTAGTGCGGCTCCTGTTCCGACTGGTTTCGTTTAGGATGTAAAATTCTTGTAACTCGTGTTGTTGCGCCATTTTCCACATTCACTAGTGGTGAGTGTTTAACTTGGAAGCATATATCTGTAGACTGTAGTTGTACGGAATGTCTGAATCCTATATTAACCGTATTTGGTATTGATGGAGGAATTCTGGTTTTCCGGTTTTGTTTAATGTATCGGTATGGTTTGGTTATTGCAGCTGTAAAACAATTAGCATTCTGATTTGAATTGAATTTTCTCAATCTAAGCTTAAACCGGAGAATCTCACCTGGTAATACTGAAGAATCCGGGGTTTTTTTTTATCATTTAGCAAACAATCCCTGAATTATGTTTTTGAAATTCAGTTAAATGATTTTAAAAGGTTTATTGCCGCGACTTTCATTAATACGTACATATATAATTAATATCGTCGGTTAATTCAAATAAATCGATCCTCTTTTTTTATTGATCCAAATCCAGGCTCAATAATTGGCCCATTATAATCCTTAGGCCCAATAAGTGGCCCAATACTTTTAGAATCCTGACACGAGACGCGGAAGACGTTGCCACGTGTTAGACGAGCCACCGAAGCTACGGTCCTTGTTCAGGTCCGTCGTCTCCCCTTTTGTGACTCGTGTCGTCTTCCTCTCTCCGAATTCAGCTTCAGCTTCAGTTTCAGTTTCTAGCAAAAGCGAGAGGAAAATTAAAAACAAAACCCAGTAAGCAAAAGGAGAAGGAAAAAAACGAGAACCCAACAATGGTTGAAGAATACGCCATGGAAGACGCGAACCAGTTGCTTGATTCCGCTTCTGATTTCGCTCACTACCCCGGTAAGTTTACACCTTCATCATAAGAGAAACCTTCTTTTTCCGTATATGATCATCGTAAGATTGAATCCGATGATCGCTTCGGTTTCAGGTGTTCAGAACGAATCCTCGGTTAGGGAATTTCTCCATCGTTTCCCTCTTCCCGTCATTTTCAGGTGATTGTCTTCCTCCACTTCACTTTTCAATGTTTTTTCGGTTCTTTTACCCTTCTTTAATTGATTGTTAGGTTTAGGGTTTTAGGTATCATTTAGTTAAATGCATTTCCGCAAATATCATCAAGCTAAGACCTTTATGAAACCTGATGTCTGGTGTGGTGATCATTGTTGCCTATAGTTCGTGCCCATAATAAATTCTGTCAGTGAAACAAAGAGTCTCTCTTCTGCAGTTGTAACTTTGTCGTCTACATGTTTTTTTCATTTTAAATATCAATGTGCATTGCGCAGTGCTTTGCAAACCAAATCAGATATGCCTGGTTTGGAAATGGCTCTGGTAGGTTGCTTAGAAAGGATTTTCGAGACCAAATATGGCGCCTCTCTCATCCCTCACTATATGGTAATGACAAAGTTTTTAACTTGAAAAATTTTATTCCCATAATGCAGCTTCTGTAGTTGGAATCTGTTGAATTTGTATTCTGAGTGTGAGTGGCCGTATTTGTAGCCTAAACTTGTTGAATTTGTATGTTAAGGCTTTTGTGCAAGTTGGCCTCGGGGCAGAATCTCCAGCAGTAAGAGCTTTGGCTTGTAAAACTGTGAGTGCCTACAAGGATCTGTTACACTTTCTGTATGCTTTTCAAGTTTTATCTGATTCTAACAGTAGATGTGCTAATGTCTGATCTTGTGTCAATTTTTCTAAAGGTCACTTGCCTCTTAGAGAATTTCGACACAGAAGATGTTTTGCCAATTAAGCTTGTTATTAACAATGGCATATATCCACTTTTGCTTGACTCTATGATCAACGGGTAAGAAACCAAACTCTAAAATTATTTTCTTCCACTATGCAATTACCTACCAATACCATCCCAAAGACCGAGCAGGAAGACAAGTTGAACACTTTGGAGGACACAGAATTAAACGTAGATTCCCACTATGTTCTTATGGGATTCATTCTGGGTTTATTATTTTGTACAAAAAATTCTTTTGGCTGTCAGTTCACATTGTAAGTGTTTATCTCTTTCTGTAGCGATGAGCAAGTAGCACATGCTGCAACTAACGCGATCAAGAGCTTAGCACGTTTTCCAGATGCATTGGTCTGTTTGACTTGGTTTTCTCTTTCTGGTTAATCGACTAGTTGTTTTAAGCTTTACCATTTCGCGATTTATTTTTGCCACATAAAGTTCACGCCTTTAAAAAATTTATGCAGTCCGTCATTTTCCCAGCCGATACCAATGATGCTACGCACCTTGGTCACCTAGCTGCTAGGTGTTCATCACTGGTATTTGTGGTTCTTGATCTCTATTTGTATCCTTTTCTTTTTACGGTTCTATATTTTTTTTTCCCGTTTTTCTTTCATGATATGTTTCCACTTCCTGTTTTTCCCAATTAAATTCCACTTTTTGTTCTTGCTTCATCATTTATTGACTTTTTGGCAGGGACGAGTCCGAGTTTTGTCCTTGATTGTGAAGCTGTTCTCTGTTTCTCCATCTGTATCTTCACTGATAAAGAACTCAAAGCTTCTTGATTTACTGGAGGCAGAAATCAAGAATACAAATGACACTCTTGTGATCTTGAACGTTCTGGAACTCTACTTTGAGGTTGGCTTGCAATGTCCTGATTATCTACTCAAATCTCTTTCTTCCATTTCCCTCTTTCTACCAGAAAAGGTATTGATTCATTTATTTCTTTTGCTCAACAAAACGTTGAAGTTAGTAGAAATCGAGCACAGCTCAGAGTTCTTGCCACGAAGTGCACTCACTCAGCTGTTATGCTCCATCATCAGGTATTGTCTTGGGACGAGCTCTGGTAAATCCTTTACATGTTAGTAAAAGGATATCTATGAAACTAGCTTCGTGCTTAACTGCACATTTTGTTTTCTTTTTTGCTGGATTATTCTAATTTGTGTAGCTCTACATCAATGGGATCAATTCTAAAGTCAAGAGCAATGATGATAAGTGGCAGGCTACTCTCAAAGGACAATATCTACAATTTCATGGACGAAGCTAGTAAGATCTATACACATTTCCGTCCCCTTTTCGTTCTTCTGTAATAAGATCTTTTTACTGGACTTGTACAGTTCCGCGTTTCCTGTATAAAAAATAAAAAACATAAGGTCTATGATCAGATGAACAAACCCTTTATTCTGTTTATGGTCTGTATGAGTGTGAGTCAAGTAGTTCTATCAACCATAACTTGGTAAGCATATTGGTTAAAAATCTAGGGGAAAAAACTTTAGTTTTGGACTGTAAATTGCATGTAAAGATGTAATTTATCGTTTCTCTTGAATTCAGGTGTTAAGGCATTGATTTCAACAGTTGATTCTAGCGTGGAGTCATTGGATACAGATGCTTATGAATCTGCCCTTGAAGCTCTTGGTCAAATTGGATCAAGTAGGTTGCTTGGCTGACTGTGAAATTGCTTCTTCCTCTAATCTCACACTCAAGTAGCTATCTGGCTGATTCCTTCAAAAATGATAATTACAAGATTGGCTTGCAAAATACAACATATTCTTGAGTTCTGATTGCCAGTAACGTGCACCTTATCTGTATTTGTTTATGATATTTTAAGCAACCAAAGGTGCTACTTTGCTCCTTTCAACTTCACCTCCTGCTGCAAGACATGTTGTGGCTTCTGCATTTGATCGTCATGCACACGGAAAACAGTTGGTTAGTGCACTTGGTTTTCTCTGCTCGATCAGTTGCTTATTCTGTTTCTATTTCCAGTTAATAGATTTTGAGTTTTTCTTTCTCGGACTGAAGTTGATTGAGTAGATGCCGTTCTATTTGGAGATGCAGCCTACTTTCTATTAGAAATCTCTGTGAGAGTGCTTGTTCTGTTTCTTATAGGAACAAACAAGCACCGATTTGAAATCCTTTTCTTTAGATTCTGCATGTTTCGGTTTATAGAGCATAACATATCAGAACAGAACATCCAGAATGTAGAGGTTACTGAATCCATGCAGAAGCGTACTTAAAAGTAAAAGTTGTTCTGGTTTTGTGTGAAGCTCTTATAATATATCTGCATGTTGCCTCACATTCTCTTAGGATTTATACAAATGATCGAGGATCAGAAGATAGTTTCATGAGCACATTTCCATTCTTAAAATTGTCCACAATGCTTCATTAATGGCATCTACAGGCTGCATTACACGCGCTTGCAAACATTGCGGGGGAAGCTCGGCCTCAGGACATGAGAGTAGTTGATGATAAAGCGGAAGAAAGCCTTCGCCATTTAATATATGATGTTGCAGCACAGAGCACAAAGCTGACACCTTCAGTATGTTATTTCTTGTCTTTCCTCTTCTTTTGAAACATGATAGTGTCTAATTGATATTATAACCCCATTTAAGCATTTTCTGCAAATTTGCAGGGCTTATTTCTATCAGTTCTACAACAAAGCTCAGAAATTCGTTTGGGAGTAAGCATTTGATTCCGTATCTGCTGCTCTTTCATTTCCTCTTTCCC